CCCCCCCCCCCCCCCGGCTGTGAGATTGTAAGAATAACCCGGGTCTTATAGGGTTAAATCATATAGAGCTTTATATAACCGACATACATATCCTTGCCATTTGATTGGTGGAGCTCACATCATGTGACATTCGTTATTGCTCCCATTCACGCCGGGTCTCAAAAAGTACTTTCCGCCCATGGGAAATGGGAAATACTATTGAACAGTTAGGATCATTCTTATTCCAAGACGACATATTTGTGTGCAAAGGCATGCTGGTGTGTGCGTTCAGCGTTGCGCGTTGTGCGTATTGTTCAAAAGAGTTCATAGATATAGTATCCAAGCTCAATTTAATACACAAAAACTTATCTGCGTCACGCACGCGTCCACCTAGTTCGTCATGCACATCGTATGCTCTCAGTGCATGTAGTTATTTACCATAGTTTTTACGGTCGTTTGAACAACTAAACTACAAGTGAATTGTTCATTTTATTTACAATCGAGTATGAAACAAATTGTCATGATGATTTATGTCATACGCGCTGGAAGGTAAGACAGTTAATTTTAATTAATAGCCTTTCGGCAGTCACGTGGTAGGACTGTGCATGCCATTACATTGGTTTCGTCAATCGTACCCGTGCCGCCCGCATAAAAATCAACAAATCGTTCGAAAATGACTGTCAGAATGTCGACGAACTACAATCTTAGGGTTGTCACACATTAATTTCAACTTGGCTTTCCTTTTACAATCATTCGTTATTGACGATATTTCCCTCTACCCCTAGAAAGTCCAATTTTGTGCCGAAAAATACCAACCAACGGAAAGGAATAAAGCCGCCATGACACCCTAGTGCCCCACTTAACTTGACTTAAGACAGGTCCGACCACACTTAGATTTAAGTCATGAAAATAAGTGGGGCGCTTAGTGAAAATGCTTTGTGAATACTGCTTAAATTGTAAAACTAGTCTAAGTCGCATATTTAAGTGGGGTGCTTGCTTTTTTATGACTTAAGTCGTTTTGTGAATACGGCCCCTGTTCTATATCTATGAAAAAAACCAGCGTTACAGAGTGGGGTTCAAACATTTTCGTGAAGGAGTGGTTAAACGGTTTGGAAGAGAGAAATACATTTCCCATCAATTATGTAGTGAAATAAAAGTTCAAATATATCAAATGACAAGAATCTATATGTCACTTATGTAAAACAAATATTGAGTGGCTTTAAATTGTGAAATGGGAGGAATAATATCGCTCGGTAAACCTGAACCTTTTCCAGTTCACTCGGCTTCGCCTCGTGAAATGGAAAAGTCCAAATTTTACATTGCATTCTTCCAATTTCACTCTGAGCCACTCAATATTTGTGTGGGAGTCCCGATACTATAGGACACCGCCGTTGCGTGTGGTGTGTTTGTCGTGAGAGGGTTTTCTCTATGACACCGCGCGCTATTGCGTGCGGAGGGACTTTCCCTCGATGAGCAATACTGGCGCGTAAACTGGGCGATGAGAAATCCGGACACATGCATGCGAAGAGGCCTACAATGTACATGTACATGTATGTCGACAACTCGGGAGTGAATTAAAACCGTGCATCCTAATGCGACGAAATTGTACAATTTTGGGGAATTAAAATTCCAGGAATGCAGACGAGTGTACAGTCACCTCACTCCTTGTATGCATGAGACATCATAACTTTTATAGACTTGACTGACCCTGGGGTAAGGTTTATGTATATTTATTATTCCGCCAGAAAATTTACACTTTGTTAATGTTTCGAACCATTATGAGTATCAAGTCTTGTGTATTATTATATGTTAAATAGGCACTACCTATTTTTCATTTCAGGGTTTTGTTTTGGGGGTTTTCTATTCCTACCTCCATGATATGACCAAGCATCCGATTGGTAATAAACCGTAGTGATCGAGAAGTGATTGATTGGTGTCCAGCTTTCATCCGTGTTTAATCAAGGACGGACCCCAGCCCTAGAATTATAGTAGGGTAGACCACCACATTTGTATAATATTAAATTACAAGAGCGCTAACTCGATGTACAAAGTAATGCCTGACGGGCGCATCCACGTTTGTACACAAACCTATGGAGACCTAGACTATTTGCATATCTGCGTTTGTATTCCATACCGGTGTGTTCTCGAAGCCTATACGCCCAAAACCGAAAATTACGATCAGCAAATGACCGTGTCATTTTGCTCTACGCAAACAGCGCAACACGTGCACGTATTCGCTGCAGATGATTTTGCCGTGACGTTTTTTTTAACTGTCATTACGCGCTTAAGTTGTTTGTCTATCTTCTTCTTGCGCGTTGCATTTAGCGTACACTTTTAAAATTCAATCCATCTAATTGCATTGTGTTCTACAAACACGCACGTGTATTCAAAATGTCTGCTCCCAGGACGGCTTTAAAGTAGATTTGGCCAAGTCTGGGTTGCGCTCGGTTTGTGCCTAAATCCACCCACAGCGCATATCGCATACGTCCTTACAGTACATAACGCGCGCCCTCATGCGTCGAATCCGGACCAACATGTTAAAAACGTACATGTGCATGTTATTTTCAAGTGATGCAGCAACCCAGACTTGGTCAATCTGCCAAGCGTACGCACTGGTTTGTTCCACGTTGGTTAATTAATTAAAAGTCTATGGAAATTAATTCGCGATGTGATTGGCTTCTACCGATTTCGGTAGAAGCCAGTCATATCACAGTATTTCAGGTAATGGGTGTTTTTATTCTTAAAAACGCGCGCAGATTGTTTTAATAATATTCCTAACACGCAATCAGCGTTGTCTGCGTATTCGCGCATCCAAAGTTTCGCGGAGAACGCACACGCTTCCCATGGTGAGGAGTAGAAACAGATACATGCACGCGTAATTTCGAATGCTTTGAAACGGCTCTGGGTATGCACAACACGAAACGGTATCAATGGTTCTCAACATATTTTTCAGGTTAACCTCAATAAAAAATCACTTTTGTTTTGAATAACATTTGAATGTCGTACTCTTTTTAATGCAATCCAAGAGCAGCTGATCTTAGTATTATCATCCTAATATAATGTGTTTCAAATCTACAAATTAACTTAACGTTTTTAAACTTTTGCAGATTGTTATCCAGCCTTCCATACCTACTGAAAATAATAAACGAGTCTTCGAAAAACGGTTACTTTGATTGTCCAAGCGATGTTGCTGCATATGCATGGAGATGGTATACAAATGTTGAGTGGCTCAGCGTGGAATGGGAGGAATATTATCGCAAGGTAAAATCTGGACTTTTCCATTTCACGAGGCGAAGCCGAGTGAACTGGAAAAGTCCAGATTTTACCGAGCGATAATATTCCTCCCATTTCACAATTTAAAGCCACTCAATATTTGTTGATATAACTGACATATAGATCCTTGTCATTTCATATATTTGAACTTTTTTTTTTCAATACAAAACTGGAGGAAAATGTATTTTTCTTCCAAACCACCCTTTCACGAAAGTGTTTGTCCCAACGCTGTAGCGCTGGCTCTTTGGAACAATACGCGCTACGCGCAACGCTGAACGCGCACACCAGCATGCATTTGCACACAAATACCGCGTCGAGATCCTAACTGTTGAATAGTATTTCCCATTCCCCATGGGCGGATAGTACTTTTTGAGCCGCGGCATGAATGGGAGCAATAACAAATGCTACGTGATGTGAGTTCCACCAATCAAATGACAAGGATCTGTATGTCGGTTATATAATGTTGCATATGCATTGATGAATACAGGCGCGTGCACGCGAGGGGGGGGGGGGGTGCTGATGGCAGATTGATCAAGTCGGAATTGCTAACGTTTGCACCACATGTATGCACATGCTCTGCAATACTTGTACATGCACACACATGTACGTGTAATACGCGTGTTGTACAATGTACATGTACATACAGTGTGTGCACATTGTTATGTACATGTACATACAATGTGTGCACATTGTTATACGGCACTGAAGTGGAACGCACGCTGAAGTGTACCTTGTCGGGCATCTGGGAAGGCGTAAACTAAGTGATTTTCGCTACCCTAAGATACCGACTTAAAGCAATTCCGACTTGAGTCAAGTCTAGCTTTAAAGCGTCTCCGCGCGCAAGAATGAGGAGTTAGCGCTCTAGTAATTTGGTATAGCTCTATGGGTTAAAGCCACTCCTTCCAGGGCCAACATCAAGGTATTAGTGACAATCAGAAATGGTACACGTGCGGAATACGTATGCGGCTCGGAAAAGAATAGGTTGTTCATAAAATCAAAATTTTGCGTGGTAATTTCATCTGGCGAAGTACCGATAAGGTGCATTTTACTATATTTAAAGGTGTATAATGAAATTCGGGTTTCTTGAAATAACCACCAAAAAAAAATGGAAATATAACCAACTGGTCTGTTTTATTCAGAGACATTTATAATACATCACTTACCCTTCACGATTTCTTACGGTCCCTATTATTTGTTCTGCAATAAGTGGATGGACTTTATACCGATGTGCGTGGCAACGCCTGATGCAACGTCGTTAATGTGTAACGAATTTGCATGATTAAGCATTATAGCGGTTTATAAGGTGCGTCGTGCCTTTGATGGCTTTTCGTTTGGGCTGCATACACACGCCCATTAGCGTTTACCATTGTACATGTCCATCTGTGGAATTGCACAGCAACTTGTACAAGATAAATTAGGAACTAACAGTGCAAGTCTGATCGTTTCTATCTCGCCACATCTTTGAACGCGAATCTAAATTCAAACAAGGTAGTAAAACATTGTTTTGATGAAGCGTATTTTGTGTGTCAGTAAATTATTAGCCATAAAGCATGAAACGCGCGTGTACTAGTTTCGATCGTGTACACTGTAATAGTTTTTGATATATGATCCTGTAGGAGTAACAACCGTTATCTGATGCAGTTGTTGTAACTGTAAAGTTTTCGGTAAACCTTGTTATGGTTGGCTTAGGTTCCGAATGTCTAAACTCATGAACGTGTACTTTTATTCCTTACTCATCGGCAGAGATTATGGCTGTGAGTGAAGAACCACTGACGAAGGTTTTGGGTGAGATCAGCCGTGATCACTTGGAGTGTGGCATCTGTCACGAGCGATACCAGACACCAAAGATTCTCAATTGTCTTCACAGCTTCTGTGAGAATTGTCTTCTGTCGTACCAGAAAACACTGGAGTGTACGTCCGTAATTCCTTGTCCCGTCTGCCGACGAGATTCTCAGCTCCCGTCTGACGGGGTCTCGGGACTCAAGACCAACTTTCATCTGAAGGAGATTGTTGAAGATTTCGCTCTGAAGGAGAAACTGACGCAGAAAGGGCGCCAGAAGATACTCTGCGATCTGTGCGAGCAGCAAGAGTCGCAGGTAAGATGCATGGACTGTTCTCTTGTACTTTGCAACCAGTGCCACAGGGGTCACAGTCGCATTGCCGGTACGGCTGAACACCAGATCTTGGCCTTGGCTGATTTACGCTTGGGGTCGGTCTCCTCAAAGGTCAAAGTTGAGCCACGATGTGAAAAACACTCGGGTGAAAAGAAGAGGTTCTTCTGCGAGACCTGCGACAAGTTGATCTGCAGGGACTGCACCATTGTTGATCATAAAGGGCATCACGTTATTGGGATTGGCGATGCTGCGTCTCGCTTCAGAGACACTACAAAACAGCTAATGACACAAATGGAAGAACAGTTGTCTGCTGTTCGAGAGAGAACCGAGCAAGACAAAGTTGGCAACGCTGATATCTCCGCGGCAAAGGAACAAGTGATCAAACAAGCTGAGGTCGAGGCGACAAAAATATCACAAGTCGAGCGCAACATTCTTCGGGATATTTCTCGTCGAGGGGATCTCCGGGTAAAATCTCTCGAGGTCTGTGGATACACTCCCACTGCACAGCCAAGTAAACACGATTTGAAACTGCCTGAAAAGGCGCAGCTGTACTCTCCAAAGGCAGAGACTAGGTTCAAAAATGTGGATAGCAACCTTCAGCAGTTCCAACAAGAATGTCGTACAATCCAATCACAAGATTTCTTTCTTACCCGGGAGTTGAAGGCCTTCAGAGACGATACCCAAGAGGAAGCCAGTGGCGATCAGGCCAGGGTAGAAGCCAGGAAAAAAGATCTCATCTTGCAAATAGATATCATCACCAACGACAGGGAGACCTTGAAGAACCAGACTGCTGCTTGCATTCGCCGTGTGTGCCATGCATTGAAGACTGCCGCTGACCTGGTCGAATCCGCTGGTGACGCGGACTTCCTCGAGCTCCACTCGGTGGTTGATGCAGATCTCAAGACGCTGGCACAAGAAGCTCGTGTTTTCATCCCCGGCTATCCGAAAGTGGAGTTCAAGAGCAGAGATGGCTTTGAGCTCGGCGATGTTGTGAGCCCTTCTGAGACAACTTTGAAATTCCTGAGACAAATTGATGCCCAAATCAATTATAAGCAGCAGCAATCATATTCATATCGGTATGACGGGCAAAGTACAGAGGTACGAATGACGATCAATTTCATCGCTGCCTTACAAAATGATGTGATAGTGTACGGTTACAGAGAGGATGGAAAAATCATCTCTACAGCTGCAAAACCTTACAACATACAGTTGAAACCTGCAGGTAAAACTTTGATTATGAAAAAAAAAGACCTTCAGGAACTTTGAAAAAGAACATTTAACTTCCATCTTCCAACTTCCAAATTTCAGTTATGCACTTTAATTTATGGTTTATGGTTTTATTTTTGGTTAGTTCAAATCGCGAATGCAGCCTTCTGATTCGTCTTCATTTTTTTCGGAAAATTTCAACATTTGTTGCGGTTTTTTTGTCATTTATATTCAGTTTGTGCATTCCATGTATGAGAGGGAGGAGAATGAAAAATAAAAAGAAAACTTTCAAAGTAATCCATAAACGGGGACGGGGGATTGAAGTAGACTCTCTGTGCAAGAAGGTAGCAGGTATTTTTCCCAAGCCGGCAAGCGCATAATTAAAAAAAGATGGGGTGGACACCATCAAAGTAATGGAGGCGCAATTCATGGCAGATGATATTGAATATCACTGATAATTATTTTGTCGTCAATTGAATACCGCCTCAGTCGGGAAAACAAACAAACAAAGCTGTAAAATCATATTAATAAAACCTCTTCTCGGGTAGGTGCTGGAGGCATGACAACATGGCACCTTAACACGCTACTTTATTAAAAAAACAAACAAAAATAGAAAAATCCGACGAGCAATATAAGTTTTGTATGTTCAGCCTGATGTCCATATCCATATATACAAGTCGTGTTATTAAATTAATAACGGCGAAAAAAATATTAGTGTCATGATGAATACCCTCAAAGGTGAATTTCGAAAGGAAAACTGAACTTTATTGAACACAATCTGCTTAATTGTTTTAACAAAGCCAAAGAGATTGGAAACATATTTTTATATTTTACTTTTGATACTTAGAACATCGAATGATGGGAGCATTAAAACAAAGATGACGATTTTTTTTAAAAACTATTACGAACCAGAATGCTACATTTGCGAATTACACTGCACCAGAATTTATATCTGTTGGGGCAAATGTGACATTTAAATTAACAGCGGAGCAAAATTGAAGTATCTGAGCAAAGAATTGGAATGATACATCACATTCATGTGTTTGACAATGAAGGTGCTCTCGCCACTAGTTCTTTGATACACTTTGCAGGACCCGGTTCCCAGCCTTTTGATTCCCATCGTACCTTTCTCACGGAATAACTGACTGACTGATTGTCTCTAATCAAAGCCGAATTCCTTCATAAACACCGGTTTCACCTAATTCCCCCTATGATTTCATAAAAAGCATACCTGAATTATTGTCCGGAGCTTACTAATTTGAACCTTATGAGGTAATATAATTATCATATGCATGGTCGGTATCACATTCAAAAGTAAATAACCTTTGTAGTGCTAGACAAATAGTTTTTTCGATGTGACACCCTAGAAACCTAACAGAAAAAAACAGACAGAACCAATAAACATTATTGCTCATTTACTTCTTTCCATAGGCCGCTTAGTCGCGTTACCTAATGGAAATGTCATCGCTGTCGGTGCTAATGGAGTTGCTCACTTGTACAGTGCCGATGTGTTAACCAAGTTTAGTGGTTTTCCGCAAGTCGAGGGGGTCGAAATTTTTAAACCTATGCCAGCGTCAACATGCACATGGAGTCGTACCCCTTGCACCGCTGCTCACTACCAGGGTAACCAGATTATCCTTGGTTTTTCCAACCCTCACGAAATCGCCGTCCGGGACTTATCCAGTGGATCGGTAGTTGGTCAAGCACCTCTCAGCATCTCTCCCGATTTCCTCGCAGTTACCCGCACGGGGCGAATCCTGGTGGCCGCAAGTAACCCGGCTGTCGTCCAGGGGGTCGTCTTGAACCAGACCAACGCGTTTACAATACACCCGACCTTTAATGGCGACCGAAAGAATGTGACATGCCACGGCATTTGCTGCGATAGCCGAGACAACATTTATGTGGCCGTGTACTGTCATGCTGCGACACACCAATCCACAGCATCTGGTCGTGCTGAAAGCAAAGTCCACCTTCATCAGTACAGTCCGTATGGTAGTTTCATGGGTTGCTTGACACACAGTGGCGTAACTTGCGTAACTTACGGCGTTGGCATTGCAGCGACGGGGGATGATACCCTTGCTGTGGCAGGTCCATATCAAATCCAGTTGTTCAAAATTGAGCAGTAGACCCAAAGCATGTGTTGCGTGTTACGGAGAGGGCTGTTTCACAAGTCCGACGCCTCACAGGTCCGACGCCTCATCAGTCCGAAATTTCGGACTGATGAGGCGTCGGACTTATAGGCATTAATTCCGCCTCATAAGTCCGACGCCTCATAATGTCCGACGCCTAATAAGTCCAAAATGTCGGACTTATGAGGCGTCGGGCCTATGATGCGTTGGACTTATGAGCGGACCCCTCATTATCGAGAACCTGCTGTGTGCACACGCTCAAATTTGCAAGAGGTATCAAAATCACTTGTGGCGTTTTAATAAAGGTGTTTGGGCTCTGTTCCTATGTATGCATGCCCTTTGCCAAAATTAGTTCTGATATTGGAGAAAATATACCATAGGAATAGAAAATGTAATTATGGGATTTTTTTTTCTTTGTTTGAGGGGGGGGGGAATTGTTAGGGACTAATGACCAGCTGGCATACTCTTGCATGTTTGAACAGCAAAAGTAGACATATAGGTTTGTGAAACTTAATCGGAATGTCACTTTGTGTTTGATGACAATGTATTGACAGTTGATAAAACAATTATGTGCTGTCAATGTTATACAATGTAGTTCAATAGCACGATGTATGTGTTTGTAGAGTGTAAATATTTTGAAATAGGGGGTTTGACGTCAGACACATGGAAGAACAGAAATCCCACTCAGTATGAGATGTTCACGTACATATTAGCGGCGGAGGGGGACAGCAGGCAGGTCTCCGCGCTGGGAGGCAGTCAGCATTTTTTTTTCATTTATTTAATATTTTTGCGGTCAGGCGGCCGTCACGAATTAACAACAAAAGATTTGGGGGGGGGGAGGTGGCCGCACAGTGCGCTGCTTAAAGCAGACAACGTTGAACACCATCGAACAATAGGTGGCGCTCATATATGTAGCAAGTCAACAAAGCTAAAACGCCTTTAAAACAATCATCCAAAACAACTAATGGGTTTAACATTGTTAAAAAACAAAACAAAAAACCAGTATGAAATTATCCAATTGTTAGTTTATAATCCGGGTAAAAGGTGAACAACTTCGGATTAATTGCAGGGATATTTAGTCTTAGCTGCAGGGATGTAATTGGTCGGGCACAACCCGACCACTCTCTGTTATTGTTCTGATAAATCTTAAAAAAATTCTGGACAATACTTCTCCGCGGCTTTTCTCCTATACGGTTCATGATATGAACTTGTAACTTATCCAACCTCATGCCTGGTGGTGCATATTACTCTGACGTCATGATGACGTCATCGGGCGTCAAATAACAAGCGATTTCAGCTGAAAAAGTGATCAATTACTTGAACAAAATTATCAATGATGTTTGTATTCCGTAATCGGATAGACCATGAATTGATAAACATTTTTTTGTCGTGTACGTGAACTTGTTTGACCTTTACTTCCGGGTCTACCGGAAGGTCGAAGTTAGGTGAATTTAAAATGAAGACTTTTGCCTGAAATCTAATCAAAGCAAAATTTCTTCCAACCGGTTCACGGTATGACCCAAAAACCTAATGTGAACTTGTACCATGCTACGAAGATGTTATAAATTTTGTTACGTCATCATGACGCCATCAGGGTTAAATTACAAGCGATTTCAGGGCAAATTTGACAAAATAGTTTGCGTTATATCTTTTGAACTAAATGGAGTATGTGTTCTTTTTTTCGTGAGGTTGTAGACTATGCCGTGAGAAACATTTCTTGTCCCCGGACACAAAACCGCTTGACCTTCACTTCCGGTATTAACGGACGTGCAATGAAAACCGTTATTGAAAGTTGGAAGCATGTTACTACACACATATAAATTATGATAGTGTTTAGTGAGTAATGCCAGACAAAAAAGTGTGATGACGTCATCTTTCGAAAGGGCGCCCCTAGCGGCACATAACACAGTGTTTGCGCTTTCTTATTTGAAAACCATCCGTTCAAACTTTACCAAATCGCTCCTTGATAAAATTCTTTGATTAACCAAAAATACCTTGGCAAGGTTTAACATTCATGACGTCATCAGACCGGAAGTTACTTCTGTAAGAATTTGAAAACGACTATATTCTAAAATTCATTTCATGTCGTATATCTTCGTAGCCCAAGTTACGAAACCATTACAGTGTTTACTCTCTGCTGCCAAATACTGTGACGTCATCAAACCGGAAGTTAGTTGTTATAAATAAATACACGTTTATTTTCCATACTTTCATACGTCATTAAACTTTACAATGAACATTTATCGACTCCGAACTAAATCAGTGTTCACTTCCCGTTTTTGAATGATGACGTCATCAAGCCAGAAATAACTTGTGTACATAGAATGTTTACTGAATTTTACCACAAAATAATTGATTGTACCTGACAGGATTGAATTTCGTGATCCTTTGTTCTTATATAAAAATATTCATAACTTAACACGGCAGTGTTTATTGAAAAAAAAATGTCTGCCCGACCACTCTGCGTTTGTAACAACAAACGCGAACCTCTAGTCTCATTTCAAATCACAAGCTATTCAAAATGAGCTATGCCAAATGTGTAATTGTTTATCCACTGTTACTTGCTGTGGCTGGACCTGTGATGGACGTGACAACATCCCTGCGAGGTTGTAATTTTTGGCAATATGTTGGCAATACGCTGTTTTAAACGATTCGATCCCAGACTTACATATTACAAATAAAACTGATTGTTACGAAGCAGTCTTTCAATTAATATTATGTTTAACTGGTAATATCCCTCTTTGGGATTCGATTTTAATATTAACATTCTTGTTTTTAAAATGTCTCCTGCTAAAAACAGTAAAACAAAAAACATTATTATAATGGTTATTATAATGGTTGAAAAATTAAAACGTCTGGGAATGTAACGTGCAAGAAATTTAACATATTATCTATTTTAGATTTCCCTTAGAAATTTAATAATTCAGAGACAGAACAAAAAAAAACAATTCGTAGTGGTAGGTCTTTGGTCTATTGGTGTTGCAGATAAAAAAACACACAATATTTAGTTGGCTAGTGGTGTGACGTCATATGAATTATTCAATTTTGTCTTGTTAGTGTAAGTTCCTTGATGATATATTTCGCAGTTTTGAATGCGACGTAGTTGTTGCAAGTACATGTACTTTGCAACCATTTTGAAATCAAGAATTAGATTTTTGTTTTAATGTTTATTTTTCTTAATATTTCAAATTGCACAGTTTTTGGTTACAGTTCTTATAACTTCTACTTGAGGGTATGTTGTGCAAAAATAGCGATTATGTTCCCCAAAGCAGCCTACGCACACTTTTTGTAAGCTTAGTTTTGCCAATCCTAGATAACTGCTGTACTATATTATATGGGGAGGAAGGTACATATCTCACGACAATATTCTCAACAAATGTCTGAAAAGAGCCGTACGGGTGATCAGACAGTGTGCCTCCCTCACCCCTTTAGCGGACATGTATGCTAGATTAAGCCGGGTTTCCATTTTCTGAGAGATAAGTATTAAAAGGCTGTTCTTGTTTTAAAAAGTCTAAATATAATTACTCCTTTGTACATGACGAATATTTTCACACCACGTGAAACAAGACAATTCAAATAACATGGCATTGAAAGTCCCTTTCGCCAAAGGGAATGCTATGCCACAAATTTCGCTGTGAGTGGTGCGAATATAATTAGGGAATAATTTGCATGAACAAGTGAGAACAATAGATGTCTTTGGTGCATTCAAATCAGAACTGCGCAAAGCCACCCGTAAGTAATATTTCCGTAAATAACACACTAGTAACAAAATGCACTGTTCTACGGAGTATACATTTAGTTGTCACGGTAATTTGGAACCAGATTTGGGAATTTCCCTTATGTTTTTCCAAAAGGGTTTTTGCAGGTTTTTCTACCTTAATCAGTAATGTATATACCTTATATTTGAGTGTTTTAAATGAACCTGTGTTGTGTATACAGTTTTTTTCTTCTGTAATTATTTATGAAATAATTGTAGTGTAGGTTTTACATTTTTGTTGTTTGTTTCACAAATGCACTTTTTCGTTCTAGGTTTTACTTAGTTTAGCATTATTTTTTTTTGTAATGTATAAGGGGATCCAATGGAAAACAGTTTTAAACCGTTTAGGCATACCCTAGGTAAAGACATTGAATACATAAATATATAAATCTGATATCGCTGATTCATCCACAAAGCAGCGTACAAAAGTTGTCAAGGTATATGTCAAATAAAGAAAGCATGGTATAGACTAATATTAATTTTAATGGTAATTTATGGCCACTTAGTTATGGGCTCTTAGTTATGGGATACATATAGGATACTTATGTAATGGGCACTGCGCAAACCTGCTCTCTCCACGTATAGAGTCAAACTGTATAAACAGCACACAAACCAAATACATAAATAGTCGTCGAGACTATATTTGAAACAGCCGTGTGCCTCACATAAAAGTCGCGCGTTAAACTTTCCACAAAGAACTTTCCCGAAAATGATGCACAAAAATCTTGAACAAAATGACAGATTCTGATTCAAGTGTTAGCCAACACTCGGTCCACATGTTCTATCAACCTGCATTCATAACATGCGAAGCTCAAAATGAGGTATTTCGGTGATTAAACTATGCAATATAATTGAGATTTGCGGACAAAGTTTTTTGTACGATGTCAATTCCAGCGAGAGAGAGAGAGACAGATTATCACGTAGGCGACAACGAAGTACAGCGCGTTTTAAGTTTAAAGCACTAGGCATTCATTCGGCATCATACAACAATTTACAGACATATTCTTTCGTTACTACTATGACAGAAATATTCAGATATAATCACCGTGATTATCAACAAATATTAGTCATGTTCGAAATTTTGTATGGAGTTAAATCAACTACGTAATGGGCTTGTTTTACTAGAGTGTATGCACGGCATAGTCGTAGTAATGTGGCTGCAGTAAATAGTAAACAATAGACTTGTCTCCAGACGGCATATTTGTCTTGTTTCGAGTCGGATCACCACAGTGAAATAGTCACTACGAGGGTTAAATTCATTCCGTGGAATATATAATAATTAATATAATGGAAAAATATAAAAAACTGCCAGTCAAAATATCTAAATTAAAAGGTAAATACACCTATAGAACGGTAGCGAAATTGCTTATCACAATGTTTCAAAGGATTCGGAGAGACGTTAGACTTTGTGATAAAACCTTAGTGAATAATTAACATTAAATGGGACACTGATAATACCGCGTAGTGATAGTGATAGAGAATTAGGCCCTATATAATAGAGTCACCTTGAAATAGACTGTCAATTACGCTATCTGTAATCCTTTATCAACTAGAGTATAATATGTCCGGCATGAATAAAGATAATGAGAAACGATACGTTTTAATGGTAGATTTGTTCGATACAATTGAAAATAATAATAATAAAAAGGTCAGGCTGTTTAGCAAGCCTATTGCTCATTGTGGTATTACTTCTGTTTGTGAACAGCATTGCTAACTCAAAGTGGGAACTACGGAGTGAGTTAAAAAAATATCCCTTTAGATAAGTCCTTCTCTCCCATGGTTATGGTTATACCAAAGTTTCCTTTGTCTGTTTAACCCTAAAGGGGCCGGGGGCGGAATCCGCCCCCCCCCCTCAACATTTTCCGTGATAGCTTCTAAAAAAAATTTTTCGCGACCCGAACTGTAATGACTTTTTAGCCTCGAGCTTTGCGCATCTTTTGATACCAAAAACATACAAATCGGACCACGGGTTGCCGCGTAGCGAAAAAGTTTTCGGCGCTACGCGCCGTGAAATCTAAATTTTCGCATATACGTCGTGTACACAGAGCAGAATTGCAATTCGTACATATGAATAATTAATTAGCCATAATTCCAAAACCCTTTGACCTACAGTCATGAAATTTCTTGGGTATGTTTAGGAAGAGTTGCTCTATGCATGTGCCGAGTTTCAAAATTTTTCGTCACTCGATGGCCGAGATCTTAGGGGGGGGGGGGCAGCGGAATCCGCCCCCCCCCCCTCCGGCTGAGAGATGGTCAAAATAACCCGGCCCCTTTAGGGTTAAAGGGCGGTACCAATAATATATAAAGAAAAGGGAGGTTCGAATCTCATTAGAATCCCATTTATATGAACATTGACTAATGAAAGGAACCTCGTCTGGTTCCACCTCGTGACACTGAGTAGCAAACATGTTGACGCCCAGACAATCTGTTTCTGTTCCACACAATATTGTATGCTCAGACTGAACGAAGCTCATACAAGACACGTGTATGTCTGAAGTACAGTGAGGGCCATGAGACGACATTATCGTAGATGTTATTCGTTACTATCCACAATACTTAAAAAAAAAACTGTTTCTTTTTTCATTGTGTACAAGCACAATGGTGAATATATCAATTATATTGAACTTGCAAGATTTTATACAACACACTGACAAAAAATAAAGACCGTCAATATAATTGGTGTGTAACGAAGGACGACCGCCCCACTCCCGCTCATGTATGCTGAGGACTTCATTGACAGTTTTATAATAGGCATGCCCCACCTACCACACTGGTAACAAAAAGTGAAGACAGGGCAGACAAAGAGGAAGGTCACACCCAAAGCATTATTTTTGAAACTTCATCTTAAGTTGGCAACAGAGACCCAATGGGTAGATGTATAGACCAATCCGGCCCCCCTCAATGGTGGAAGTATTGAGCTTGCTATATTGTTCATAAATCGCAACGGGGCAGTTGCTTTGTGCAATAGTATATGTGCAATGGCTCCTTCATTGAAGGGGACCATATCACAGATCTCCATATAAAAAAATATGTTATTTTACGTAGAGATCAGTGGGCTATTATGAGTGCACAATAGTCACGTGCCCGGATTGGTCTATACAAATTTCTACAAATATGGGCTGCGCCGCGCGCCGAGAGTCCAGATCCCAATAAAGGTACGCCCCGCCATTTTAACGATAAATCGCCGCTGCTGTAATCAAGTATTGAACATCTGTTAGCTTTAGAGCAGCACATATAATACATTTCTATGCCAGTTCCATTACATTATGCGTTATGCTGATTACTCAAGCCTTTTCTTGTCCCCCGCGAAGTAAATGGACTCGTCTGTATAGCGCCGGAAACTCGATCGTGCATTTTCATATCAACACGTGCAGGAACAATTTCAATGCAGGGTTTGATTGTTTATGGAAATATGTTTGGAAAAAAAAGTAGTTACGCACGACATCCGATGGTCTGGATTTTGGTATAAAACCCAATCGACTTGGCACATCCGAGGAAGACTTTCTCCTCGCGTTGTTCGTTCGTGCTTCAGTATCGTTACAGACGCTGCTACTGAGCTACCCATTTGAGGCAAGATGTTTGAGACTCGTTTCGCAGTTATGAAGTTGATGATTGTGATGATGGTATTCATCGGGCGGGCAAACGCAGCCGTCTTAGGCAAGTATTGTAATCCATTTTGGAATTGTCTATTGCTAACTTAAGAGAAAGTGATGTTTGTTTAGTTTAAGCGTGAAACTCATTGCTTTGGTTGGTGATTCGGATGTCAGTTGTGTCTGATATTTCTCCTTGACGCAACGCACAGCAACGTACACAATTTGTAAAAGTTTGAGACAAGAAATGATATACTTAAGGCAGCTATTCACAATACAGTGAACGACAAGCGTTCTCCTGAAAAAAAAGGCGTCTTTCCGACTTCGCGGTATTCCGTGCATATTTTGCAGTACACGCCAATGCAAAATGCTTTGAAGCGTTCCCACCCCATCCCTTCGTTAAACTGATAACTGATTACTTATGGTACTTTTGGTGTCCACTAATCAGGATTCGTGATGTCAATTAACGGCGGTTTTTTGTATGACTTGAATTGTGAAAAGCTGCCTTTAATTTATCGTTCTTTTTTTTGTATATGTGTCAGGCTCTTACGGAGCGGATCCGAGCAAGGTGTCGGTCAGCGGGGTGTCATCAGGGGCCAACATGGCCGTCCAGCTACATGTCGGCTTCTCCTCCACCTTCATGGGGGTTGGTGCCGTGGCTGGAGGTGAGCAAGTTCATGATAGCAAAAAGGAAACTAGACCTAGCATTAGTGTTATAAACGGGAAGTAGTGATCAGGGGCGGATTGCAATAACAAAGTCTTAGGCGGCTGGCTAAACCAGTCCAATCTTAGCCCATTGCAATAAGCTGGTCTTTACTAAGCCCGCTTAGGGTAATGATTCACAAACAAATATTCCATGGTTACGGGCGAAAACTGGAGAGACTGCACATTTTTTTTTCTTTAGGTTTGTGTGATTCATATCATGCGAAATCAAATGTCAATTCCGAAATTGTATGTTGAGAAAATTGTATTTGCAGTACAACTCAGTGTCATTACAATTTTCCAGAAGATCCCTGCTATCCCCAAAAATTTCCCTCCAAGCAGTGTTCTGCTTTTTTAAGATTTAATAATCAAACACTCATCAACTGGGAAAAATATTTTGGGAAAGCATAATTCAACACACCAGTGAATTCCAAAAATCTCAACTATAGACCGTTTTAAGCCAGCCCAACCCAGGCTAACTATTTAAAGACTGTCTTACTACTACTACTGTGTTATAGCAATGGTCTTACTTATAGACTGACTGACGGCCCACCCCTGATTACCTCTCTTGTCCTCTCTTATCCAATTTTACAACTATAGTGGGTGAATTGCAAATGACACTGCAATCCGGACGTACTCCAAAGTCATTTTATAGACATATCGTTATGGTTCACCGAAGTCCTCAAAATGTCCACAGAATATTGATTCTTTATCAGCTAGGATTCCCTTTCGCATCGAACCGCACCAATCCAGATGCATCCGTGTAGCCTACTGCGGCATATAAAAAAAATAGCAAAATTGTTCTAAGGGAATGTTACTAACCTATGTGGTACATGACGATTATCTAATTTGTTTTTAAATTTATTGCAGTACATCATTTATAATTGTTTTTTTTTCTCGGAAATTTGAAATTACACGGCTTTCCGAAAGGTAATACGCCGTTATGCTGTAGTGTGTCGACAACGAAAGTGTCGGGAGGTGGTCTGTCGACATCCCCTCATATTTCTTTCTAACAAGTTAGTATCTTATTGTTGTTCATGTAGCGCCTTACTACTGCGCACAGGGCAGTGTACTGAGAGCGACCACGTTGGAGTGTTCCACCAAAGGTAATCCAGCCAATGTCGACATACCCTACTTGAAATCCAAGACTGAGTCTTATGCTTCTTCTGGCAAAGTGGACGCCACGAGCAACATGGCGTCGGACCGAGTCTACATCTTCAGTGGAACTCGAGATGAAGTCGTACAAAGAGGTAACCGAAACATGAGCAACAGATTATATTAATTTATGAACATATTTTATTTTATAACACCTCGCCCACAGATTCCGTATCTTGATTGGCCGAGAGCGAGTCACATGGCATTTGCTTTTTTTGCTATGTTGCTGTGCACTGCCAAAATACTATACCCGTGGCAACCAAAGTACTACACCCGTAGCAACCAAAGTACTATATACGGATAACCGGTATTGTGTGCAAATGCATATGGGTGTACGCGTTGCGCGTATCGTTCCAAAGCGCTATCGCAACAGAGCTGAATTCACACCATACAGCTATATATTAAATTATAACACCTCACCCACAGATTCTGTGTCTTGATTGGCCGAGAGCGAGTCACATGTTACTTTCTAATTTTGCTATCTTTCTGTGCACGGCCAAAAGTACTATGCGCATAGCAACCAAAGTACTATACCATTAGCAACCAAAATACTATTTCCACGGCGCGGTATTTGTGTGCAAATGCATGCTGGTGTGCGCGTTGCGCGTTGTGCGTAGCGCGTATTATTCCAAAGAGAGCGCGCCGCAGACTTGGGTTCAAACATTTCGTGAAGGGTTAGTTTTTAAAGAGAGAAATATATTTTCCACCAATTTTGTATTGAAATTGAAGTTTATTTCAACTGTGTTCAGATTTAAATAATGTAAAATATTAAAATCAAGCAGAATCTGTGGGTGAAGTGTTATAAAACAAATATTGAATGCTTTATCTCGTGGTGAAGTAAATCTAGCCTCCCTCGGTGACCCATGGACCATTCTATTTTCCCTCGGCTTCGCCTCGGGAAAATAGAATAGTCCATGGATCACCTCGGGAGGCTAGTTTTACTACACCACTCGAAGCATTCAATATTTGTATACTACAAGAGCGCTAGCTCCTCATTCTTGCGCTGGGAAACGCTTTGAAGCCGTCCTGGGCGCAGATATTTTGAATTTATGTGCATGTTTGTAGAACACAATCAAAATAGATGGATTGAATTTTAAAAGTGTACTCTAAATGCAACGCGCAAGTAGAGGATACGCAAACAACTTACGCGCGTCATGACGGTTCAAAAAACGTCACGGCGAAAAGCATCTGCAGCAGAGGGACGCGCACACGTTGCGCTGTTTGCGTAGAGCAAAATGACACGCTTATTTGCTGATCGTGCGTTTCAATTTTGGGCGTATCGGCTTCGATGACGCACCGGTATGGAATACTAACGCATATATGCAAATAGCCGTACAAAATTTCAAGTTTTCCGTACACTCTAAAAACTGTGTTTAGCAATTAAACACAATCTTGCTATCACTTTGTAAACATGTTTAGGAGCTAAACATTATGTGTGCAATTCCTAAACATCAATGTTCAATGGCTAAACACTATCCATCCTTACGCTAAACATGTTTAGTGTTTGGACATGTTTACAAACTGATAGCAAGAAAGTGTTTAGAAAAGTGTTTAATTGCTAAACACAGTTTTTGCAGTGTAGGTTTGTGCACAAACATGGATACGCCCATCAGGCATTACTTTGTTCATCGAGTTAGTGCTCTAGTAATTTAATATAGCTCTATGGTTCACGCATTTCGTGAAGGGGTTGTTTAGGAAAAATGCAAGTAAATTTTCAACTAATTTCGTATTAAAATAGAAGTACATTTTACTTGAATTTAGATGAAATTAATCAGTTATCACTGAAAACCAAGCAGAATCTGTGGGAAAGGTGTTATAAAACAAATATTGACTACTTCGAGTGGTGTAGTAAAACTAGCCTCCCTTCGCCTCGGGAAAAAAAAGAATGCTTCATGGATCACCTCGAGAGGGTAGTTTTATTGCACCACTCGAAGCAGTCAATATTTGTATATTGGCGCTACCCTTTTATATTCTTGCGATAACAATTAAAGAATGTGCTTTTCACAAAGATTTCCGCATACAGGCCTCTCCATGCAGGTAAAATGACAGAATAACATTAATCTGCATGCTTTTAAAGGCATAGGAAAATTTGTATTTCCTAATCACCCCGTAAAATTATCCGGTCTGGCTTGCTGTCATTCAGAAGATATCAATTAAAGTAGGTGATTACCAATGATCAGTCATTTGACTGATGTTTTGAATAAAGAGTTTTATTCGTCGCGATTCGTACAATCACCGTGCGTACGTGCGTGTTCATGTACATGTTTGCATGCCAGTGCACATTATGGTCGACCTGACGGCCTGTGTGTAATATTGATAAACACCTTAAAGTCAGAAATAATAGTAGAATAATACTAAGCATATAGTAATGCATAGTTTGGGTCGACAATAAGAGAATGGGTAAAAATTAGACCAGTCAAAAAGCAAACGGTACGAACCGTGCACAGACGGCCATGCTTAGCCGTCCACTGCAGGCATCCGTCACGATGCTATATATCGGTCAGCGTCAACAAGCGCTCACATCCCTACTACTTACTTTTGCGGCTATTTCAAACCCAAATTTTTGAAAAGGGATGGCTAGTTTCTTGTAGATAATTCGTACAAGTGGGTACTTCATGACGTAGGTACGAGTTAACCTGGGTACGAGGTTGATGGGTACGATTTAACTTGAGCACGATCGGCTTTGCCCTGCATAATGTCATCAGTACATGGAACTTACTTCCACACTCCACACGTTGCTCGCAGCTCAACTCAAGAACAACAACACAATCAAAGCAATCATAGAACAGTCCGAAAACCAAAACTCAGAAACAACAATAGGCCATCAGCCTGGGGGTTTTGTCGGTATCAAATCAGGGCATAAATGATTATAACGAGCATGCGCAAGGTATCCCGCCCTTAGAGTGGTAACAAGAATTTAGATGGACGTTTTGAAAAAAAGTGTGATAACACCCAAAAAGCTGCCATTGTTGCAATGCTATCACATATTTTCCAACTCCGAAGGTGTATACCTTGTCAAAAATCGCTATGACGATTATTCCCCTCATTTGATACCGGTGGCCAAATTTTTGGACCAAGGCCGACGGCCTACAACAAACAATACCGAGCGCGCTGCCAAAATACTGCCAAAATAGTTACATGTTAAACACGTGCGTGTAATAAACCTATAGGACTTACGTACGTGCAGCATCTCACGGAGTTCCTAATTAAGCTCCGCCCAGTCACTTATACACTGCGGTTTAAGCGCTAGTGCTATACGCATGACGTCACAAACAAACTGGCTGTGAACGCGCACAATTTCCGTCACAATATCCACTCAGCTGAAATTTGAACAGTTTTTTACCATCTTCTTTGGATTTTGTTCTTATTGCAGACGAACAAAATGCATACACCACAATTAATGATCCTATATGCCTTGAAGAGCTCAATATCACGCCCGGGTTTGCTTTAAAAGGGAATAATTTATTGCTGCCTTTCCCATCATTGTTTACGTCAGGTCTTGTGGGAAAACTTGTAGAATACTACAAGGGTTTCGTCCCCGCGACAAACATCAAGACTGTGTACAACGTGCCGGCTGGTCATGCCTTCGTAAGTATGATGCCAATCCGAGCACGCTAGAAATTATTTTAGTTGGGGACTTGGGGACTTTGACCGTGGTAATCTGGTCTGAATGAAGACTCGTAGTCTTCTGGTCCTGAGAAAAAAATGTGTGGAATAATTCAATCCAATGTCGAGGCATGAGCAAGTTCAGTTTAGAATTGTGGATGGCCATGCTTGGTAGAACTTCGAAAGCACTCGTACTAGTCGACTATAATTGGGTAACTCAGTCGACAGATACAGATACAGATAATATTTCTTGGAGTGAACATATTGATCACGTGCAGAAAAAGAAACTCCCTCGGGAATCCACGCCATTAAGAAAGTCAAAAATAAACTCCCACAGAGCACCCGCAATCTTGTGTAAAATGCCATCGTTTCCTCACATTGTGACTACTGTGACGTAGTGTGGGGAAACTGTGGGGTTACACTCTAAGCAAAACCACGAAAACATCCAAAACAGAAGCGCCCGCATTATAAGAAATGTTGACTGGGTGGAGTGTTCCAAGTAGTGTCAACCTGAAGGAGCTCAATTCGGGCGTTTCACAGTGCAGTGCGCAACCAAGAGTTTGCCACAGAGAGTTCAATTTTCCAGGTGCATTATGGGAAATGATCGACAAATTTGCAGCGCGGGACATTCGAAATTGTTAGTTTTTTTTTCCAATCAGTAGTTTCGTAAGCATGATTCGAGTATCTGTCTGCCAGTTTCTTTTCTCTTTACCAATGTGGAGTTTTTTTTTTTTGTAAGGCGGCTGAACGCTATGCCCTAATCTATAACAAATTAGCTCAAGTTGTCTGCTGACACTCATTCAAATGGGCCATGTTTTGTCCACCGTAAACTTGAATACTGGACTCTACACGGCAAACTCTTGGTGGCGCACTGCATTGTAAAACACCCGAATTGTTATCAGTGGCTATGATTTTGCACCTCAATATATTAAAGGAACCAAGGGTTGCTAAAGTACTGCGTGCGTGCGTTTAGGTACTTTTTTAATCAAGCAAAAGGTTGCCAATGATTCTTGATCGAACCTGGTGACCAGCTCAGTCAACGAAAGTGATTGATCTGGACATTTTCTTGTGTCTCCCCCTAAAATTTCATTCCAGATCACTGAGGACTACGGATCGAGTTGTGGGAGTAACTCCTCACCGTACATTAACGACTGTGACTACGACCAGGCGTTTGAAATCCTGAACCACATTTATGGCAACCTGCAGGTATCCCATTCCATGCTTCTTTGCGGCTGTCTGTCAAAGAATGCCAATAGCCGGCCAAGAGTCATCATGACGTCACTGTTTGTTTACACGCATGATATCCAATTATCCATTTCACAGACAGATAACGCCTTCTTGGTGATCACGTGGTGGTATTTGGGCGCAGTTCATTGAAAGTACTTTCCATCAAGCTGAGGAGGATACATGGCATGATGGGGCTTTTTTTTCAGTGAACTGCAGCCAGAGATTAAACCATTGTGATCACAAACATGGCGGTATCCCCGAAACCGTTTCTGCATGGGAACCGGGTGGGTATACTTGAACCATCGGGCACCTATAAAAAAGCGCAGAAGTAAACAAGACAATCTCGAAAGTCGTTTGTCTATTCATGCGTATTCTTGTGGAACAAAAGCGCTGTTGTTGTTGGCCGCGGAAGATCGTAAACTTCTTCTCTGCCACAAGAAGCTCCTTTACCCCGCGTTTCTCTATCTGGCAGTGTCGCAAGTCGTCCCACACGCGATCTTTGAAACAGAATAGTGGTCTTCCTGGAGCTCGGGCTCCAGTACTAATTTCGCTGAAGAGGGTTCCCTTACGAAGACGGTCCTGTGGCATCCTACAGACACGTCCGAATCCTTATTGCCGGCGGACCGTGAGGATGGAGTGCATGCTCGCACATTGATTGCACTGTAGAAGCTCCACGTTTGATACTTGGTTTGACCACTTGACGCCCAGGATCCTCCTTAGGTTGAAGCTGTTGAGTCTGGTGATCAGCATAGCATAAGCTGACTAGGCCTCGGACCCATACAGCAGTACAGACATAACACACGCATTGTAGACCATGATCTTTGTCTTCAGCCTAAGCATCCTGTTCTTCCACACTCGCCTCCTGAGTTGTCCAAAGTAGCCCACAGCTCGTCCAATTTGTCTGTTGAGGTCCACCTCCATGCTGGCCATACTTGAGACACAGAACCCGAGGTAGCAGAACTCATCCACCACTGCTAGCTCCTTCCAGTTGGCTAAGAACACCTGAGGTGTTGCCCGGCTCTCCACTTCCTGACACACGAGGACACTTGACTCATGGATCTTGAGTCCAAAAATCACACAGGAGGCAGTAAAACGATCAAGCAGGGTCTGAAGATCGGCTGCTGAGTAAGCAACGAGCGCAGCATCGTCAGCAAATAGGAGGTCCATGACAGTGGAGCGAGCCACCTAATTGGTCTTGGCTCGGAAGCGCTGCACATTGAAAAGCCCGCCTTTCAAAGCGAGTGTGCAAGTAGACTCACAGGGTGTTGTCGTGTTAGGCAAGTAGATGTTGGAGAGACATGGCGCCATCACGCAGCCCTGCTTTACAATGGCGTAGCTACGGATGGGGGGGGGGGGGGGGGGGGGGGGCGTGGGCGTGCACGCCCCCACTAAGTTCGCCCCCCCCCCCCCCCAGTCTCCCCCCCCCCATACACACACTGACAATTTGGCATCCGGAGAAAAGCACAGCCATATGAGTTACCATGATTAGCTGGAAGAATATATAGTCCCTTTTACCGCGATTTTGTGCGTATTCTTTACCAAAACGTTTTTTGTCCCTCGTGTGGCTGTTTATTGCAACGTCCCTGGGCGCGAATGACGTGACGCGAATAGCGGTAGTTATTGTCCAATGTAGCCACGATTCATACGTTTTGAACAGCGCCCCCATTGGAAGATATTTGTTTTCCTCTTTTTTGGGGGCACGTTTCCTTTTTATTTTCCCATTGATTCAGTAATTCATTATCATGTCTGCACAAAGTATGAACGGACATTTAGTCGGGCGGGTCATGTGAAGCGAATTGTGTTCCTTTAACAACTGAGATTTTATTTTGACGTTCACAGTTGCCCTAATGCATTCTCTTAACATTTTCACGATTCTGATCTTTCATTTCATAATTATGTCTTTGATTCTTGTTTATCTTGTCAAGCAACCTACCAGCAGCACTACTGCAAACGGACAGGTAAAACTCTTTTTGTTTGCCAACTTTTTCTGCATATTTTACTAGCTTTAAATGCCTTTTTAAAAGCCTGCTTTTGAAAAATGAACCCTAACAGTCCTGAATCTTATAATTGTAATGTGATTTTCTAATCAAACTATGGATTTGAGGTTAATAAAAAATCTCCCTTAACTTGGACAATGACAACTGTCGGGAGAAAATGGTGGTAAAGCTATAGACGACGGCTTGCGTTAAAATATCCAAGATATATACCATTTTCAAATGTTGCTCGTGGTGAAGATGACAAGTTTTGTCCAAAAGGAAAAAATAAAACAGGAACAAAATGGGTTGAACGTGAGAAAAAAAAGCTCCACGAGGCTTTCGCACAGCGATGCTAATATCATAATTTGCTTTTGATTATGTTTTTTGGTTCTCTGAATGGAACAATTTATGTGGCCCAGTCTTCCACAACTGGATGGTTGATGTCCATTTCACATGTGCTGTCATCAAATGTTGCACTTACAGCCAATAATCGATTTTTTATTGATTTTTTTATTTGCTGTAGTTACTGTCCTTCTCACAGTCCGAGTTCTTCCCCTTCTATTCTTCTCTCTACCGTCCTATGGCCTACACGGGTTATGTCTACATACCGACCGGATGTGTATCTACACAAAGTAAGGGAGAGAACAATAGAAAATGACCGTTTGAATGATCCATTGATCATATGAATGACAGACGATTAAATAATGAAAGGTTTGCGGAAACACCATGTGTGCATAATTACTCAACTAAGAGAATGGTTCTGAAAAGAACCAGAGGTATAAACTCGAAGTTTCGGTCAGTATGCTCTGGCCGTCTTCAGGAGAGTGCCTAAACTCTCCTGAAGACGGTCAGAGCATACTGACCGGAACGTCGAGTTTATACCTCTGGTTCTTTTCAGAACCATTCTCTTAGTTGAGAAATTATGCACACATGGTGTTTCCGCAAACCCTTCATTATTTAGTATCTCCACCATGCAAAGCCTCAAATCTTACTGACAGACGATTAGTTAAATGAGTAAATATCGATCGATTTATTGATTTATCGATCACTTGCTAGATGGAATGAGTGATTCATGGGCCATCAAGCAATAGACCGATAGATGGATCACATAACAGATAGACTGATTGTATGATCGGTGGGTAGTCACTTGACCGATCGATCGATCAGTTAATGAATTGACTGATTGTTACAACGGTGGTCGAGTTATCAACGCATCGATTGATCGATTAAAGGATTGACTGACTGACTGGAGATCAGTCAATCGACCGATTGATTTATCACTTGCTAGACAGACTGCATGATTGATTAAAGATAAGTCAGTCCACGTATTGATTGATTGATTGATTGATTGATTGATTGATTGATTGACTAATTGATAATCGGTCAATCGACCGATATATTAATCACTTAATGGAGTGATTGATTGATTGATTGATTGATTGATTGATTGATTGATTGATTGATTGATTGATTGATTGATTGATTGATTGATTGATTGATTGACTTATTATATCCAAGGCTCAGATGTAGCACTTCTGGTAAATCGCTTTGTCGTGTCATCCAAATAACCTATAACTTTTTCTTTCTCGTAGACTGCAAGCTACATGTAGCTTTCCATGGATGTTCACAGACAACGTGAGTCCATACATTCAATATATCAGAAATATCAGCATTTTTGTTTTGTCTGCAAAACAATCCAGTTTACAACCGTGGAGCCACTGACTTTATCAGTATTTTTCAATTATAACTTGTAATTTCCGTACTCTGGTCGTGGTCTGAAAGTGGCCAAGCTAAACAGTCAAACTTTCTTTTCTGGGAAGGTTTTAAACTAACCATTATTTCAAATTTTCTACAAGCAACGATTGGTCGTTGACTTGTTAAGAGGTATGTTTTCTTTGTATAGATATAGTAATACTGCAGGCCTACCCCCCGTGATCCACTAGGTGGCTTCTAGAGAAATGCAGTGTGCTTGACACCTTGCTTTACGTCATTTTGGACATAAATCGGTGGCTATGACATCTGTCATGCGCACGGCACTTATGAAATCCTAAGTTCATTCTAAAATCTGTTCTTGTCTTCGTTCGTTTTCGTTTTCACTGATTGGTATCACTAGCACATACTAGAAGTGGTACTATTTGGAAGAAAATATAATTGGAGGGGTTTCAAAATAGTGTGCCAACAGGCACACTGTTTTACGTATATTAGCAACGAAATCCAGTTTCCAGCCCCCCACCACACACACATATACACCCCCACAAGTGTGTATTTGCCTGCAATCGGTGACCACCTATATTGTCCCTCTTTTGTTTGTACTCTAACTTTTAAGGGAAGAACTCACATATGTTTTGTACACATCGCACAACATTGGGGACCTTTGGGAATTGGGAACCCTATAGTCCGCTATTGTTCAACGTTCCCTATTGAATGCAGAAACAAACATACCCACACCCACCCTCGCCAGCACGTTGAAGATAAATGATGTGTCTCGTTGTGATGCAGACTTTCGATCGGCGATGACTTTTACACGAAAACCGGTTATAACGAGGTAGGGGAGCTGAACAATATCATCATCCTGTATCCCCAAGCCTTGATCAATACGTGGCTGGTCAACCCCTTGGGTTGCTGGGACTGGTAAGTGGGGGTAAATAATCTAAATGTACAATATACATGTGTACAACGGTCTTGATAGTGCATTGTATGTTCAAATTTAAGTCGCTGTCCACTATATTACCTCTCCCATTGCAATAGACTTGTAAACAACTATACTTGCCACTTTCGACCGAATGTATTTTCTTTTTTTTGTAATGTATTCGAGTACCGAATTACCCTTTCAATAGGAATTGTTCTATGTACTCTAAGAGGAATGATTTGCGATGAGATGATGTGCGGAATATTCTTGTACTGGTTCCCGAACCACATTCAAACGGGTGGTTATATTATAGGGAACCAATCATTGACCTTACCGTTATAAGGATTTGAAAACTTCTTAAGTCTAGAAACAGTGGGGTTACGCTAAGTAAACTCAACTAAGTCATATCAAGCCAAACAGTATGTATATTTTATCCAGAAATTAGCCTTACATTTCTATGTTATTTTCCATAGGTGGGGCTACAAGGATAGCGACTACGGTAAGTCTGTACACATTTTGCTCTTTTGGTAGCCAACCGTGACCTTAGTACCACACGCGTATAAATATGGACCTTTTATATCGTATCATCCACCACAATATCATTGAACGTGTTCCCGTGGACATAACGGTTTATGTGAGCGTCTGCATAAATATATCAAGTCCAATCTCAATTCAATCTCCATGTTAACTTGCTTAACTTAGTTGCGTCTATACAGTGTAGTGCAAGTAGCACACTTATAGATATCACTCAATTTGACATTAGGATTAATGCATTTTTTTAATGCAGTAACAACTTTGCAATGATATTTGTTCTCTGATTTGTAAAAGAGATTACCAAGCACTAGCGTTTTGTAGTTCATTCTTGGGAAAGAGTCACGTGACATTTGGTTTCAATATTGTTACAAAAATAATTATATACAGTATGTCCAAAAATAAGTGTCCGTCTGATTGTTTTTGAAATAACTACAAAACCATGAGGTCAATTTTGAAAATGTGGGGTTGTGTGGATACGCCTAAGCCTTGCCCTTGATCTCTATGAGTTTCATTTAATTTTAGTCACGCATCACTGCACAATTGTCAATAGATCACATTTTTTTGGGGGGGGGGTGTTACTGTGGCCAAGTCCCATGCCTTAATCAATTTCAGAGCTGTTTTATGTGAGCTGTGTAAAATCCAGCATTTTGTAAAAAAAAGGTTGATGTGGCTTTGGATTGGAATCATTGTGCTTGAGCATTAAACTAAGGTCTTGCCAAGATGGCTTACAGCTAGGCAAATAATTCCAATACTAACTGCAGCCCTTTTCACAACATGAGAGATTTTACAAAGGAACTTGTGTAAAACATTTTTGCTGTGATCAATTGATAACTGTGTAGTGATGCGTAACTGAACTGAAATGAAAATCATTGGAGTGAAGGCCAAGGCTTAGGGGTGTCTGCACAACAGTAAAACAAAATCAAAATTGTTTTCATTGTTTTGTAGTGTTTTCAAAAAATTGTCAGACGGACACTTTTTGGGGGACATAATTTATACAAAAACAAGAGAATGTATAACGTAAAGCAGACATCTTCGGGAAGAACTTTTGCTAATTACCTTTAAAAAGTGTTATTCTGGCTAAATTAATGTCAATTATTTTGTTTCCCAGCTACCAAGACTGGCTGGGAGATGCAGGCCATCAAAGCAATGATCGACCGCATTCTGCAGTAATGCCCCGCGATGGGCAGTGTAAAGGGCGTGGTCAAAGGGTGTGGCCTCACCACGCCCAATGAAAAGCCACGATTGGCAAAATCAAAGGATGATAAAAAAAAAGTAACATGAAAAAGTAGTTTAAGAATTATAAAGTCTAATATGATCTGATGATGTAATCCATGAATGTTTGATCAAAGATATTGACTGGGCGTGATTTCAACCTGCGACATCCATAACACGTGCCAAGGATCTAGAAACAGAGTAATCTAGCACATTATTGATGGACGACTAGAGAAACCTTGTGCGTTGCAGGTACCTCACTGGGTCCTCGACCACTCAAAGATATGAAAGACATTCAGCGATAATAACTGTTAGTAAACAGTAGCCTTGGTGGTCTATTAGGTCAAATATTTAATCAAATACAGCTGGAAAAGGATACACTCTTAGAAAAAAAGTACCCAATGTTGTGTAAAATGGTACTCTTTGTGGTGGTAAAAAGGGAGCATGGTCGTTGGCGGGGTAAAACGCTACGCAGCAGGGGTTGCGTCAAATTTTATTCAATTCCTGCGTAAAACGTTTACCCAACATCGAGTCAAAATTCTTACCCAATGGTGTTGCGTCAAAATTGGCAGGGGCAGGGGTAGGGGGCTTGGGGGCTCTGTCAAAATTTCTGCATAATTTATTAACCATTCCCTTCACCTGACCGGGGCGCCCCTCCCCCCTCCCCCAACATGGATGCTCTGCTAACAAATAGTGCTGACGTGCAGGCCAATTAGACTGACTGTGTTTGAATAATACAAATGTCGTGTTTTCTTTGTACACGCACGATACACACAACGCACATCACGACATTGCAATTCAATCATCGACCTATTTGTCACAAATATCCAATGTTGGTACCTCATACTGCCCACGTTTTCTCAATGACGCAACACATTTACTCAGCAATGTTTGACACTTCTTTATCATAGGCGTGATTTGAACCTGCGACATTTGAAACACCATACCAGTCATTTACAAACTACAAGCTAGTGAGCTTATATGTATCAAACTACAACATTCTCCGAGTCCATCTTAATTCAAAGGATTTTCATTGTTGATTTAATTTACAGTAGGAAACTTTACAGTTGAAAACTTTGGACCAAGAAGTATAATTTTCATTTGCATGTTTACAGTCACTAGCGTACCAAATCGTTATATTGTTTATCAGAAATAAATATAACATATCCGGAAGATCAATCTTAGCTTATGTGTTCCTCTTCATTGCACAGGGCTGGATAAGCTTCATAATCACAACGTTACTCACTGGCAGAGTTACCCTGACAAAAAATGAATGGCAAATCATGCGAGCAAAATATAACATCTTGATATTTATAAGCAAATATAATTACACGGCATATAAATAATTAATTGTTGTAGATTTCCACTAAAATGTTAAAGCACCTTTCTGACGGTTACGAAATTGCTTATGATAAAAACATTAGTGAATAATTAATATTAATTGGGACAATGATAATACCAGGTAGTTATAGTGATAGAGAATAAGGCCCTATATACAAGAGTTACGCTGAAATAGCCTTAAGCTACCTTAAGCTACCTAAATCAATTAAGCTACCTGTAATGCTTTTTAGACAAGAGTATAATTTTCAGCATGAATAAAGATAATGAAAAACGATACGTTTTAATGGTAGATTTGTTTGATAGAAGGTATAAGGTAGAGGGCAGGAAAGGCTTTTGGGTGACACTATCGTAAATATTATTCATTATCTCCCCAGTACCTGACCCTTGTATTAATACAGACTTTCTATAAATATGTTATCTTTTCAAGGGTGAAGATAATAATTATAATGAACTTGCATACATTGGCCAAAAATGTATACAACACACAAGAAAACAAAACCGCCGATATATGGTGTGGTATACATGGAACGAACCTCCGCCCGTGTATGCTGGGGACTCTTTTAAATAGACATGTCCCACATACAACACCGGAAACAAAAAGGTCAAGACAAGAGAAAAAAAGAGAAAAGTCACACCCAATGCACTATTTTTGAAACTTTATCTAAAGTTGCCAACAGAAACCAGTGGGTAGATGTATAGACCAATCCGGCCCCTCAATGGCGGAAGTATTGAGCTTGTTTTGTGCAATAGTATATGTGCAATGGCTCCTCCATTGAAGGGGCCATATCGCAGATCTCCATATGAAAACAAAAACATGTCATTTTACGTAGAGATCAGTGGGCCGTGGGGGGGGGGGCACGGAGGGGGCCCTGAAAAGAGCGCGAATGATGGTCTGTGTGCCTCTTCCATTTGTTAAAAAAAAAAAAAAAAAAAAGTGTGCGAAATGGTGATACATTTAATAGAATTAGCCCTTTTAATGTCGGTATTTTGTGCGCTTTCTGGTTTATACAGGCATAATTCAAGCACTTGCTCTATATTGAATGTGTACATAAGTTTAGTAAGTAGTACTGAAAGACCAATTCGAGGAAAGAATATGTATTTGCTTCGTTCTATAGTGCAGTGAATCCTGTGCGCCGACACCTGTTCAATGCACTGACCGTGTATTGTAGCACCTTCAATGACGCCCCTATAATTCCCGCACAGAAACTTGTTTTGCTCATTTCGTTTTTATTTCTTAAAAGTTTTTTCAAAGGTCTCATCTTTACTCCGGAGTCGTTTGAAGGATATCGCTCAGTTCAACATGACTGCTTTGGCCAAATTAATGAACATGGCGAAAGTCAAAATGGTATATATCTCCAACGGTATTTTCAATGTGTCACAGTCTGGTGCCTGGCTCAACGAGTAGGCTATAGCGTTGTTCGTAAAATTAGGAACTTCACTGGCTCAGTGTGGCGCGAGGACCTACGGGTGCAACCCTGTTATTAAAATTCCCATAGACACTAGTTGTAAATGCTCATAATTCAAAATTATTTTTAAGGTACTCAAAACTCTCATAAGTGGGCCTATTTAGGCTGCACACATAAATGATGATCAACATGTTATCTTTTATTTTATTTTCATGTTTTGGTGTGTTTACTTTTGATTTTTGGAGATATCCTCACCCAAAGAACACGACCCCTATTTATTTCCAAAGCGGAAATTAGCCATCTTGAGAAACGATTCCTCCACAACATGGCAAAATAGCGGCGCTTTCGAGCCCAATTGTATCCAAAATGCTCAGAATTGGAAGCCGCAAATGTGTCAACATTTTATGAATCTTAACAACGAAGAAAATAAGCATAATCAATTTATTTGTTGATAAAGTGTTGGGCAGGGGGGGGGGGGGGGGGGGGGAATGCGCCCATGCCCCCTCCCCTTCCCCATGTAGCGCCACCAGTGTTAGATAGATGCATCTACATATCATTTTCTGGAAATCAATTTACATATATTATTTACATGGTAATTCTAAGATAATTTGTCATCAATAAATAGACCAAGAAATTTGATACTATTGGTTTGATTGTTAAATTATCAAATAAAATGTCCGTCGGAATTGCATTAACTGTGTTACTAAATAACATAAAACAATTCTTATCAATGTTGAGAGATAATTTGTTGGCTTTCATCCATTTAAAGAGACAAATGAGTGTCGCAGAGTGGACCCTTGCGCCGCTCTACTCAGACCAAAAATCAAGGAATAACTCAAAAGAACAGAGGACTCAACACAGGATTTATCAATCACAAAATTAAACCATTTATTACGAGAAAGAAATAAACCAAAATTAAATTATTATATACATCTGTTTGATTACCGGCCAAAATTATGTTCACAGTTTGTGTCCCCAGAATGTTTTAGTGTTCGCGTTACATTGCCTCATTACAAACAACGTAATTCTGACACAGCTCTATTTATTACAATATAAGTATGACACAGCTCTATTAATTACAACATAAGTATGACACAGCTCTATTAATTACAATATTAGTATTTGGGTCCGGCTTGAGCATCGCCGTGGGACGATTCTGCCTATGAACATCATGAGCTTCAGAACCCGGTCTGCTGCTTGGGTAGGCCCCCTACGCACCGACCGTCGGAGAGTAAGTGGAGGTTCCCGTCACGTCAAACTTCAGTGAAAGTAAAGGACAGTGGCCGCCCCGCTAGCCATCGTAGGGTAGGATTACCGGAAGCCCTGTAATATCCATAAGTGCATTCTAATAAACATGCAAGTTGGGCCAACATTTTATATTACGAAAATACACAGGTTATAAGTTGTTGCAATATTACAACTTCACACAATGAACACGGTTTTCACTCTAAATGCACAAGTTTCCACCATGAAACGGGATTCATCTTAAATGTGAAAATACAGATTTTTCCCAAGTATACAATACACAATTAATGATAATACATAGCTAATAATAATTACTCACAAGGCCTTCGGCTTCGTACGGGCCTATCCGTGGGTCTGGCGTTCCCGGGAGATTGCGACGCGGTACTAACACAATGGGCCTCAATCGCCCACAAGCGGGATTTTTAAAAACTCCCCTCTAAAAGAGGGTACAAGAAGTCCGCCCGACACGCAGCCTTCGGCGGCTCCCAACTCGACAGCCTCAGCGCTGAAGGTCCACACCCATCCGCTAAGCGAACACCCAACCCGGCGAGACACACTCACTCCGGCTCCCGCACCGCAAAACTCAATCCGAAAACACGTGGGCGGGGTTTTTATACCCCTCCCCGGAATGCCAGCTACCCGATTAACCCAGTTCTGAATACAAATTTACTGGAGGTGGCACCACGACTGAGCCCCACATGGGTGCAAGCCCGGAATAGGTATGCAACAAAGGGAAAAGGAATTACGATTTGCATAATTCATCTAGCATCAACCTCAGACGTTACATAACACTTTACGGGAGTACAAATTTAGTCTACTAATAAATTAACTCGGAAAATAAAAGGAATAATTTTAACACGTCTTGTTACAATGAGCTCTAAAATAACCGTGTTAACAAGTACGGTCAGATTACTATGAGTATAAAATAAGTTGAAATCATCTGCGAATACAATAAATGACAGGATCCTAGAGGATTTATCAAAATCATTAATGTAAATAGAAAAAGCAAAGGTCCTAATAGAGATCATTGTGGAACTCCATATAGTAGATCTTCAGTAGAGGAATGATTGTTATTAAAATAAACAAATTGGTTACGGTTAGTGAGATAATTCCTGAACCACTCCATCTTGTATGATAGCATGAGTGGTTGAGTGGTGCTCCCTAAACCCATATTGAGAATCAGATAAAACATTGTGTTTCAACAAAAACATTGTAATCAAGTTTTGAGCATATATTAGTTTAAGAGCAATACACACGCCACATATAATGCCAGTGCCATAAGATTATGCCTATGCTCAAGCCTGTACCTGTCCCCCACGAAGCAAATGGACTCGCCTTCATATCACCGAAAACTCATTCATTTTATACCAACACGCGCACGGACCATTTCAATAAGTGTATGTGGCTTTATTTTTTATTGAAATTATGGTTGGAGAAAAATTGGATACGTACGACATCCAATGGGCTGGATCTCGGTATATAAACGATTGACCGGCACACACAGGGAAGAATTTCTCCTCCTGTCGTTTGCTCGTACTTCGGTATTGTTACACTCTTTGCAATTGAGCTGACCAATTTGAGGCAAGATGTTTGAGACAAGTTTCGCAGTTATGAAGTTGATGGTTGTGGTGATGGTGTTCGTCGGGCAGGCCAGCGCAGCCGCCTTAGGCAAGTATTGTCATCTATTGTTGGTATTTTCTTTTACCCAATATTAACAAACAACAAATTGTTTTGTTTCTTTTTTTTTAAGCGTGAATCTCTTTTATTTGGCTGGTTAAACAAGAGTCGGTTGTGTCTGATATTTCTCAAAAACACAAAACAGCATGGTACGCACTATGAAACAGTTTGCCGAATTTAGATATGACTTGCTCCCGATTTGACATATTACTGAACATGGCCGGCGATCAGTGGGAGAGTAAAAAGGGGGCGGGGTACATTCCCTCCAATATTTTGCTCAAATGGACGGCTGTTATCTTGATTTTTTAGAGTGAAGCTAATTAAGGAACAGAGGATAGGGATTTCTATATGACACTTTCTTACAATAAAATCTTCTTGCGTGAACCACGGATTTACAAACATGGATGAACGACTGTTCTGAGCTCTAGTACAAAATGCATTGAGCGGACTTGCCTTATATTAACCCTCCGGCGCATAATCTTGCCCTTTTGGGGACCCAATTTGGTTAATTACCTTAATGAAAGAAAAAAAAATTTCAAACCAATTCTGGTGATCTTCTATCTAATCCTAGCAAGAGACACCCTCTACGAATATATGCAGTCACCTTTAGTGTGTGACCCCGGGTCAGGCATATCTGAGCCTGACAACCTGGGCTAAGGACCGACGCAATTTCTGCCCATCCTTGGACCCACCATATGCACGCGCACAAAACAACTCCGACGCAATTTCTGCCCACCCGGGGACCCACCATATCACGTGCACAAACAAGGTCACTTGCGAGTAGACAGTGCACGGCTTGACCACAGACTATGTATACAAATACACCTCCTTAGTCTACAGACATGGCAAGATTGTGTTCATGTGGATACAGTGTTGTGTAGCCTCAAACCGTGGCGCTAAATATTTGGGTCCCCGGGGGACCCCTTACTGTAATAAGTGTGTTACTAAATGGGCTTTCTGCGTCGGAGGGTTAATTGGTTAGACGCGTGATAACGGGCATAAATACCCGTTGGCACGCTAATAGCGAATGTTCCAGGTGTGTCATTTTGTCAGTTTGTTTGCATGACATTTAAAACGGAAATAGTCATACAACTTTAAGCAAAACCACTCCTTATGTAAGATATACTTTTCCAAAATTTTGCAGAAATAAACACTTCTACATATAACAGATAGTCATGATTGTAAATGTTTTTGTTGTCATGGATGAAGCATTTACCTAGTAAATAAACGTAAAATGTGACACCTTTTTTTCGAGAACACCGTTTACCCAAATCTGGTTGTTAATATGTAAAAGGTTTTTATCGAAAAGTGTTGGAGAGATGTGGTCCCGAGCCGATAAAACAAATGCGACATTTCTTAGTTAAGCTAAATATATTGTGCTCGGCGTTAAGGCCAAAAAGAAAGTCTTTGGTTTCTGGTATGCGCGCGTGTCGCCGTAGCCATGCGCGTCAGTAAAATAAACACTTTTTTTCAATGAAAGATGATGTCTCAAAACCGCAACACTCACTGGTTTGACGGGAATCCTGTTGCTGCACAATTTTAACGTGTTTTTAGATGGAGTTACGATCGAGTATAAGCTTTATGTGGCCTCTCTGGACTCCCATATATTTGCAATAAGTTTAGTCGGGCACCATTTGCAGTCATCAGCCGACATTTGAAAAAAAAAAAAGGTAAAAAAAAGCCGCGTCGCCGCACCACTTTTTGGGCAAGCTCCATACCAGAAACCGGAGACTGGTTTTTTGGCCTAACGTGGTTATGTATTAATCACATATCAGCATTCAATTATAAAGGCCAAAAACATAGGATCGTGAATCTTCAAAAATACAAAAGGCCGCCTTGACAAAATTCGACACCAGATCAAGCACAGAGCCCAGCAAACTTTAAAGCCGCCGCGCGCGGCTAGTCAAGCGGTTAATAGCTGTCTTGGTCTTTGTTGACTGTACGGGCCGTTATCACGCTCACAGCCTCACACTCATCAGTTTTAACAGGAAGTTAGCTGAGTCATTAATCCTTGCGTGTATGCTGGTCATTTTTATGAAGCAATTGCTGATTACCTAGCCTTTCGCCAAGGCCATCGTGGCTTAGAGCGGCAGAGCTGCGAAAGCCCGAAGCGACTGGAGCAAAGCTGAATGCCGGCAAGTTAAGCCACGATGGCCTTGGCGAAAGGCTACTGATTACCCTGCATAGTACATTGATGCTGATCTTTCCAGCAGGCAAATTTTGTTAAAATACCTCTTGATTGAACGGACCCTTCAGCTTTCAGCCCCTTTTCGTTTTAAAATGTCCCGTCTTCTGTATTTCCAAATCAACGTTTCGGTTTTCGGATTAACCCCGCCCCGCTCCCATAAAAAAAAGCTAGCTTAAATCCACCATAGGTACTATTTTACCGGAAAGCCAGCCCGCCGGCTAACCGACACTGTGACGGTTACGTGACCGATTACCCACTGAATTTGTCTGGAAACACGAGGACGCCGGATATCTGGCAGACCGTTACACCGGGTTGGATCTGAAACCACCACGACATGCACGACCCAGCTTTTTCAAAATTGTTGCGAGAAGGACGGTCCTTAGAAACTCTATAGCATAATCGATTTTTTTCCGATGAGTACCGAGATACTTGGTGCAATGCACCCATCAGTTGTTTTCCCCGCCCCCCCCCCCCCTCCCCGCTATCCCAGGTCTTATGTCGGGGTTTGGTCACGTTTTGCAGGCCCCGGGGTGGGGATTTTGGTCACTCACGAACAGTTTATACTATTTGACACACTTGATGGACATTCAACCAGTTTAGGGCCCCGAGAATGGTAGATATCGTCACTTAACTTTTGCCCCACTTCAAAAGTGACAGTCCCCACATCTTGGATGGGAAACATTATTGGTTGGTGTATAAGAAACGGTATAAACCAAACAACCAAGCACGAGACCCGGAATGACAATGTAACGAGACGGGGAATAATCTCGTACTATTTAGGGGAGGAAGGGGTTGGATGGAAACACCACACACCATAATAAAACTACATTAAAAACTCAGTGCGTGGCAATTTGTCCCCCAAAAAAGTGGATCCCAAAAAAATACGGCGTAGGGTTCGGGGCCCGCATTTGCTTGGATTCAAGATGCTCTTTGGAGCGATCTGAGGAAATTCCTGAACACTTTAACCACATTGCTGTATTCCTGTATCAAATCAGTATAAAAGAAGCAAGTTTCCCACCCAGAGGTTACTATTGGAAACAAGGTTGAAAGCAAAGCTACCCTCGGGGACGAGGTTGGTCAGTGAGTGAGACATTTGCAAAGAGGACTATGAGGCTGGCCCTTCTGGTATTAACAACAAAAAAGGCTACTGGCCACATATTGACAGACTGTCAATGTATATTGACAGACTGTATATTGACAGACTGTCAGTGGACTGTATATTGACAGACTGTCAATGTATATTGACAGACTGTCAGTGGACTCGTGCTTCGCCATTTTTTTTCCCACCTAATATTTTATGCTTTTCATCTTCATGAAATTGCGCCTAGAATTAGAAATGGGAAAAGGAATAAAATAAATATTATAACACCTCACCCACAGATTCTGTGTCGTTATTGGCTGAGAGCGAGTCACATGGAATTCGCTTTATTTGCTATCTTGCTGTGCACGTCCAAAAGTACTATACCCATAGCAACCAAAGTACTATACCCGTAGAAACCAAAGTACTATACGCACTGTGTGCAAAATGCATAGGGATGTGTGTGTTTCGCGTTGCACGTATTTTTTCCAAGCGCGTTAGCGCTACAGAACTGGGTTCAACCATTTCGTGGGGTGAGGGGGAGGGGTAGTGAGGACAAGTGCAAGTTAATTTTCAACCAATTTCGTACTCAAAAAGAAGTAAATTGTTATTGCATTCAGATTAAATTAATAAGTTATCGCTTAAAATCAAGCAGAATCTGTGGGAAAAATGTTCGCCTCGGGACAAATAGAATGCTTCATGGATCACCTGGGCAGGCTAGTTTTATTACTCGACTTGAAGTAGTCAATATTTGTATACTTGTTTCCAGGGTTATTTGCCTTGCCTTCTTTTACTACAAAGTAATTTCAATTAAAAAACAAATCTAAAGAAACAAACCCCAATTCGCACAGATGAATGAGACGCTAGATTTTGGAGTGAAAAGTATAATGAGTCGATCCCTGTGAAGCTTTCCTACTTGCATCTTATCCTTGCCACTTCGGCAGAGGACCGAAATTATAGGCTCGATGATACTTGAAACGAATCTACGCATGAAATATAATATTGAACAATTGTTTTTTTTTACAATGGAAACCTGTAGGGCCTACGGCTCGTATTATTAAACAGCCAGGTGAGAAAATAGACTTGTTATTGTTTTCCACCACTTACAAAAACAACAGGTGTCTTGTAGTGGATACTAAGGTCACAGCAATTCCAACTGCCGTAGCGCGTTGTTTTGTGTTTAAGCAGGGCGCGAAGGTGGGAAAACAATCCATCATTCTGAAGTTGCTGATGAAAGAGTTATCTAGTTCCTTCCGATGTTGTTCCAATTTCGATCGCTACGTTGTCGTTATTTACACACCGCTGTTTCAATTAATTGGAATTGTATTCACCCGAGCACTTACCACAAATGACCTGATTAGAATAACCCACAATTAAAATGCTTGGACAAGTGGGCCACATACCGATTTCTGTAATTAAGGCCATTGGTGATCAATAAAATTGAAGCGCGTCATTGAACACCTTGGTCTTCTCAGTAACCTTGTTTTTCTTTATGACTTGTCTTCAGTCCCAATATTCTACCCTACTCTGCGGAAAGGTTGGCTTCCATCTACGGTAATTCAGACACAACATACCAAGTTGAAGATAGATGCAGCCTTGCAAGCCGGAGTTGTCTTATTATTGTACGTTGGCAAACCGAGTCCAGTGATTTACCATTAGTTTTGCCCTCGCCCGAGCATTTATAATTCATGACACTTCCAAATAAGGATTGACACAATTTTTGCCCGATCACATTGCTCGTTACAAAAACTGACCACCCATACGAACTCATCTGTGATATACGGTCGGATAACCATCCCTACCTCGCCCTTAATATTTGTAATGGCTGTCATTGGTTAGACCATGAAGCCCAGGCTCTTGCCCCCACCAGTCCTTACTCCAGCAAAAACTTCAGTTCTATACCATTCGGGAGATTTACTATTCTGGAAATCATGTAGGCTGTCTGCTCCAACAATTCTCAATATTTTCTCCTACTGGCCTACAAGCTCCAGAATTTCTATATTGGATGTTAGCCTTTCACCGATGTTCTTTTATAAACACTGTATACCAAATTAATTGTGAGGGAAACAAAACTCTGATGGGACTCGAACCCAGGATCTCCTGTTGATCAGTGCAGACGTACCACTCGACCACCGAGCTTGCCGCAACTAAACTATACAAACAAAGATATCGGATTCGAACCAGGCAGCCAACTCCGGCTAGCTCGGTGGGCGAGTGGTAAAACATCTGTACAGATAAGCAGGAATTTGTCCGGAAACACCTGATTGTCGGATGATTGGCAGTCTGTTACACCGAATTGGATCTGAAACCACCACTACATGCACGACCCAGATTTTTAAAAATTGTCGCAAGAAGCACGGTCCTTACAGTATACAGTGTTTATAAAAAAAAAATACGTCGGTGAAGGACACAACCTAATATTGAATTTACATCGCCCCTAAGCAAAATTCCATCTTATGACCAGTTCTAGAAAAAATGACCTCATAGATCAAGAATCATGAATATTCAGAGCGCAGGGAATCGTCACAATGTCTACGCAGACAATCTGATTGGCTGACAACGAGTATCAAAATAGGGAATACGTGGACTTGGTTTGACAGGGTTTTCTTACAAGAGTAAGATTACCTAGGTAAAGCTAGGATAGGTCCACTGGACTTACTCATTGAAGATACTCAATCGGTACGGTTAGGTATCATAACGATACATACCAAAACATTCACAGAGTCTACTTAAACAAACGACAGGTGTAAGACATAGTGTAAATTACCATAAACATTACTGTTAATACTGATAAACTTGCATACATGGTGGCATTTACCCCGCGCATAAATAACCTGATGAATGTTTCTAAGTGTCCGGATTATATCTATCCAATTATCGATTGCAGGATTTCAATACATTTATTCACAATTAGGCCAGTTTCCGCCACACATACCTCGCGTGGAGCTTGGATGTTTGGACACAAATGATTTCTACAAATTAGGCCACTGGTTATCAATAAAAACGGATTGTTGTATCCGAACTAAATGTTAAAGCCGCCATGCCACTCAACATTACCAATTGAGGATGGCTCTGAGATAAGCGCGGAATGGAACATTTGTCTTCTCAATAACCTTACAAAAAACAGTTTTATGGTTTTTGTCCTTACTCACAATATTGCACCCCACTCTGCAGAGTAATTGAAAGTTTTTATCCATTTAGGGTCATTCATGCATACCACTTATCCAATTCGAAGTGAGAAAGTTTTAATGATTGAAATGATACGGGTTGTCCATTGGACTCAGACTATGAAGGTGCTCGACTGCCAAAACTACTTCCCATTTGCAATTCATTCAAAAGAAAACAGGACTCGATGCTATATTTTTATAAACAAACAAAAACATTCCAGGATTTAATTAAACGGACGACAGGTGTAAGACATACCACCCCTAGTGTAACAAATCTCTAGCAAACCATTGTCTTATCGATTAACCTATATACACTACACGGTTGCACTTTCCTGAATAAAAACAATCAAATAATCGTTTCCAAGTGTTCTAATTATTTCAGTGCAAATATCGATTACGGTATCTAGGCCTACAAATACTTTGTTTGACGCAAAACAAAACAAAAATAGGCCAGTTTCCTTTGCATTATACCTCGCTGAATAGATTAAAATGATGAGAACGGATACAGGTTGCATTCAATAACAAAACAACATATGGCACAACAAAGAAATATGGGGAGCGGGTGCGAGTTGACCCCATTAGCGTAAATTGGTCCCATTTTGCAGTCGGGCACTTTGGGGAGGGAGGCTCATTGGGTTTGGGCATAGTCTCAAACGATATATAAATTGTATGTTTGCCTTCTCCAAATTCTGAGCGGGGGATGGGGGAGGGGACACTCAAGCCTAAGGCTGCCCCATCCCTGCCTTAGTTCAACCAATGGTGTGGTTGAACCTGCGACGATCGGAATACACCTGCGATTGATCACCTTAATTGTCCGTTCCTATAGTTGTTGGTTGTCTCCCAATTTATTTGTTCAAAGGGTTGCACTTATACAGTATTATACAGTATGTCAAATTGTTGGGTTCGGTGGGGGAGCGATTTTATCCCCTTAACGTTTCGTTCGTAGGTTTGTTTGTTTATTGTTTTTTTTTTTTTTTACAAGGGGTTGGGTTAGGTGTTTCTGATGGTGTGTGTGTAGGTGTGCGTATACAAACACTGCCTTGTGGGGTACCGGAACAATGGGAGGTACCCCACAAGGAATGCCCACCGTCTTGCGGGGTACCGTTTTGGTACACCACCAGTTTTTCACGAAATATATATATGGATTTTACCCAAAAACTAGGAATTTCCAAGGTGGGTTGATTCGTTGCAATTGGAAGAGTTTTAGATAAGGGATATTAAGTCTGAATTTCAGCCCAGGAAATTAACTGTGGTTAAAATAAAAGCATTTTTACATAAGTGTGCGATGTTGCGAAATTTCGAAAACAAAGGAAGTACCCCACTTCTATGCCTATGTAAGGGTGTGTGTGTAGGTGTGTGGGTGGGTGGGTGGGGGGGGGGGGGACTACCATTGGATGTGAAATGCACATCATTAAAAATGAAGCCACGGGTAACGTTCCAACCCAGGCATAAGCGCACTGGAGTACTGAGGTACTCCAGGCACTGGGAGTTATGTCTATTGTTAGATGAATAAAGTACATGAGACATATGAGACCCATTATGTGGCATACAAGGTGCGGCCACTGCCAGTAACACCGGGGCGAACCCCTTCTCTTAGAGACAAGTGTTACTGGGTTCTTTAACGTGCATTACACAACACACGGGACCTACGGCTTTACGTCCCATCCGAAGGACAAAGCAATAATGGTAAAGTGCCTTGCTCAACAGCACAAGCACCATGTTCCCACGGCCAGGATTCGAACCCGTGTACCACGGCACACGAGACGAACACCATAACCATTGGACCACAGCTCCCCACCATAGCACCCCTGGCTTTAGCAGTGCATTATGCGATGCCCATGGTAGCTGTCTTTTTTATGACATGTACATGGAGTTTTAATTGCACACTTTAATGTCTTTTTTTGCAATTTTTCTATGTTTGTCAGGCTCTTACGGCGCGGATCCGACCAAGGTGTCGGTCAGCGGGGTGTCATCAGGGGCCAACATGGCCGTCCAGCTACATGTTGGCTTCTCCGCCACCATTATGGGGGCAGGTGCCGTGGCTGGAGGTGAGCAAGTTAGTATGATAGCAAACAGGAAACCAGACATAGCACTGAGGTCACAACCAGGAAGTAGTGACCTATAACCTGTCTTATTCAATTGTACACAAGTAGTGAGCGAATTGCAAATGGCACTGCAATCCAGAGGTACTCCGAAGTCATTATATAAACATATTGCAATGGGTCGCTGAAATCCTCAACATGTCTACAGAATGTTGAATCCTAATCAGCTAGGCTTCCCTAGCTGCAGCCGCGTAGCCAACCTCGGCAATTAAAAAATAGCAAAGTTGATGGTACTACGGGAAGAAAACTAACTATGTGGTACATGAAGATTATCTGAACTTTTTCTTCTTGCAGAATAATGGTTTTTTTGGGGATTTAGAATTATACGGCTTTCTGAAAGGCAATAAACTGTTGGTCAACAGCCTCGGTCCAAAATTTTGGCCACCGATATCAAATGAGGGGAATAATCATAGCAATTTTTGGCAAGGTATACACCTCCGGAGTTGGAAAATATGTGAAAGCATTGCAGCGGTGGCAGCTCTTTGAGTGTTATCAGCCTTTTTCTCAAAATGTCCATCAAATTTGTTTGTTACCACTGTAGGGGCGGTATACCTTGCGCATGCTCGCTATAATCATTTATTTGGTACCGACCAAACCCCCAGGCTGAAGGTCTACTGTAATGTTGCAGTGTTTCGACACTGAAGGTGTCGGGAAGTGGTCTGTCGATACCCCCTCATATTTCTTGTTATCTTATTATTGCTTATGTAGCGCCTTACTACTGCGCACGGGGCAGTGTACTGAGAGCGACCACGTTGGAGTGTTCCACTTTCGGTAATCCAGGCAATGTCGACATACCCTACTTGAAGTCCAAGACGGAGTCTTATGCTTCTTCTGGCAAAGTGGACGCCACGAGCAACATGGCGTCGGACCGAGTCTACCTCTTCAGTGGAACTCAAGATTCAGTTGTACAAACAGGTAACTAAAACATAAACAATAGAGAATATATCGTCGGGTGCCTGGAAGAAGGTCGTAAGGGCAACAAATGAGTGCAAAGGTCAAATTCCTTTTTTGGGGGGGAAATCGATTAAGCTTGGAAATATCTTTCATTTGATATATTGTCTCAAGGGGCTACGTCATTCTGACGTAATTAACAGTAAACAAAAGACGGAAGGAGGTTTTTCATTATTTGTGCCAGGCAAAAGGTCGTAAATAAGCGTGTAATTTTAATGTAACGCTGCACTTAAATGGGTACGCAAAGCCAAGTTTGTTCCCAACCATTGTGCACAAACCTAAGGAGACCTAGACTTTTTGTACAGGGTTTGTACGGCTATTTGCATATCTGCGTTTGTATTCCATACCGGTGCGTTATCGAAGCCGATACACCCAGAACCAGCCTCGACTCCAGGGGCGCGTGCTCGTTCCTTACACTAACCCCTGGCTGTGATGATGACGTAAATGACGCTGAGTGGCTATTCACAGGTACTGCGCGCGCATTTCGAAGATTGCACGCCGGGCGCGCCGATAATACGCTTGCGTGCCTTGCACGTAATGTCACGTACGACAAAAAAAAATGTGATTCAAAAGTCGCGATGCCTGTACGATATGGAAAATGGCAGCCGCGTCTTTTCGCAAAAAAACCCCCTGTATCTGTGGTTGTAAAGGCCCGAAAGGGGTACGTACATTTAATACAAATCTTTGCTAAATAAGGCAACGTCCAAACGTTATGTTTGAAAGGATTGATTCTTCAAAATCACAACTTTTAACATTTTAAAGATGGCGTCGGCACGTTAAACGGATAAACTGCAGCCCTAATTATAATGTGCCATCTTTTGGCACATTTAAATAACACGATTCCAGGGGTTACGATCGCGCAAGGCATGATGGGAAACAACATGGCGCAATATCATACCCACGGGCACGAGGTTGGCCCAAAACCGAAACGCACAATCAACAAATGAGCGTGTCGTTTTGCTCTATAGTCGGGTTCCCTAACGTGGCGCACTTAGAAGCTTTCCCAACTTCCCTCGTGTAGTGTTGCCAAACCTCTTTGTTGACAAACCTAAAATTCATGCAGTAAAATACTAGTACTTTTACCTCATTAATGCTTGCTTTTTATCCTCTGTGAACAATTTCGGTTTCATAAAATTTAATCCAAAATTGAAAAACGGTGGCGTCTGGAAATTGGGCACAAATTGGCGGAGTGTTCCCTAACGTGGCGCACTGAAGTAAATCTTGGAAAATTCCAAATTAACATTTAAGAATTTCTGTAAATCATTATTATCTGTAGTTTCATACTCAGCCAGATGTTTGTCAGAAAATTATTTTCTTATTTTTCGGGGCATTTTCAAAGGGGTTCACTTTGCACTTTACAATAAAATCGGTAATAAGTTCTTCTAACTTTGTAACGGGTAAATAAACTCGCGATTTATAAACGAGAGTGTTTAGAACTTGCTGAAATTTCACTTTTTTGTTAAATATCAGTTAAAGCTATAGTCCATCATTTGTAATTAGTGCATTTTGCTCGTTTGAAGCAACAAAAGTGTTCAAAATCTAATGAAGGATACTAACCAACTAACCTGATGAAGTTTCAGCTAAGCTTCAGCTGTACATTCCGAGAAAAGCAGCATTATAAGATCTCAATTTCAAATCAAAACTACTGAATCATGTTTTGAATTGTTTTGAATTGCAGCTATACGCAGCGTCGCGCACTGATCCGACGAATTATAACAACCGCGCGCGCGTGTGCGTCGTTCCAATACTTGTGCGCGCTGCGCTGAATAACAAAACGAACTACTAATTTAAATTTTCCTACGGTGCTTCTTAAGAATCACCGTTGGAAATGCCTTCTTTCGTTGATTACTTCAAAATGACAGCTTCCCAGAAAGAATAATTTCATAGGGAGTTTAGTTCCCTTACTATCTTTCAACCAAGTTTGTTTTTCAAAGGTAATTACGCCGGTTACTTTTCGGATGGCTGCAAATGATGGACTATTGCTTTAAAACTTTTCTCTAGCCAGGCGCTACAGGCGAAAAATCAAAGTGCGCCACGTTGGGGGCCACGCCACGTTAGGGTACATCAACAATACGCAAACAGCGCAATGCGTGCGCGTATAGACCGCTTGCAGACGCGATCGATAATTGACGCGCGAAGGTGCACGACGCCGTGTTATGGGACAAAATGTGCATGGATAGATATACGCCTGTCCCACAACATAGCGTAGCGCGCTTTCACGCGTCGATTATCGAACGCATCTGCAAGCGTTCTACTCGCTGCACATGCTTTTTGCCGTCACGTTTTTTTGAACCGTCAATGACGCGCTTAAGCTGTTTGCGTATGTTCTATACTTGCGCGTTGCATGTAGCGTTGCATGTAAAATTCAATCCATCTAATTTCATTATGTTCTACAAACACGCACATGAATTCAAAATGTCTGCGCCCAGGTCGGCTTCAGAGCGTCTCCGCGCGCAGAATTACGAGTTAGCTCTATGTTCCCAACACAAGGACGTTATAATTTAACATGCTGCTTAAGCGCACGTTTAATGAAGGGCGAGTTCACGTTTAAGACAAATGGAGTTCCCGGTAAGGTTGTAAAAGCCGAAAAATATAAATAACTTCAAAATTAAATAATATTTTGAAATCAAATGTACGATATGTTTTTATTTATTAACGACTTTCATGAGCCCAAATTTCAGCCTGATGTGATTTTTTCATTTAGAAATAGGAGCACAAAACCTTTCAACTCGATGATCTCCAAAAATGTGCTTTTTGCGTGCCTGGGCTGCTTTACATCCTTTTACGATAATTTCTGAATATATACGATTCTGACGCATCAGCGACACTTCCATATTCCTGCGATAACAAATAAGATACTGTAACGTGCGTCGCCTAGTCGGTCCCTTGCCTCTCTGGCCCAGTCCCGATGGAGTTGAAGCACCTGCGGTTGGAGGCCACAGCACCAAGTGACGAACAGCACTCCCAAATCTGCTCCACCAGGGGAAGCGCTAACTCAACATGTGTTTGGGATTTAGGGGATTGGGTGGATTCGCCTGTGGTTTGTGTGGTTGACCGGTGGCTCTGGGTGGCTGACCAGTGGCTTAAGTGGTTCAAGTGGTTCAAGTGGCTCAAGTGGTTCAAGTGGTTCAAGTGGCTCAAGTGGCTCAAGTGGCTCAAGTGGCTCAAGTGGCTCGAGTGGCTCAAGTGGGGGAGACTTACACCCTAATTAGCGACAATTATACAATAAAACAGAGACAGGAGACTTCTTTGACTTCTTTGGTCCCACCAGGCGAAGAAGTGAGGTTTATTCCTTCTCACTTTGCCTTTAATAGGCCAACATGATCCAATTACAATTGCTAACAAAGAATGCACATCATTGCCAAATTATACAGATGGTGGTTACCAATCAAAATGCAGAATTGCTCAGTAGCTGACTTAAGTGACGCCCACTAACTGTATTGGCCAATTGGGGTCTACTGCTCTAGAATGAGTGACTTAGCACTAAAGAAAAGTCACTATACAGTTCATGTTAATGTATAAAACGTATAAGTTGACGATTCATCACAATACTGTACTTACCACAAATGCCGACCTTCAATTCCGCATAGAACGGCTACATATGCATTGGCTCTATGGGCTCCGTGCGCAGACAAAAGAGGGCGCCCTTTAATGGAACGACGTTCCATTGGAGGGACATTTCGCTGGTTGACGCGCATCGTTCCTTCGTTGTGAACGGAGCGGATAGGCAAAGTAACAAGTCTGCACGCTTTGAAAGGAATACAGGCTCATTCGTATTGATTGAAATAAAACCTACCGAATTGTTGTTAATAAGCGCACTGAGATATCAAGAAATGTAGGTGATTTCCAGCGATCAGTCAATTTTGGATTTCGGAATAAAGAGTTTTTATAGACGGAATCGTGTTTCGTGATCAAAAGGCATGTGCGTGGTTTTCCACTGTTTCCTCGAAAAGAGCAATATTCACTAAGCTGAAACTTCAACACGTTTGTATTTCATTCTTCTTTAGATTGTGAGTGACGGTATTGCTAGAATTAGCGAGCAGAATACATAATGATACAATTATCCTATATGCTTTTCATATCTCGATATCACGCCCAGTTTGCTTTAACGGATTTTTCAATTATTGCTGCATTCCCCCCCCCCATTGTTTTTGTCAGATCTTGTGCAAAAACTTGAAGACTACTACGAGGAATTCATCCCCGCGGCGAACATTAAGACGGTGTACGACGTAGCGGCTGGTCATGCCTTCGTAAGTATGAGACCAGTCTTTCACAAAGACCCTTTCATTGGCGAAAGCATTGTGCAAGCTTTTTTCCGAATAATCCGTCACAGGACAGTTGCATATTTGTGTGTACAGTTGACCTATCGCGGTAGAGAATCGCGTCAACGCAGTTTGTGAAATATTGTCAAATTGCATCATAAACGAATGGACGCGGCACACGCAAAATCAGATACAAACAAAACTAAGTGTACAAAAACTCCTTAGGGTTGTCTAAGGGGCGTGGCTAACTTGCAAACGGCAATAGGTCAATAAGCGTGCTCAATGACTTTTCCTTTGAGAGCAGTGGCGGTGGAACTGGGGGGCATCCTCACTTTATCGGGTCACAAACTAATGTATGCTCAGCCAATCATTCAACACAATTCTAGTCTATACAATAATCTAGTCATCCACTGAGCTTGCAACCAACTTGTAATCCACAAGTAGTAGGCGTACTACTCAATAATTCTGTCTGGTCAGATTTCATAGGATACCGTAGTCTTGGCCCAAGGCGTCAGTGGTCAAGAGCAATAGTTGCGTTGTTGTGTAGCGCAGTTGCATAATTGGTTTTTACTTTCTCATACTAACGTCTCGGTCGTTTTGTTTCAATGGAGGCGGGGCCATTATGTCAATGAGATTGTGTGTACTAGCTCCGTGCATCATCACCGCAGTTTCCCGACCGTTGATTGATTCCCGGAAAGCGCTGATAATATTATGATGCCCAGTAGCTTACCGCGAGACGTGCATGCTTACAACCGTCGCGCTAGCCGTTAAACCGTCAAGTCTCGATCGCCGATCGGTTAGCGCTGATGCTGGCGATCACGCACCGCGTGACGTGTATGTTTACTAGCCTTTGGCGAGCCATCGAACTTTTTCTCGATCTCTGATTGGTCCGTAGGAAAGCCTATGGAGAAAATAAAGGAAAAAGTTAAACCGCTGAGACGAAATGGCAAAGACGTTAGTGCAGTAGGCCCGCTGGTCTAATTGTTGTGCCATAAGCTGCCGCACTATTCACCGCCCACTATCGATCACTAGCGTTGTGTGTCAAGACTAAGGACACCGATTTTTTGTCACGGCACTAGGACGTTTCAGCTACACGCAGGCGCACGAACATACATGTTCCTAGTGCAGCGCTAAATGCCTTTTTGTCAGTGATTACATGAGGGCGCTGTCCTGTTTGCTGATTAGCACCATGCATGAGCTTGAATGTCCGTAATCTCCGCTTTGTCTACAGACTCACTGTGTACAACTCTGCTTAAATTAGCCTGCCTAGCTTGAAAAAAGCCTAGGCCTAGCCCATGGATTTGATCTGCCGGCGGTTTTATGTACACATTTCAAATCTGAACTACATCTACTGTTGCGCCAACGCGATAAGGCTATATTCCTGTTGATGCATTAGATGGTATGGGCCTATGTCAAAACAGAATGCCTAATACATCATTTCAAATGAGTAATAACTGTTTCATAATAAATATGCAACCCCAAGCCAGAATGTTTTCATCAATCCGATGATATGGTTGATGATATCGGAATGGGGGACAAGATGTAGTGTACACCAATGTGTACGCAATAAAGTCTTTAACTGTGATGTGTAGCTCGCCCTACACATTTCTGTCATGTTTTAAAACACTATACAAAGCAAATACATATGCGCCTGTGTGATATTTTACGCCTAGAACAAAATATGAACTTCATTTTTGATGTGGTGTGATGTTAAGATTTACGTAAAATATGAACTGATAGCGATATATAATGAACGTCCACTTGACCCCTTCGCCTGTTATCAGTGGCCATGATTTTGTACCGCAATAGCCCTCTGTATTTATAACGTCACACTTTGTTTACATGTGTTCTTTCGTGTGGGGGTCTGGTGGGCAAGACGGTTTTCGTAGCCCCATAGAAAAGTGCACAAGTAAACAAAGTGGGACATCATCAGTACAGAGGCGTATGCCAAAAGGATCTAAGGGTTGCTGCGCGCATGCGTAAGGTACTTTTTTTCACATCAAACACAAGCTATAACCAATGGTTATTGATCGAACTTGGTGACGGCACATCTAGTCAATGGTAGCTATTGATCTGACCCGTTCCTTGCACCTTCCCCTTTTATTTCATTTAAGATCACTGAGGACAACGGATCGAGTTGTGGGACTAACTGGGTACCCTTCATTAACGACTGCAACTACAACCAGGCGTTTGAAATCCTCAACCACATCTATGGCGGCAACCTGGTGGTATGCTATTCCAGTGTTGGAGTCGAGTCCTGTAATCCGAGTAGGCCTACTTAGAGGACCGAGTCCTGGGCCGAGTCCAAGTACACTGTGACGATTCCAAGCCCAGAGCATCGAGAAAGAGTACATTCAGGGCCGAGTACTTGGCCGAGTCTGAGAACCTATAAGTCCGAGTACAATACCCAAAAGTAAAACATGAAGAAAAAAAAATGTCCACTCAATGCTGCGTAGCGGCTGTCTGTATACTGTGCAAGAATGCCAATAGCAGGCCAATGGCGTCACTTTTTGTGCTATCCGATTATCCATTTCACAGACAGAAACCACCTTCTCTTCGATCGATCACGTGGTGGTATTTGGGCAAGGTTCATTGAAAATATTTCCCATCATGCTGAGGACACATGGCATGTTGGGCGTATTGACAATGACAGCCACCCAAAGTTTTTTTTCTGTTACGTCTCGATAGTCCGAAATACCATTGGTCCGAAGTCCCATTGGTCCGAAGTACCATTGGTCCGAAATCCCATTGGTCCGAAGTCCCATTGGTCCGAAATATAATAGTTCCACTTCTTCAGGTTGACTGACCCTAACCCTAACCCTAACAATAATCCTATGGGGCGTCGGACCAATGGGACCTCAGACCATGTGGGACTTCGGACCAATGGGACTTCGGACCCATGGTACTTCGGACCAATGGTACTTCGGGCCAATGGCACGCTTATACCAATGGAATGTATTTAGCAATGGGCCGTCGGACCAATGGGACGTCGGACCAATGGGACGTCGGACCAATGGGAATTCGGACCAATAGTACTTCAGACTATAGAGACGTCCCCAGTTTAAACCACTGTGATCAAAAATATTGCGGTATCTCCGTAACAGTCTGTGCATTTGGGAAGCAGGCGGGGACTTAGCCATCAATTGCCTAAAGGAAAGCGCAGAAGTATAAACAAGACAATGTCGGAAGTCGTTCTTTGTGGAACAAAAGCACGCAGTTTCAAAATGGACGTCAGTGAAAGACTGGTCTGTACCATTCACATTGACCAAAATGTCACCACAACTCTTGATTAATGAAAGTTTACCTACTGTTCACAAGCTTCAGTAGGCCTGCTTCTGAAATACATATACCATAGATGTTTACATACATAACGGTGGAGCGGTCAACATGTGCATTGTGGCGTCATACAGACAGGCCATCGCTGGGCATCTCCAACATTTAGGAATCTGTGGCATATTATTTGACCCGTATTCCAAGGGCAGATCCAGAACACAACGTTTTATTATTATTTTTTTTTTGGGGTGGGGAGCCCAAATTAAATTTGGACCCCAAAAGTGGGTCCGAAAGTTACGGCGAGGGGTTTGGGGCCCGCTTTAGGGCCCCGATTTTTTTGATTTTTTATTGGTTTTTTTTTTGGGGGGGGGGATTCAAGACGCTCTGTGGTGCGATCTGAAGCAATTTTTGACCGCTTTAACCAATTTTGTTTGTAGGAAAAGATGATGGTGTACGTGGTGTCTGCCTTTATTGCGACGTCACTTTAAAAAAATGGAATCGTTTTTCTTTTTTTTGAGGGCGAGGGCCCCCGTCCCCCGACCCCCGCATGATCCGCCCTTGCCGCATTCAACAGTATAACAGTAAATTATCTGCAAAATTTGCCACAGTCAGGGGCGTTAATCCGTGAAGGGGGAGGGGCCGCAATGGGGGCATGCAGTGTATATCCCACCCCCCCCCCCCCCCACACACACACACACCCATATTCACGCCCACACACACACCCACTGATGGTTCATTTCATTATTTTGTTCTTGTTTCTTTTTTATCCTGTCAAGGAACCGGACAGCACCACTATTGCGAGCGGGCAGGTAATTTGTAAACATCTTTTTTCCCCCCTTAATTGCTCTGCAGATTTTACTACAGTCCATATGCCTTTTTAACAGCATGGTTTTGAAAAATGAACTTTTGGAGTCCTGAATCTGTCAATTGTAATGTAATTTCTTTTTTTCAAATTAGGGATTTAAGATTAGCAATTTCCCCTAACTCGGAAATTAAAAACTATCAAGGGGACAAATGGTGGTAAAGTAAAACATGATGGCTTGCGTTAAATAAATAACACCATTTTAAAATGTTGCTCTTGACAAGTTGAGAATGACAAGTTTTGTCCGAGTGGCGGGGAACAAAAAGAAAAAAGAAAGAAAATGAGTTGAACTTGAAAAAAGCCTACACGATGTAGGCCTTCGCACATTATTGTTCGTATCAACATTTGCCTTTGATTACCTGTAGGCCTATGTGTTGTTTTTTCTCCAAATGGCCAAAAACTTGCCCAGTTTAACAAGACTGAATGGTCGATGTACTTTTCACAATGTGCTGACATCGAATGCTGCACTAGCAACCAATAATCGATTTCTTATTGATTTCTTTTCTTTTACTATAGATAAAGTCCTTCTCACAGTCCGAGTTTTTCCCCTTCTATTATTACCTCTACCGTCCTATGGCCTACACGGGTTACGTCTACATACCGACCGGATGTGCATCTTCACAGAGTAGTAAGGGAGAGAACGATAGTGACGGGTTAAATAATCAATTGATCCAATGAATGGCATACAATTAATCAAATGGGTAAAGATTAATCAAGTTATTGATCTATCGATAACTTGGTGGATTGAAAGAGTGATTAATTGGGTATCAGTAAATCGACCCATAGATTGATTGCTATAATGGATAGTTTGATTGGTGGTCGATTGATCGACTCATTGAGTATTCATTGGATTGACTGACTGGTTGATAATCGGTCTTTCGGTCAACCTTATGGATGGGTACAGTCACTTGACCGATAGATCGATCACTTAGTGAATTTACTTATTTATAAATTTGTGGTCGATACCAACCTATCGATTGATCACTTGAAGGATTGACTGACTCACTGGTAATCGGTCAATCGACCGATTGATTGATCACTTACTGGATATGGTGACTGTTGGATTGATGGTCGATTGATCAACTAATCGACTATTCATTTGATGAATTGACATGACTGATTGATAATCGGTCAATCAGGCAACCGTCTGGATGGGTAGTCATTTGGCGGATAGATCGATCAGCTATTTTACTTATTTGTAAATTGGTGGTCGATTGACCAACTCATCGACTGATCTCTTGAAGGATTGACTGACACACTGGTAATCAGTCAATCGACCGATTGATTGATCACTTTATGGACGGACTGAATGATTGAGGATCAGTCAATCGACCGATAGTTTGATCACATACTGGATTGAGTGACGGTTTGATTGATGGTCGATTGATCAACTCATCGACTAATCACTTGATGAATTGATCATCGGTCAATGGACCGATTGATTGATCACTTGATGGACGGACTGATTGATTAAGGATCAGTCAATCGACCAATAGTTTGATCACTGTCTGAATTGTGTAACTGTTTGATAGGTGGTCGATTGATCAACTCATCGATTATTCAATTGATGGATTGACTGACTGATTAATAATCGGTCAATCGACCGACACACTAATCGCTTGGATTGACTTATTGGTTGATTGATTAATTTATTTATTTATTATATCCCACGATCTGATGCTGCACTTGTCGCTTCATCCTGCCATGCAAATAAACTATTTATATATTTTTCTCTATCAGACTGCAAGCTACATGTGGCCCTCCATGGATGTTCACAGACAACGTGAGTTCGTACATTCAATATCCAACATGTCAGTGTTTTATTTTCTTCGCATAACAATCCAGTTTACAGTTGGCGATCTACCGATTTAATTAATACATTGAATATTTTTAAAGTGTAACTTGTGATTTCCATATACTGGTCGTGGACTGAAAGTGGCCAAGCTAAAAAGTCAAACTGTCTCTATAGGGAAACGGTTTACACTAATCCATTATCTCAAATGTTCTAAGTGCAATAATTGATCGACGTCGTGGATTTGCTAAGACATATTTTTTTCCTTGTATAGGTACAGGGAGAGTAAACAAAAACCAAAACCCAAATGTCGGGAATATTGTTTTAGGCAAATTCTGTATGTAGAACTTTCAAAATCTAGGATATAAAAGCCCAATTCAAAAGCTTTCTTCTAGTACAAGAATAATTTAAATCACTCATGTAATTTATGAAGTAAAACGAATTTTAAACACAAACACCATTTTAAAGTTCTGTCCACGCGGATCACAACACGGTAAGTGTTCTTTCAGCAAAACGAAAACAAATAACACAGGGATGTGTGTGAATTGTTTTCGTTTTGCTGAAAGAACATGAAGAACGCACAGCTTTTTTTTGCGAATAATGGACAGAACTTTATAACGGTGGTTGTTTCAAAAATTCGGTTAACATGAAAAGTACACAAGTGATTTGAATGATTTTTAAACTTAAGGAAAGCTTATAAATTGGGCTTTCATATATCCTATATTTTTAAATTGCTACATGCATAACTTCACTAAAACAATAGCTCAACAATTCTTGTGGTGTCGTGTTTTTTTTTTTTTTTTACTCAGCCGGGCCTAGAGTAATATATTAGTGTAGAATTACTCCTCCGTGTTTTACTGGGTGGCTCATCCGCGGCTGTGAGCCGTGTAAGGCGCTGATTAGAGAAGCGTCTTGCGATTGTCCCCTTGCTCTTCGTAGTTTCGTACATCAATCGGTGGCAACGAGTTATGTCGTGCGCACGGCACTTGGAAATCCTGAGTACATTCCAAAATCTATTACTATGTTCGTCAAAAATGGAAAAGTCTCTTCACTCATTTGTATTAATCACACCCTGAACTGTTCCGCCATCCCCGGAAGTGGTTCTATTTGGAAGAAAAATAACATTTGTACAACAGTAATATAAGAACAATGAAATTAAAGCTACAGTCCATCATTTGCAGCTGTCCAAAAATTAACTGACGTAACTATTGTTGAAAAACATACTTGCTTGAAGATGTCATTTTGAAGAAGTCAACAAAAAGAAGGCCTTTCTTTTATGGAAATTTCCGTTAGTAGTTCGCTTATTCTATTAGGCGAAGCGCGCGCAAGCGTTGGCACGACGCACACGCGCGTGCAGTTGCTATAATTCGTCGGATCAGTGCGCGACATCGCGTAGCTGCAATCGGCTCAGTGCGATCGTGTCTCGGGCGCTGAATTCAGGCCCAATATAAAACATGATTCGGCAACTTTTGATTTGAAATCAAATCCTAGAATGCTTGGTTTTTTTTCTCGGAATATAAAGCTGAAGCTGAGCTGAAACTTCATCAGGTTCACCCTTCTTTAGATTTTGAGCACGTTTGTTGCTTCGAACGAACAAAAGGCACAAATTACAAATGATGGATGTACCTTTAAAATAACGAGAATGACGTTGAAGATAAAAAGACATGTTTCGTTCTGATGCAGCCTTTCGATCGGCAACGATTTCTACACGGAGACCGGTTACAACGAGGTAGGGCAGCTGAACAACATCATCATCCTGTATCCCCAAGCCTTGATCAATAACTGGCTGGGCAACGCCTTGGGTTGCTGGGATTGGTAAGTGGCTGAACAGAGTTAGTCCAAAAAAAAAGCGAAACCCAAATGTCGGGCCCACTGTTTTTGTGAAATTCTGCATGTAGCTCTTTCAAAATCACTTTAAATGTTACGGAATTTTAAACACAACCACCGTTTTAAAGGTATGTCCACGGATCACAAAAACAAAATGTGCGGGGTTTTTTTCAGCAAAACGAAAACAATTTACGCACAACCCAATGTGATTTCCTTTCGTTTTGCTAAAACAGTCCAACCTTCTTGTGATCTGTAAACTTTAAAACGGTGGTTGTGTCTAAAATTCCGTACCTTGAAAAGCACATGAGTGATTTGAATGATTCTTGTGTACTAAACGAAAGCTTAAGTATTGGGCATTCCGGAACTTCGGTCTGACCAGAGACCGACTATTTTTTTTTTTGCCTAAACAAAATAATAATACAGGGTGAGTCCAACAAAATAATGCAATATTGCAAAGGATGCATCTTTTTTTTCAAAACCAAGTTGAAGTTTTGAATTTTTCAAAATGAGTAAAAACGACATTTTCGTTAGTAACATTGTGTGAAAAAAAATGAAGTTAATCGCATTTACCGTTAATCTTTTGTGAACCTTTATATTGCAGTACCTGATGTACGCTTTTGTCCCTTAGACGTCTAAACAATGCATAAGAGCACAAAATGTGTCCCCAGAGCCGTTCTTTCCGTGAGGTCTAGGGCTGAGACGTACATTGCCTTGCAGTGTCGCCAAGTAAAGGGCAGAGCTGCAATGGACCGATCCAGTTAGCACCGCCCCATGGTGTTCTGACCAATCACAGCCGTGATTTATGTCCGACGTGCGTGCACTCAAGTCCGACATGCGTGCACGCGCGTATGATGCGCGCGGAAGGAAAATGCAGCGTGGCATTGGAGAGGGGCACGTGTTAATTTGCCCACGTGCGCACTGGGCGGAGCTTACTGGATCGGTCAATTGTGTGAACAATGAGGGACGCTGCAACTACAGTTTAGTCCAGAGAAACGTTGCATAAACCTAAAGAAGTGAAACAGAAAAATAATATAGCTTGAGCTAAGATTCGGTCAGTTTTAAATCCGTGTTGTCTGTTATATTGCACCGTTTCCGATCTTATACAACATTCTGATGCCTCGTGGACAAACACGTAAATCGGGTGCTGCAGTAAAAAGGTTCACAAAGACAAACAGTAAATGTGATTAACTTCATTTGTTTCCACAAGGTTACTAACGAATTATGTCATTCTTACGGAATATTAAAAAAAATTAAAACTTCAATTTGGTTTCGACTCACCCTGTATTAATTATATGCATTGTCGATGAATTATTTTCTATATATATATTTTATTTATATAAGAAAAGAACATAATTGCACAACTCTTTTTTTTTAAGTACCGAATTACCCTTTGAATAGAAATTTTTCAATGTGCGATGAGATGATGTGGAATATTCTAGTATTGGTTCCCGAACCACAATCAATTTAGAATTATTTAGATACCTTTTTGGAATCAAAAATATTGCAGCGACGTATCTTTCGATGTCATCGCGACATCTTCATTCAGCGTAGTGAATTAAACCACTCCGGTCATGTGACCACCTTTTGGCGATCACAAACCAGCAGGTTTGTGATCTCCCAAAAGGTGGTCACATGACCGGAGTAGTTTAATTCACAACGCTGGTTGAAGATGTCGCGAGGTTTGTGATCGCCCAAAAGTTGGTCACGTGACTGGAGTGGTTTATTTCACTACGCTGAATGAAGATGGTATCTAAATATTTCTTATCAACGTGATGGTATCCAATATCAGTACACATGCTGCTACACATTCAATTAGATGGATCGGGAACCATCGTCGACCTTACTGTTTGTTTGGCGTGCAGTTGCAAATAAACTATCCAATGTGAGAACGATCTTGGTTTGGCTCTTCTTATGATTCAGAAACTTCTTAAGTCTAGAAACAGTTGGGTTACGCAAAGCGAACTCAGTCGTATCAAGCCAAACAGTATGTATATTTTATCCAGAAATCAACCTTAAATGTTCTATTTTATCTTCCAAAGGTGGGGCTACATGGATAGCGACTACGGTAAGTCTATGCACACTTTGTTCTTTTGGTAGCCAAAGTAACCCTAGTACAACACGCGTGTTAAAATGGACCATTCCAATGGTATCATCCACAATAATATAACTGAACGTGTCCCTGTGAACAAAACTGGTACAGGGTGAGTAAAAGAAAAAGCGGAATCCAAACCCCCAAATTTATATTTCATATTTGAAAAAGTATGTAGCACCAAAAAAACAAAAAAATAATGACCGGAAAGTCAGTTTCATAAAGTACTTTAAGATAAAAAAAAAGATGACTGAAATTAGTCAATCCGTTCAGATATCACCATGTACAGAAGAAACACAATGACCCTAAAACCTGCCTCGTCCAAAAAAAAATGCGTCGTCTCAATTGTCTTCCGACATCACCAGAGATTAAAACTCAATTTAACCGTTAAAAATTATTCAACAGAATCCCTTTAAAGGCCCGTCCTTTTAATAAAAAGTAGATTTTATAAATCATATTGTTTGCCTAACCAGGGTTGTTAATAACAATATTGTGTACTACAGTTGGTGACAGTTGTTGAAACGAGTACATTGTATTCTGTTTCATTTTCTTTGTTGTCCCAAACAGTCCAAACATATTATGAATTGTATTTTTTTGGACGAGAGAGGTTTTAGGGTCATTGTGTTGCTTTGAACGGATTGAGCAATTTCAGTTTTTTTCATCTTAAAGTAGCTTATGAAATTGGCTTTCCAGTCATTTTTATGTTTGGTGCTACATATTTGTTTAAATATGAAATATATTTTATGGGGTTTGGGTTCCGCTTTTTTTTTTTTTTTACTCACCCTGTATTATGTGAACATATCGAGTCCAATCTCCATTCAATCTCCATGTTAACTTTCTTAACTTAGTAGTTTGTATATAGTGTAGTGTAGTGAAATATTCTGCACTTCATTTTGAGATATCACAAAATTTGACATTAGGTTTGATGCATGCTGTTTCAATGCACAAACAAAGTAACAAATAATTGCCTTCTCAATGATATTTGTTCTCTGATTTGTAAAAGAGATTACCGCGAAAACTAGCGTTTTCTAGGTCATTCTTGGGAAAGGGTCACATGGCATCCGGTTTTGATATTGTTGAAAACAAATCTATACAGTATGTAAAAAAAAGTGCCCGTGTGACTGTTTTTGAAATAACTACAAAACCATAAAATCAATTTTAAAAATGTGTGGTTGTTCAGATAAGATCAATTTTAAAAATGTGTGGTTGTGCAAATACCCCTAAGCCTTGGCCTTAATCCCTACGAGTTTCATTTAATTTCTGTCACGCATCACTGCACACTTGTCAATTGATCACATCAACATTTTTGGTTGCTGCGACCAAGTTCCTTGCCTTAGTCAATTTCAGCTGTGTCATGTAAGCTGTGTAAAACACTGCATGTTTTGGAAAAAAGGCTGATGTGGTTTGGGATTGGAATCATTTGCCCTTGAGCATTAAACTGAGGTCTTGCCATGATGACTGATAGCCAGGCAAATGATTCCAATCCCAACTGCAGCCCTTTAAACAAAGTGAAGGATTTTACACAGCTTACTTAATACAGTAAAGAACTTGAATAATGCAAGAAACTTGGTGACAGTGTCCAATAATGTTGTTGTGATCAATTGATAATTGTGCAACGATGCGTCATTGAAATGAAATGAAACTCATAGGGGTTGCGGCCAAGGCTTAGAAGTGTACGTCTGCACAACAGTAAAAAAAAAAAAAAAAAAACCCATTTATCTCATGGTCTTGTTTTTATTCCAAAAATTATCAGACGGACACTTTTTGGTTGGGGGACATACTGTTTATAAAAACAAGAGAATGTTGAACATGAAGCAAACATCTTTGGGAAGAATTTGTGCCATATAATTGACTTTAAAAAGGGTCATTCTGGCTTAATTAATGTCATTTATTTTATGTTCCAGCTACCAACACTGGCTGGGAGATGCAGGCCATCAAAGAGATGATCGACCGCATTCTGCAGTAAAGCCCCGCGATGGGTGGTGTATAGGGCGTGGTCATAGGGTGTGGCCTGACCACGACCCAAAAATATATAACAGGCAAAATCAAAGGATAATAAATAAGTAATATGAAAAAGTAGTTTTAGAATTATTAAGTTTAATATAATCTGATAGCGCAATCAATGAATATTTGATCAAAGATATTGACTGGGCGTGAGTTGAACCTAAGACATCTAGAACACGTGCCAAGGGTGTGGAACCAGAGTTATCTAGCCCATTATTGTGGGACTACTAAAGGGATCTTATGCGCTACCTCACAGGGTCTTCGACCACTTAGAGATCTGAATGACATTCAGCGATAATAACCGTTAATAAACAGTAGTCTTAGTGGCCTATTAGGTCAAATATTTAATCAACTAGCTGGAAAATGATGGGCGACATTTGAAACACCATACCAGTCATCTACAAACTATAAGCTGTTGAGCATATGTATTCAAATACCACGTACTCCATCTTGGTTCAAAGTCAAACATATCATTATTAAATGGTACGCATTTTATAGATAGCTTCAAGCCTAGTCAATATGGGCTACATACACTGCAAAAACTGCAGTGTTAAATTTACACATTGGTATCTATATAGGACCATCTGGTGATAAATTTTACTGGTGTTGTCCTATATAGATACCGAATGGTGTTAAATTAACACTTCACTTCACTGCATGTATGCCATAGCAACTGGACGGTGATTTTCATTGTTGATTTAATTTACAGTCGGAAACTTTGGACCTAAAAGTATGAATTTCATTTGCATGTTTACAGTCACTAAACGTAACACATCGCTATTGTTCATCAGAAATAAATATGGCATATCAGGAAGAATGAATCTCAGCTCATGTGTTCTCATTCATTGCAAAGGGCTGGATCAGTTGCTATGTGCAAAACATAGTATATCGTCAAATTATAATTGATGACTCGGATTAGTCTTAAGACGTACTTTCTGTGATAAACATTTAGCATATAACTACTCCATTAAGGTCTGATAGAGGCAATCGACTCCATAAGGTCTGATAAGGTTGCAGACCAGTAAATAAATTTCCATAGACCCCAATGATAAATGCTCCGCTTCAGAAATTCAGGAAAAATACTCACATCTCTCCAAGGTGTTCAAGACGTACATCAAAATGAAGCTTATTTCATCATCTTTCATTTTCTTTTTCAATTTTTGAGGGGTAATCTGATGACTTTTGGGAGAAATTTCCATCCGAAGATGATCAGCCCTTAAAATAGTCCTCAAGCCCATCGCTATTTTGAAAAACGGTGCCTACACTCCATTAGAAAATAGAGCGCTTTTAGGGCCCCAATTTCATCCAAATTGCACAGAAATACAAGCTCCCGTCCTGTGCACGACTTCCACCCTTAATTTTTTTACAAACCCTAAAGTTCATGGCCCACATTTTGCTCAAATACTGAAGATTTTGAGGGCAATGGTGATTTGGCCTGCCTAGGCAATTTCGGACCGATTTACTGGCCTGCACCCGTAAAGGCAATTCGGGCGATTCACAATGTAGCGCGCCACCAAGAGTTTGCCGTGGAGAGTCCATTTTTCAAGTTAACGGTCGATAACATGGCCCATTTTGCATGAGTGTCATGTATACAGTTTGAGCTAATTTGTTATACGTTGGGGCATAGCATTCTGCCGCCTTACAAAAAAACACCATATTGATAAAAAGAAAAGAAAAGGAAAAACAGATACTCGAAACATACGCTTACGAAACTACTGGCCGGAACTAACAATTTCAAATGTCCCGCGCAAATGTCCGTGGCAAACTCTTGGTGGCGCACTGCATTTTGAATCGCCCCAGTTTATATCATTGTCGAAGAGGTGAACAACATTCTAAGAAAACCCTCCAAAAAAAATTAACTCCAAGCATAAAGAGTCAAAGCTAAGTGCAAGACAAAACAGTTGTTTATCTTGCTGTAATGTGTCATTTGTCAAACTATGTTGTAGTTTCAAACTCCCTTTAACGGTAGTGCCTGGTTTTTGTTTTTTTTTGTGCCTGCAACCGCCCGAGCGTTCCATTGTATTATCAGTGAATAAACACAATGTAATACAATGTAGTACAGGTGGTATTTGTATCGCGTTAAGTTTACAGGGGTTATACAAGTGTACAGAAATGCTTAAACTGTGAATTGCAACATGACAAAAAAAATTATCGTGTAGCGCTTATGGTGCCAAACCGGGTGATTGCTTAGTCAGGTGGCATATGGTCGGAATCTTGACCGACTGGTCCAAAGCACCAAGCTTGGGCAGATAAATTCTTATAGCCCTAAAGAAGATATTTAGAAGGGGTGACACCTAACATTTTTCGGGGGCAGGGTGCCTAATTTGCATTAATCGTTAATACCTACCGTGTAATATATTTATTCCCATAGGCCTATTTGGTTTTATTTCTAATTTTTAAATTCTTTTAAAAGCTTTTTTTTTGGGATTCTACTTACATAATCCTTACCTAAATAACATTTTTGTTTAAGCATATCAGAGACTGGAGGATTATGAGGACATAATAAAGATCCAAAATGGCTACCATAGTACCTTAAAGTTGCGCGCATTCACCTTTTCCTCAGATATATCATAAAGTAATCCCGCCAAACGTCAGTATTGATGATCTTCAAATTCATTTTTATGCTTTATTTGCATGCCATCATCTTTAATTTTAAGGGAAAAAATGAGTACAGAACTTACACTTGAGTTTTGTAATAGATAATCTATTTCAGAACGATCCAGGAGGCGATTGCGTTAATTTTTCTGTCCTCTACATTAGAGTAAAAGTTTTAATGCCCCAACATTTAACACAGATGACTATCTACACCCATATGTCTGGCATAGGTTTACTGGGCTTATCTGACCTCGTTTCAATAACCTGATGGGAAGAGGAAATGAAGTTGATAACTTTTTTATTGAGTACTGAAACACCTGTTATTATTCTTGCTAAAAAAAAACAGTCTAAATGACGTATATAAGGCACTGTCGGGTACTTTTATCATTTTTTGGTTTACCTAGCAGACTAAAGTAAATACTGTATGAAACACTACAGGACATTGCTAGCTGTCGTGTTCGGAGAGAGTGGATACAGGCTAGGCTGCTTCCAAGAGCAAACGACTCTTACTATTCTGTTGGTCACGTAGCCGTCATTATTATCCCCCCCCCAAAAAAAAAAAAATAAAAAATTAGAACATGACACAGCAAAGCCTGTCAATACACACCACTGTGAAAGCAAAACTATTTCTTTTATATATTTACTGGAGAAATAATTGAAACTAGGTCGTTGGCTGCAGGCCGCTTAAATAAGCATGCGCCGAGGTCGATCTTTTGAAAACGCCGTATCCACTTGAAAGCTTAACCTTCAAGCTATTATGAGCATTATTCACCTGAACGAGTACAAGTGAAAAAAAGTACTTAATCGTGAATGCGCCAAATGGTCACTGGCTTGTACACAGCCATTATGAGCCATAGTATACGTATGCTGACAGTTAATTGTGTATATGATCGCATATCACTGGAATTGAGACCCGTGAGTGGATTCTGTAGGCCTGCTGGATTGTGTACGTGAGTGCATAGATTTTGTAAAAGAGATCTGTGAACTGCATTCCTTCTCACAAGGTACGTTTGAAGTTGTTTTTGTTTAGGTAACGTCAGTACATGTATACCTCATTCGAGCGTGGTTTATCTCGTGCCTCCCGGTATTGCTTGTAATTACTGACAAATTCACCCTCATTACAATATTCCCACGCCATGGGTTTCCCTATCTGCTTATTCTTTTCTTGACGATTCAACATGAATTATTGTCAGGACTATAATGCCTGAGCTGTACATAATTGAAGTCCATAATGTGATCAGGTCTCACACCCCCCCCCCCAAAGGCACACACGCCTTACAGTATTTTAATTCTCCACACGTTCATAAACAATCGTAGTTCAAGTTATTGTTAATCGCACACTGCTGTCCAATATCAACGATGACGGCAATATCAGCCTTGAAATAAGGCTAGCAGTGACTGGCAGTCAGAGTACTGAACGCGGCACACTTGTAGGCGAGTACAAGCTACGACATGAATTAAGGAGGGTAACGTACATGAATTCAGGAGGGTAGACCCAAGCACTTTAGGTTTTTTCGGTTTGTTTATAGCACCTTTACTACAATTTCAGTTTTTACCATACAACAATATAAGAAGATATTTGTATGTCTCAATGGAACTGAACAGTATTGCAAAGCAAGAATTAGTGTCAACAGAAGCCATTAAGCCATGCACAATTGAACAAGACTCTGTATAATTCAAATGGGATCTTTGTTTACGTTTGTTAATGTTTTGTTTTAGTTCCATCAAGATTTGAGCTTTAAACTTGTGAAAAGTGGCCGGTAGAAAATTCAGGTACAAAGGCTGTGGGATTGGAATAGACCAATATAGAAGCGGAAGAAAGAACTAGACGTCCATGTAACCTCAATTAATGTACCATGCTTCGTCCATGTGGCACTCTAATGCTTGATCAAGCAGAGTATAATGTCGAGCAAGCAAAACGTTCATGAAAAGGATACGTTCAAATTCAGTGGCGTTTTTCAACCGTGCTTCCCTATACAGACGCTCCTGCTGAGCTGCCAATTTGCGGTGAGATGTTTAAGATAAATTTCGCAGTTATGAAGTTGATGGTTGTGATGATGATAATCATCGAGCGGGCCAGCGCAGCCAAATTAGGCAAGTATTGTCATCCATTTTTTTGATTTTTTTCATAATTTTGTTTTTAAACATCAAAGGAAATTGTTTTGTTTCTTATATTTATTTATGCATGAACCTGTTTTGGTAGGATATATGCAGATGTAAGGTGTGTTAACCACAGAACAGAACGGCATAGACCGCTTGCAGACGCGTTCGATAATCGACGCGCGAAGGCGCGCGACGCCATGTTGTGGGACAGGCGTATATCTATCCACGCACATTTTGTCCCATAACATGGCGTCGCTCACCTTAGCGCGTCAATTATCGAACGCGTCTGCAAGCGGTCTATTGACCTATGCATTCTGGCACAAGTTTTTGCGATTTTACATGTTAACAGCATGGAAGAAGATCAGCAGGGAGGGAAAGAGGGCACATAATCCATCCAATGTTTTGGTAAAAGGGGCATCTACTCCTTTAATTTTAAAGATCGAGGTGCTCCGAAAACAAAATGCAATATGGAAACTTTAATGGAAAAAGCTCTCCTGATTTTATGGAATGACTGTACAGGGTGGTGCAAAAAGAAAGACACCTCTTTTGACAGCAACTTTCAATTACTTGTTGAGCATATTTCAAACATTCACTTTAATATAATGGTGTTACAATATTGATCTTTAACCATAAAGTGAAGAAAAAATGATAGCAAATGCACTTTTTGTCTCTGACATGTGGTGGTTTAGAAAGGTCCTTTATGATCTTATTACAATTTTGTCACAGACGGTGCAGTCCACTTTTTCAGATTTGTGGTTTTGTTTTATACCGTGCGTAATTAGGTAATTTTATAACATCTGCCATGTGAGTATAAGTGTTTATAATTTATTTTTATTTTTATTGTGTAATTCTAAGAGATTTTGTTAGATCTGGCAGAATAGCATCTAGCAGCATTTTGCGATTTACATCTGGTAACACTGTGTGCATCTTTGTCAGGCTCTTACGGGGCGGATCCGAGCAAGGTGTCGGTCAGTGGGGTGTCATCAGGCGCAAACATGGCCGTCCAGCTACATGTCGGCTTCTCCTCCACCTTCATGGGGGTTGGTGCCGTGGCTGGAGGTGAGCAAGTTGATAATGAATCAAATTAGGTTTTGCCCTTCACCGACGTTTTAACACTGTATACTCAGTGTGTTACCTCCCGAGTGAAAGTTGGAAAAAATCACTCGGGTGGGACTCGAACCCACGACCTCCTGCTTTCTAGTGCAGATGTCGTACCACTCGATCACCGAGCTAACGGGATCGGTTGGCCGGTTCGAATATGATGTACTAGCAGCGGGTACCTCATAAACGTCGGTGAAGGCCAAAAGCTAATTTGATTTGTATCACCCCGGCGCAAAATGTTCATCTTATAATAAGTTGATAATGATTGAAAAACAACCATACCTCAGCAATGATGTTACAAACAGAAGTACAGTTACCGAATTATTATCTCTACAGGGTGATAAAAAAAAAGAAACCAAAATGTCGGGACCATTGTTTTAGTTTTAAGCTTTGCTTTAGTACAAGACTCATTCAATTTACTTCCGTACTTTTCAAGTTACGGAATTTTAAACACAACTACCTGTCTAAGGTTCTGTCCACAGATCACAAACAAAATTAGTGTTCTTTCAGCAAAACGAAAACAATTCACACACAAATTGCATAGGGATTTGTGCTAAGAGCAGGCTAGTCGAAACGTTTAGACCGAAGACAAGTTATTTTAGATCTTAAAGGTCAGAACTGAAACTACTTGGCGAAAGTTGATAATAAGCGGGCCAAGTTCTTTTCAAAGCTAAATACCTACTGAGCAATAGTTATTACCACATGGTACGTGTTACCGCAAACCGAACGATACCGATACTCCACCATGTAAAGCCTAAAATCTAATTACCTAAATGTATCTTACCAATTTTACAGCGAGAAATGACAATTGGAAAGTGGCAATGCAATCCACACGTTCTCCGTAGGCATTTCACAGACATGTTGCAATGGTTCACCGAAGTCCTCAAAATGTCGACAGAATATCGATTCTTTTCACATCTAACGGCACCAATCCAGATGCCGCCGTGTACCAACTTCAGAAATGGAGCGAATTGGTGGTACATTCAGAATAATTAGTACTATAATAAGAATAACCAGTGAAGCCTAACACATGATTTTCTTAGCTTCCGGGTACATCATTCATAATTGCTTTTTGTGACCGTGAAATTATCCGACTTTTCCGAAAGTCACCACACCCAATGTTTGAGTGTGTCGACACCGAAAATGTTGGGAGCGGTCTGTACTTGTCGACAACCCCTCATATTTTTGTCTAAACAAATATCGTATTATTGCTCATGTAGCGCCTTACTACTGCGCACAGGGCAGTCTACTGAGAGCGACCACGTTTGAGTGTTCCACCATCGGTAATCCGGCCAATGTCGACATACCCTTCTTGAAGGCCACAACGGAGTATTTTGCTTCTGTTGGCAAGGTGGACGCCACGAGCAACATGATGTCGGACCGCGCCTACATCTTCAGTGGGACTCAAGATATAATCGTACAATCAGGTAACCAAAAACAACACATTTTATTATTGATGTCAGTCAAACACAATGCCACACAAGGTGAAGGTTAGAGTATAGATAGAATGAACAAAACCATTCATTTAGAAATATGTCTGTTCACCTTTTTCGTGAAACGTGACAAATCGAACTCAGTGGGAAAACATTTGCCCCCTTGTATTGGTAATCGCCGATCACAAGACCAGGGTCACTCAAGATGTGGGCTACTAAGGACAAGTAAAGAGAAAAGAGTTACAGAGGGAGAGAGAGAGAGAGGGGGAGAGAGGGGGAGGAGGGGGGAGAGAGGGGGAGAGAAAAAATATCTATCCAGAATCCTTTTTGAACTGGGATAGCTATACGTTGGTGGAAAACATGGTTCAGGTATGGCCTTCAAAGTGCAGCAGTACGAGGCAAAAAGCTACAAGAATATCTTACAGTGCTGGCCTTCAGTGAAGGGATGAGAGGAGATTGTAAAATGTGTGCTGCGAGTGAAGGTGCGAACAAAAGAGACAACAAGTGAGAGATCTTCTGAGCACATACAATGATAGTATCTACTAGAACAGCCTAAGAGAAGCAACACAACGTCTAACGGAAAGGGGTTCTAGAGATGATGCCAGGTCCAGTCCCACCAAAGTGATAGCCCGCTGTTGGATTCTTTCAACATGGGACAACTAGCAGACCGGAGCACCAGCTCTGATATGACTGCAGTGTTCCATGACTGGTCGTAAAGTTTCCTTGTACAGCATGGCAGTTGGTGAAGGATACCGACGTGTACGATATTAACAGCCACGCTGAGATGTTTTTTATGCAATATCGCGAATGTATTGAGCCCCTATTCCATTCTTTTCGTCAGGTCTCGTGCAAAAACTTGAAGACTACTACAAGGAATTCGTCCCTGCGGCAAACATCAAGACGGTGTACAGCGTACCGGCTGGTCATGCCTTGGTAAGTATGAATCCTGGCACGCTTGAAATTCCATCACTAATGCCCCATCACTGGCGAAAGCGTTGCGCTAGATATTGCTCAGATAATCCGTCATACACTAAACCAAAAAAAAGTCAGCATTAATACTTGTTTGTCCAACTCAAAAACTACTGTGCACATCTTGCTCAAATTACGACTAATCAGTGCGGACATTCCTTAGCAATCCAGCCATACTCTTTGTTTGGCCCAAAACAGTGATAATGTGTACAAATTTACGCAATTTATGACAAATGGTACCGGATAAAAGTTGCACGTTTGTATACGTGCAAGGTGAGTGTGCACCACAACCTGCACGTATACAAAAGTGCAACTGTTTTCGGTATTATTAATCATAAATGGCATAAATTCGTGCATATTATCACTGTTTCGGACCAAATAAGGATTATGGCTGGATTGCTAAGGAATTTCTGTACTGATTAGTCGTTTTTTGAGCGAGAGGTGCTCAGTAGTTTTTGAGTTAGACGAAAAAGGATTGGAAGGGGGACCTTCTTTTTCGGTTTAGTGTAGTACAGTTGCTTTGTCCACAAGCGTGCACAATGGTTTCTCCGTTGTAGGAGGCCTCAGGGTGTACAATAGTCCGTCATCATATACATCCGTCTATACGTAGTCTACACGTACGTGGTGAATATCGCTATAGATTGTTTGCACCGCAGCCATCTTTGTGTGCTTTTATTCAACAGGGCTCCGAATAAGTAGATCTATTGTTCATTCATTGTTTAATTAACACTCTAAATGAATAGATCTATTGTTCATAGTTCACGTGGTGTATATCGCTATAGATTATTTGTATAGCGCTATAGATTATTTACACTGCCGTCATTTTTTAGGTGTGTGCTTTTGTTCAACAGGGCTCCAAATGAGTAGATCTATTGTTCGTTCATTGTTTAATGAACACTCCGAATGAGCAGATCTATTGTTCGTTCAATGTTTAATGAACACTCCGAATGAGTAGATCGATTGTTCGTTCATTGTTTAATGTGTTTTTGTTCAACAGGGCTCCGAATGAGTAGATCTATTGTTCATTCATTGTTTAATGAACACAAACACTCGATCTTTGTAAACACATTCAATCGTGGACCTTTTGTCCCGATTCTAGATCTGTCCTTGGGTCCTCGGTTTTTTTTTTTTATTTTATCGCACACCCTATTGTTTTGTTCCAAGTCCTCAGTCGTAAAGATTATCAAGACCACACAGGATGGCTGCTGACTGCAATCGAACCATTTACGTAGTATAGAAAAAAGTAACTAGCAAAAAATCGAAGAAAATAGGATTGACATGGTGAGTTTTATTTTCTGATAAACACATGTTAGCTAATTAATTTGGATCATATTGAAGGGTGGTTTTCAGCTTTTATAGATACCTCAAAGGGCATGAGACAAGGTTATTACCAATCGTTATTGATCTGGCCCTCTTCTCGTACCGTCACCGTTAATTTTTATTCCAGATCACTGACGACTACGGATCGAGTTGTGGAAGTAACTCCTCACCGTACATTAACGACTGTGACTACAACCAGGCGTTTGAAATCCTGGACCACACCTATGGCAACCTGAAGGTATTCTATTCCGTGCTCATGGCCGTCGCGGGGCGGGGGGGGGGGGGGAGGGGGCGCTTACACACCACCTGGAGAAAAAAAGGAGGGGAAAAAAAGGAAAAAGAGGTGCGAAGCCATATTGCTGTTAATTTGATGGGGGGGGTAGGGCAAATGCTCCCCTGCTCACGCTCGGAAAAATGATCAATTGAGAATATAATGAAATAGTTAAGGAATTATGGGGGAAATTTGATCCCCCCCCACCCCGGAAAAAAATCCTGGCGACGCCTATGTCCGTGCTGCTTTGTGGGTTGTCTGTGCAAGAATGTCAATATAGCTGGCCATGAGACATCATGACGACACTTTTGTTTAGATGTGTGCTATCCAATTGGCTATCGAAGTGATTAAGTAAGACTCTGCCCATGGAGCTGGGACCCAAGGAGTTCGAAATCCAAAACTGAAGTAAAAGGAAGGTCGCCGCTTTCAAGGACCAATAACTGCACATCGATAACTCGAATTCATAACTAACATAGAACAACTGCGCATCAGTTACTAAATTAAACCTTTTTTGGCGTAAAATATATTTTTCAAAAAAGAGCAACGACGTGACCGCTTGCAGTCACGCAATGAATGGTCCACGCTTGCGGTCACAGTGCTTTCAGCTTTGGACATTACTGATATATTAACATGTTAATGGTCAAAATGTAAATCGCCCAAGAGTTCCGACTCCTTGGGTCCTAGCTCTATGCTCTGACTAAACCTGTCTTTTGGACTGCATGGATTAGGTCGATGCAAACATGGCCACCACTCACTTACTGATTCGTTGGGATATTAGAAAACAAAATCTATACAGGTGTGACTGCCGTTAATGAGAAAATGACACGATTATTTGGAACCCCTGAACCATTTTCAATGGACCGCTTTCGCTTCTTGCCGCCAGGCCAATTTATGCGCATGCGTGCATAGATTGGAACTTATTAGTAAACAAATCCATGGCTGTCTGTAAAGGACTAATCTGTACCTTTTGCACCAGCTTAAATGGCACGATTACACTTAGATGACCCCACTCTTAACAATCTTTAGTATCAAAATTATTCCACTCGGTTGAGTTTTTGCGCTGGCAAATCACAAAAATTGAGCAGGCTTCAACTCTGGTATATTTTGATGCAAAGGCCGCGTGTAGGCCTACATCCAATTTGCTTTGCATGGTTCTTGGCGCGAAAGCGAACGCGAACATGTGGCGTAGGGCATTTTCAAACTTGTGACGTCAGGGCAAGTTACTACAGCCGGTTCATACTTCCAAATTGAAATTTCATTTAAAGTTCGCCGTTACCCAAACGCATTCATTCTGCACTTTCACGATGCTGATGCTTAAGTTCATAATTACGTCATCGTTTCTTTTTTTATCTTGTCAAGGCACCGACCAGCAGTACTGCTGCAAAGGGACAGGTAAAAATCGTTTTTCCTTTTTTTTTCAAATAATAGTAATAAAAAATCGTCCATAATTTGCAAATGGCACACTTTCAAGGAAAAGAGTGGCATGGTCTAAGACAAAGGTTTACCATAGATATTTCGAAGAAAAGTTCCCATGTTGCTCATGGTGTAAGCGAGAATTTTTGTCCAAAACAGGAGGAAAAGATCTAAAAACTGGGTTTAATGTTAGATAGCACTGTTTATATCACACTGTGGCCTAGTTGTTAGGGCTCGTGACTCGTGATCAGTGGGTCAGGGGTTCGAATCCAGCTGCTGGTCATGTGTAGTGTCCTTTGGCAAGCCACTTCACCCCACTTGCCTCTCTCCACTCAAGAGTATTAATGGGTACCGGCGATAGCTGCGGAGTAACCTGCAATGGACTAACATCCCATCCAGCCAAAGGGAGAAGAAATATTCTCAGTCGTTTCATGCAACTAAAACCGGAGATAATTACGCTGGCCTGATGAACCACATTGGCTCATGACAGATTTAACTATATCATAATTTGTTTTCACTGTATCTGTTTAATTGAAAGTTTACATTCTGATATCAAATGCTGCACTAACAACCATTACTCGATTGTTTATTTTTTGTTTGCTATAGTTATTGTCCTTCGAGCAGACCGAGTTTTTCCCCGTCACCTGTCAACCCATTCTTCCCATGGGCCCAACGGGTTATGTTTACATTCCGACTGGATGTGTATCTACAAAAAGTGAGAAAGATAAACGATACATAAACGAACAGTTTATTAATCCATTGATCAAATGAATGACAGATGATTAATCAAATGAGTGAAGATCTATCGATATATTCATCTATTGCTCTGATTGGTGATAAGTCAATCGACCGATAGATCAATCGAATAATGCATTGACTGATTGATTGTTGATCGATTAATCCATGGATTGATAGCTTGGAAGAATGACTGACTCATTGCTTGGTGATCAGTCAATCGACTGATTGATTGATTGATCACATAATGGACTGACAGATCTTTGGATTTATTGTCGATTAATTGATTTACTACTTGATTAATTGACTAACCACTTGATAGTGATCGATGGATCGAATGATTAATCGATCGACTGGTTATTAATCGATCCACCCGTTGCTGATTTAATTACTGGTTGCCTGTTAGGTAAATTGATGGAAAACGTAATGACTAAATAACCTGAGTATAAGTTGATTACTATGACCGATTGATGAATAGCTTATTGATAGTTTTCCTCGATCAACTTTTCAGATGTATAAATCACATAAATAATACTATGATTCAACTAATGCAAACGTTAATCAGTTATTAACTAATACGGAAGTTAGAACATCCGATTATTATGAAAGGTCAGATTCAGCACTAGTTAATCGCCTCGTCAGTCATCCAAATAAGCTATAACTTTTCTTTCTCGCAGACTGCAAGCTGCATGTAGCTCTCCATGGATGCTTGCAGACAACGTGAGTCCGTACATTCCAAGCTTGAGTATTTTTCTCGGTATAACAATCCTGTACAAGCATTACATTTACTGTGTGGACTTCCGAACAAAAGAGGTCCACATCAACCAGGCAGTGGCGTAGCCACCGGAGGGGGGGGGGCGTGACTGGGGGGGGGGGGGGGCGACAGCCCCCCATGAAACCTTGTCGCCCCCACCCAGTCGCCCCTCCCCCCCCCCCCCACTGAGATTTTGAGTTTCTAAAAAAATTATCATTGATCTACATGACGCCCCTCATGAAATGTTCCAGCCCCCCAGCGCGCCCCCCCCCCCCCCCCCACCCCCACTGAAAAATTCCTGGCTACGCCACTGCAACCAGGTAGCAGCAACGTTATGTGTACTTGCCCACATCCACACCGTGTTTCCACCTCTCTGGAAAACAGGTTTGGTTTGGGTTCGGTTTATCCGTGGCAAAATTAAAAGAAACACTAAAGGGAATCATGGGAAAAAAAGGGTTGAAAGAGTTTTCACAGTGTGAGTGATATACTTTTTTTCACAGGTTTTTCTTACTAAACACGAAAACAAAGGAATACCCACACTACGTTTGTAACGTAAACATAAATGTTTACACATCTGATCCCTTAAATTTTCATTTAAAGTCCATTTCTCCGTGAAAATATCTTGAAGAGATGTTTCACGGACATGACCCTGGACGCTGAGGATTATCATTGGTTATACATAATGGTACACTGGGTCTATTTCCATGGGTACATAAAGGACTTTCTTAAGGGTGTTTTCACAGACTTCTTAATTATCTGGCTTAATATGTTGAAAAATCCGTAAACATTTAGTAAACTGTAATTTCAAGGGAAAATGGCTCTTTAACAAATTTTTTAGGCATGATGTTATTTTTTTGTAAGCTAATAATGTCCGTGCTCTGGTCGTGGAACAAAGTGGACACACTCAAATGTTCTACTGTAATAAAAATGTATTCAACGTTTACAGAAACCAGAATCTCCAATTTCCTTCAGGCAGAAATTGGTCGTACTCTTTTTTATTACATAATAACTTTTGGTTTTCTACTTGTTTTGAGCATGGCAATTTAATTCAAATTCAGACGAAATGGAATGACAGATATCCAGAAGTGAATGAACATTTCAGGAAATTGGCCGGGAAAACCCATGCATGTAAGTCTGTTACCCTTCTCACGATTGTAAGCAATTTCCTTGGAATATTAAAAAGCGTGTTTCGTTATGATGCAGAGCTTCAATATGCAACGATTTCTTCACAAAGACCGGTTACAACGAGGTTGGGGAGCTGAACGACATCATCATTCTGTATCCCCAAGCCTTGATCAATCCGTTGCTGGGCAACCCCTTGGGTTGCTGGGATTGGTAAGTAGCTAGCTGTGCGTGCCCCAATCCGCACCAATGATGTACATGCTACGCGGACCGTTATTTTCAAATGTGAAAACGTTCCAGACTTATGGGTTGTAATTCCCGTATGGTGTGCGTGTGTTCAAAAGGCATTTGGTGAAGCTACATGTAATTGTTCCTAACCGAAGGAGAGACATCAGTATTTCTTGAGCTGCTTTTCCACAGCTAAAAATTCACAAATTTCTTTTTGGTATCAAATATTGAAGTCTCTTTTATTGTATGATCGGAACCTGGGTTGAAATCCACTCTTCCTGTCATGATTTTGGTTTTTCAAGAGGAGTATACAGATACAACATTTGGTTGACACGTTTTGCATGTGGGTTCTGCATGGTCAGTGACTATCTTTGGTTGTAGAATAAAAAAAAACAATAATACGTGGTAACACTCATTCTCGAAGAATAATCATGTGCACAAGCTGCGTGCGTAGCAGCCATCTTAAAAGACAATGCCTTTGTTTTGCTGGGATATACATGAGTGAACCGTATGTGCATTCATTGCTACTGAATTAAAATAACAAAAGATGACCCCTAAGATGGCTGCTATGCACAAGGTCTATACGAACCCCATGGGGTACCATTTATACCAACCACATGGGGTACCATTTGAACATAGCAAACCCGTGCGATTTGAAAATCCCCAAATTCTAGAAAGAGTCGCGAGACACAAAAGCATACTTTCCTCAGTCATGTTAAGCCAAACAGTACGTGTGTATATTTTTATCCAGAAATTAACCTTAAAATGGACTTTTTCAAATTCCAACATAGGTGGGGCTACACGAATAGCGCTTACGGTAAGTCTGTACGCATTTTGCTCTTTGGTAGCCAAGTGACATTTGTATATACGCACCGTAAGGCCAAAAAAAAAAGTATTCGGTCTCTGGTCAGCGCGCGCGTCGATTTTAATCATGCGCGTCAACCTTTTTTCCCCAAAATGTTCCGCGGTAGCTCCAACAACGCCCTCTATTGCCGCCCCTCCTCATTTTTTTTACCAAAGAGCACCACGGAATGGGAAATTGCACCAAGGCAAATGATTGAGAGCACCAAGGCAAATTATGTAGGACACCAATGTACATGAGGACACCCAAAAAGCAAAATAGTACCCCACCTTGTCTGTACATCCAAGCTTGAAGAAAAAAAAAGCACAAAAAAAAAAGCCGCGTCCCCGCGTCAATTCCTGAACTTTGGTCTGACCAGAGACCGAATATTGTTTTTTTTTGGCCTAAGGCCAAAAAAATTAAAATCGGTCTCTGGTCAGACCAAAGTTCCGGAATTGATGCGGCGACGCGTCTTTTTTTTTTTTTTTTGCTTTTTTTTTTCTTGTGTACATTGGTGTCCTCCATAATTTGCCTTGGTGCTTTCGATCATTTGCCTTGGTGCAATTTCCCATTCATTGGTGCTCTTTGCTAAAAAAAAATTGAGGAGGTGCGGCAATAGAGGGCGCTGTTGGAGCTACCGCGGAACCTTTAGGAAAAAAAAAGATTGACGCGCATGATTACAATCGACGCGCGCGCTGACCAGAAACCGACTTATTTTTGTTTTGGCCTAATGTACATTGTTTATAAATGAACATGTTCCCGTGAACAAAACTGATAAAGATGTTGATTTGGAAATCCAATCTTAATGCAACCGTATTCAATGAAATGAATCTGATTATTTTTGTTACAGTAGTTTCCGTAATGTAGTACAAGGGAGATATTCTGCTGCTCACTTTGAAAAAGCTATCGGATCGAAATTTTTAATTGATTTGTTTGAATGAAAAAAAAAAGCGAACGACAAAAAAAAGCAAAAACAAAAAAGCAAGTAAAGAAGAGAAATTGCCACGATGTTTGCAGATGTGACACGTACAGTACAAAGATAAACTAGCATTTTCTAGTTCATTCTTGGTCATTCACATGACATCGGATTTTAAAACTTAAAGAAAGTTTCCTTTCAACCGGATGTTTGAAACAGGATAAGCATGGGCGATTGACATTTTTCACCATAAACATTCCAATCCTTCGGGAATGTCCATAGCTATACAGCACTGTGACCGCAACCCCGGACCATTCATTGCGTGACTGCAAGAGGCCTTTGAACACGATGATGGACGCCGCCTTTTAGTTGGTATCAACAACCTTCCTATATGCTGCATAATAATAATGTCACGTCGTTGCTCTTGTTTGGAAAAAAAGAAAAGGTTTTAACAACTGCGCAGTTGTTAGATGGGAGTTATGAAATCAAGTTATCGATGTGCAGTTGTTTGTCCTTGAAAGCGCTATCTGTTCCTGTCATTTGAAGATGAATTAAATTGTTTTCCGATAAGCTATCAAGTTTTCCATTTTTCATTGGAAACACATTATTTATAAAATATGACTTTTGGGAAATTTCCTAAGGTTTCCTATGTAAAGGATAGAGCATATTTTGTTCGTCATGAAATGATTGTTTCAGGGATGTTGACCGCGCTGTGGTCCAGTGTTAGCCAACTCCGAACAAACGCTTTCAATATCAATCAGTTTTGGCGATGTGTGACAAGTGCGCCTGCGTGTTACTTGCATAGTGCTATCCACACATTAATGCAAACTCTTTCTTCTAGCATTAGTGAGCACGGATCTCAATAGGGTAGTGAGCAACTGAATAAGCTGGCTGCCAGGTGCTTTTGTTGCTTTCGAGGGCGGTGACAGTCATAATCACTTTGAAGTAGGGGAGTTCTGATTCCTTCTGTTCCTTGCTCCATGGGATAAGTAAACAATCCAAAACATGAACATTTAGGGGACTTCAGGACATAGTGCCCCTTTAACACAAGTAAATATAATGCAAGAGAATGTTTAACAGTTAACAAGAAGTAAAATCTTCATTGATGAACATTTGAGCTTAATGTCCTTTATTTTGTTTTCCAGCTGTCAAGACTGGCTGGGAGATGCAAGCCATCAAAGGCATGATCGACCGCATTCTGCTGTAATACCCTGCGATGGGAGGCATAAAGGGCGTGGTCAAAGGCGTGGCCTGACCACGCCCAATCTCTTTAGGCAATGAGAAATAAATAACATGAAACAGTAGTTTCAGAAGAAGGTATATATCAAGTGAAATAAACTATAATAATTTTACATAATGAAAGTGGGCGTGATTTGGACCTGCGACATCCGCAACACCGTACCAGGGACCTTCAAACAGAGTTATCTAGCCCAGTGCTGTTTGACATGTACTACTAAATATGTGTTGCGCGTATGTGAAAAGGTGTTCAGCCACTGAAAAGATAAAAATGACATTGGTAAAAGAACCATGCTTTGTGATGAGCAAAACATGGTCCATTGTAACGAAACATGTGTCTACCTGATCAGTCTGAAAGGTAGGTACAGTAGATCAATTGTTATTTGCGCATTTTAATCTCAAGACAGGTGCCTAATATTAGTAACTTAACTCCCTAGGGTGTGTGCAAAATCGTATTAAAATTGGAGGATTCAGGACTGTTGGGGTTAAACGCTAACAGTCCTGAATCCTCCAATTTTAATTCGATTTTGCACACCCTTAATGGAGTTTTAGCTCTGTGAATGCTAAACATTCTGAGAAAAACAATATTGCAGGATCTCGTTTGCAATTCAAATGTTGCGTCAATGCTTGGGCATACCCATGCAGTTTTGCACGGATTCTCTGAATTACAAACGAACTAATGGAAATTTCGAAAATGGCACTTGACACATCTTACGAAAAGGCCTTCTTTTATTGTTATCTTAACAATGACAGCATGCCAGAAAGAATAATTTCACAGGGAGTTTATTGCCATCCCCATCTTTAAACCAAGTATGCTTTGGAACAATAATTTTGTCAGTTACTATTAGATAGCAGAAATAAAGTACAGTGGCAGTAGCTATACCAAACATTCAGCTATACCGAACATGGTGCTTGGCTCCCAAGTTTTTTTAACAAACTTACTGAACATTGTTGTTGAAAACTGGCATCAGAAGAGCAACACGTGGCTATTATTTCCCCAAGGAATAGAAGGGGAAAGCCACCCATTGCTGTAGGTAGTAAGCTCAAAAACTGTGTAATTACATAAATCAATAGTTGGCACTTGTTCAAAGTCGTCTTTCAGTAACTGCAAGTACCAGGACGTGCAGGGGGAAGTTTTGAAGGTCGCTATTTATTGAAAAGTGAGTACCAGAGCACCGGCAGCTTAAAATCTCTATACCAAATGATCGATACAACAAACAATTTCTGTGGATCCTGCGATGCTCATTATAGCGACTTCCACTATACTCTTCTTTTAACCCTGCGCAGCGTTTACAAGAAATTTTTATCAGAAATCGCCAACTGCGTACCTTTGGGACGCAGGTACTTCCCCCACTACGCAAGACCCTATCCATGTCAAAACAACAAAAAGCCACGTGCCAGACGGTGTCCAGGCATTTGCCAGACAGGGCACTTAAAAGATAATTGACTAGCGGCTGTGGTTTGCGGCTATGAAGGGAGATGGCTGTGTCAAGTTATAGGTGTTTGTATAATGTTTCAATGAGACTTGGCAGGAGGCCTGGTCCCAAGATTGTTGACACCGCTCGGGTGAAACCCTGGCTGCAAAGTTCATTGAACCAGCTGATTTGGCATGGGTTGAATGAGGATTAGATGGAAGGTGAACGTCATTGGCCCTCAATTTTTTTTGTTTTTCAAAAAATTTGGTCACCTACGTACCCGGGGTACGGAGGTCACTCCGCGCAGGGTTAAGACATTACATAAGCTTTCAGTGATGAATACTGGGCATTGATAACCCCCTAACACTTGTATTACAATGCACAACGTACTACACTAAGCAGTTTGGTGTTGTACAGGGACAAATCGGTTAATAATATGTATACCCTTTGTACACGTATACATGTTTATGTAAAACTGAATTCATGATTATGTAAATTATGTTAATGATTAATCAATGATCTGTTGGTGACATCACGATGCTTTGTCATCTCTGTAGTTCTCAGTTTTTACGTTGAGTATACCCAAGTCATCACCTTTTGCTCCTCACTTCTCTCATATTCCTCAACTGTTAACTCGGGTCTTTGTCTGGAGCGTAGACACAATGTAAATTGGATTCATGAATATGTACATTATGCAAATAATTAACCGTTGATCTGTTGATGTTACGATGCTTCATCTTCTCTGTAGTTCTCTGTTTTCATGTTGAGTATACCCAAGTCATCGTTTTGCTCCTCACTTCTCTCATATTCCTCAACTGTCAACTCGGGGTCTTTGTCTGGAGCGTAGACATTCTGTTACCAAACAAAAATCAAAATCAGAAAGTTAGCATAAATCGAGAAAGCAATTGTATTGGTTTGAAATTGCGTCCGCTAGAAATGATTGGCCGATACATACATGTAGGCTTTAACTTTTTATGTAATTTACTTTAATTCAATTTAGTATAATTCAATTTAATATTGTTTCCTTAAGTTTAATTTAATGTTAATACACGTAGTCAGTTTCTTTTTTAGTTTCTTTGAATTAATTTTTTTTTTTTTTTTTAATTTTATTCAATTTAATTCATAAACCATTTAGTCAGCAGAGCCCCTTGACGGAGACTTTGTGTCCTGTGGGCGATTCTTCGGGAGCTGTTTTATTCTTTTTGTTTTCTGTTGTTCTCCTTTAATTTGTATGCCTTGGTTTTTACTGTTATCCCTAAAAATAAAGTAAATGTAAAATGCAAAATGTTTAACGTCAAGGCAAATTGTTTTTGTTTGGTCTCAGAAGAAACATGTAGCTCCCTCTCTTGTAATTCTGTCATTTGCTCAAGATATACACTGTAGTGTCAAAAGCCCTTTCTATTTAGCAGAAAGGGGTCACACGGTATGAAAATGCTTAAACTGCAATTTGTAAAATGAAAAAAACAAATGTGTTGCGCTGTTACTCTCAAACAGGGTGATGGCTAAGGACACGTTTGAGAACAGAGAAAACGATGAGACAATAACTACGCCGAAATGAGGGTTTGTGGGTATTAGGAAAGAGAATAATACCTTTCATACAGAAAATTGTTTCTAATTAATCTAACCCCTAGGCCCTTTTTCCTAGGAAGCATCCTCAATCCTCCAAAATTTTGCAACAGCGTCTAAGTCCTTCAAAATCGTCAGACAGTCCTGCCACAAAATGCATTCATCCTCAATCCTCGAAAATCCTCCTCATCTTCAAACACCATTCATCTTAATCCTCCAAAATCCTCATGTGCTTAAACACCATTCATTCTCAATCCTCCAAAATCCTTATGTGCTTAAACACCATTCATCCTCAATCCTCCAAAATCCTCATGTGCTTAAACACCATTCATTCTCAATCCTCCAAAATCCTCATGTGCTTAAACACCATTCATCCTCAATCCTCCAAAATCCTCATGTGCTTAAACACCATTCATTCTCAATCCTCCAAAATCCTCATGTGCTTAAACACCATTCATCCTCCATCCTCCAAAATCCTCATGTGCTTAAACACCATTCATCCTCAATCCTCCAAAATCCTCATGTGCTTAAACACCATTCATCCTCAATCCTCCAAAATCCTCTAAAACCGCAATGAGGATTTTGGAGGAGTAAGGTGGGTTAGGGTTTTAATCGCTATTTCTTGGTGTGGATGTGCAAATGGTTGCACGCGCATGGTGATTTCCATTGCTATGTTATTATTAATTCAAGCAACTTTTTTCCTCTGAGGCAAACGTGCCCTTTGTGAGCTCACTCCTTGTAGTCTCCATGAAATAGACGGAGATTCTGTTAGCAGAAAATCGGCTGTGCTTTACTAACGTTATGAAACTGTGCTCTGGTCTTAGTATCTCAATTAAAGTGGGCCCTGGCCTCACCTGAATGTAGCAGTTTCCTGCAGGGTCATCTAGGACCACTGACACAAGCAGGTCACCGGATATGATCTGAGAGGAAATGGGACAAACAAAGTCAAACACACAAGTTTAAAAAATATCAATTAATGATTTGTGAGGCGTTTTGGCAGAACAGGGTGAGGTCAAAATGAGGGTTTTGCGGGTATTAGGAAAGAGAATACAATTCTCCTTACAATACTGTTGGTTGGACTTCCGTTGACAAGTTATGGCTGTTAAAGTTTGCAGTTTATTGACATGTCAAAAAAGTAAAAAAACTGAGGAAAAACTCCTTTAAAGTTTCAAGTTTTGTAGTCTTGAAAATGAAAGATGCCAATTGTTTTTCCTTAAAAACACTTTTTTTCATATATTTTATACACTGTACTTCCTTGAAATGTGAGTAGATGACATATCAAAGATCACAAATATCAATAAAGCTGATACATGTATTCGGAAACAAATCATCCCCATTTGTTTTTTTTGTTTTTTTTTCATGTTACTCCTCAATGGCCTGTGCCCAGTTCCGTCTCGATACCAGAACGCCTCACATGTCATATATGAAACATAAAGGAGATCACAAAGGATGTAATTTTTTTATGTAAAAAAATGGACATCTTTTCTTCTCTATATCAGAGGCTGTGTTACACTACATGTATGTCACACTTTGAGAAATTGTAATTGAAAGGTTTAAGTTAAAGGGAATATACAACATTTGCAAACATCAAAAAATAAAACTACCAAGTTTTTACGAAATACCTTACTAGAATGTTGGTAAATGACAGTCTAAAGCATCCTGTAAAATTATGGCACCTGGTGTGAAGTCATTTTCAAGAAAATGGTATATTTGTATACATTTCCAACGGTGGTCGGCCGACCACCGTTGGAAAAACCTAATTATTTTTCAACTACTGCTCCAACTTTAAACTTTTTTCAGTCCAAATTCTGTTTGCTATTGGTTACATGTTCATGAACGGGTGCAGGCCAGCTAGACTGGTTCCCTTACCTTACAATTTTCCGGCATCTATAAATTGATCCATTTTATCTTTAGTAAAGTCAAGGAACCAGACTTCTTGAACATTTTTGTTTTTCTTGGTTTTTCCAGCATTTTCGAACACAAAACTACAAACATGTCAGTGTAACAATATTTGGTCTATTATACTAACCCCTCAAATAGTTCATTTCTGAAAATTACAGCAAAAGCCAATGATGTACATTCCCTTTAAAAAAGTGAACCACGACATTTGAAAGCAAGCATCAGGATAGACAAAAGGTCAATCATGATTTTTGAAAAGCGAATCAAGTTGTTTGAAAACAGGACCAAGGGCAAACATATCTTGTTTGGATCACCATGGTTTTCTCCACAAGACGTTCAGAGTATCAGCTTGGGTTCCATATATACACTATTCAGTCAGTTTAAAGGGAATATACATCATTTGCTTTTGCTGTAATTTTCAGAAATGGGTGGAATTGGGGGGTTGGAAATATATAGCAAATATAGTTACACTGACTTTTTTGAGGTTTTTGGTTCGAAAATGCTATAAAAACCAAGAAAAACAATCATTTTCCTGTAGTCTGGTTCCCTGACTCCATTTAAAAAGAAACAGAGCAGTTTACATATATTGGGGAATTGTAAGGTTAGGGAACCAGTCTAGCTGGCTTGTACCCGTTTATAGGTGTGTAATCGATTGTAAACAAGTGTGATGGTCAACTGGGGTCAGTATTTGAAAAACAAGCCAGTTTTTTCCAACGCTGATCGGCCGGTCAGCGTTGGAAATTGATACAAAAATACCACTTTTCTTGAAAATGACAGTATACCAGGTGCCATGATTTTACAGGATGCTTTACACTGTCATTCACTAACAGTCCAGCAAGGTATTTCAAAATGATTTGGTAGTTTTATTTTTTGATGTTTGCAAATGTTGTATTTTCCCTTTAAAGAGGTTGTGGAATGCTCAAAGACATTTCCATCATTTTTCGGGTATATGTAGCCTAAGGTGTGATGAAATAAAAATGACTATTGTTTCTGTCATAAAATGAGTACAAAAGGTACTTTTGAGAGCTGTTTTTCAAGTCCTGTCATGCCTGTTTCGACCCGAACGTGCAATTTGTGTAAAAGTCGTCGTTGCGGGCAGCAAACAAAACACAGTAAATCGTGACGTAATAAACAGGACTCCCGATGCAGAGTAGCATAAACGAGTCCTGTTTATTACGTCACGATTTACTGTGTTTTGTTTGCTGCCCGCAACAACGACTTTTACACAAATTGCACGTTTGGGTCGAAACAGGACCTGAAAAATAGCTCTCAAAAGTACCCTTTGTACTCATTTCATGACAGAAAAAATAGGCGTTTTGATTTCATCACACCTTAGGCTACATATACCAAAAAAATGACGGAAATGTCTTCGAGCATTCCACAACCTCTTTAAACCATTAGCACCTGGACTTGACTGTATTACAATGTATTTATTCACTGAAAAAAATGGTTTTGGGCGCGACAGGGAGTAATAGGCGGGGCGATTTCGGGCGCTTCATCAGTGACTAAAGCGATAAGGAGAATCAGTGGAGTGGGAGTGCCAACATTTTTACCTCATCAATCTTGTCAATGAACTCCTTGAGCTTAGTCCCGGACCCCTGGGGGGCGCTGTCCTGGCCCTGCACCATGGAGTACGGACGCATGAGCTGATTCCTGACGTCCGTTAGGAGGCCCTCTAGTGTCGTAAACTTGCCCCCCAGGGTGCCCATCATCAGCTCAAAGTTGAGGTCGGGAATTAGGAATCTCGATGTGTCAGACTGAATTATGACAAATAAACATGATATCCAAAAAAAAAAATAATAATTGATGCAGATATAAACATTTATGCGAAGACGGCCTTGACTGTGGAGGACAATCTGAACAAACCAAGTTGCAGATGCTGACTAAAGGCCCTTGCTGGTTAGACAATGATAATTACTACACACAAATATATTTTTAAAAAAGAAAAACAGCAAGCATAAATTCTGTACAGTTTGAAACCTTGTCACCCGGTGACAATTTCACTGCAATGCCTTTTCAACCTGCTTCTTACAATTTGGTACACAAAAAGAAATGGCATTTTCTCTACTTTGATTTGATTTGACTTGGTACAGATGGCTTGTCTGCCAAAATCCACACAAAGGGGGGATGGATTTTGATGGAGTTTGGAAGGTTAGGGTTAAGATCACATTTGCTTTCGGCTCACCTTCAAAACGTCTCTGTTCAGATCCATGGCTGAGTCGGTCATCTTCAAAGTTATCCGCCTCCCTTTGGGCTCAATGCCCGCCCCGGATTTGACCTCTGAGTCCTTGTAACCGCAGGAGTCGCAGTTTGAGGCCATGAGGATGACTTCCTTGAAGTATGGGATTTCTGGTTGCCGGTAATGTTAGGGAAAAATATGTAAGCAAGATCTTTGTCCAACAGAGGTCTGGGTCACAGAAAATCTACGTTATGCATTGAGAAAACAATGAAACCCTCTTCACGTCTGATGCAGCAGCTATTTTTTGCCTTTCATGTAAATCTTTTCAGTGGTGAATTTTGAACCAAACTTTTGAAAGACTGGCACCACATAAAATACATATCACATAGTTAGGTGTAATTCACTGTACGACATCAGGTCCCACACTGGCTGATATCAGGTCCTAACCTACTGCGGCAAAATGAGGAATGTCCCCCAAAAACTTGTTTTGAGCAATTGACGCTTTAAGTCGGATATACATGTAGTAGAAAAATGATTTCAAAATTCATATTGGTTGTTTTGTATTTTGGAGTAGTCAAGGTTTCGAAGATTCACATTATGCATTTTTGTTGGGAAAAAAAAACACTCAATACAGTTGAAAAAACTGAAGAACGTTTATCACTGCCATTGGCGGCGCTCTGCAGATTTTTTTTTTCCAAAGCTGTTTTTGTCAAAATGAGGTTGGCGAAGATTGGCGGGGCACTGTTGAAGTTCCTGCGGCTTATCTTTGGAATAAATTAAGCTACAGAAATAAATTTGGTATTAGTGGAAAGCCAATGAATTGCACATGATGTACATACTTGAAAAGTCAAAGGTGGGGGTTATTCCTTATTATGCTATGGCAGGTCACAGTTTCTGTCCAACCTTATCCCAGGTTGGCTATGAACAGACAGTTTATTAGGCTTGTGTGGCATTGGATGTTGAGAGTCCATGGTACACCGTCACTAAAATATCGCGGTATTCAGTATTATCGGGTACTTTTCTGGGTGCACCCTTATGTCATCAAAATACAATAAGACACATGGTGATACACAAATTGGTAGCAGGCAGCATGGGCACAACTTCCAAGGCTGGATGACTAGTAAGCACAATTGTTACCTGATACGTGACCACAAGGAATTTAAACAATTATCAATATACATGTACATTGTAGTGCAGACCTGGCCGAGTTGCTTGTGTTACCTTTATTTTTAAAGGGCTATTGCACACATGTGGCTACATTCAATGGAGAAACTGCGGTTATGAAATGCCACACCGAGGTCGTCATTTTTTTGGTATTTAGGCAGCATCATTCAGTTTTGTTCGGTATCAAACAAATATTGTCACTACACGGTTTTATTGAAATAAAGTCCAAGCCTACAGTTTATCAAAGGATACTGACAAGTTTCATTCTGGACTTGGTGGGCATGTTGCAGTTGGAGCAGGTTACGGCAAACTCTAATACCTCATCTGTAACGTTAGTTGGCTCTGATGAGTCAGATGCTTCAGCTGGCTCCTCCCCTTCCCCTTGTCCCTCCCCCTCCGCCTCCTCCTCCTCATGCACAGCATCTGTCTCCTCTTCAACCTAGTTGCAGAAAGCAGACAGCGATGATCAACACACCTGATGCGTCATGACAGCATGATTTGTTTACTTGGGCGCTTTCTTATCTTTATATCCCTAACCCTGCTCAATCCAACAGGATCCAACTATTTTACATACCCCCTGGGTCCTGTTGGATTGAGCAGTAAATCCTTTGTATTTACTCCAGTTAAAATCTGTTGGATTCAGCAGGCAACTGAAAACATTCAGAGTCGAATTCTGTTGGGTACTGGCAAATAACACCAAAGTTGGACTCTGTTGGATCCAGCAGAGAACGGAAAAACAAGGCACAGTTGGATTTTGTTGGGCTGAGCATGCCAGCCATGTTATATGTTCAGGTATCCAACGACTTGGCACTTTGGGTTGTGTGGGACTGTGTTAGATTAAGCGGGAAACTCATGATTAACTGTCAGACTCTGTTGGATTTAGCGGGGTAGTCCTGGGGAACTACTAGGGGTTAGGGTTATGGGGCTTTGTGGCTCTACTCCCCACTTCGGTCCCGTAATCCTAATACCTCCTTTGGCACTAAACACAGCTACATGGATTGCTGTGGCCTCGTGGTAGAGGGTATTGGATTTGTGGTCTGCGGGTAAGTTGTGGGTACGAGGGGGGTTATGGTGCGTGTGCCAAGGCACTTTGTCACTCATTGCTTCTCCCCACCCAGGAGTAAATGGGTACCTGTGAGGGCAGAGATGGTTATTGTGATTGAATTAGCTTCCCTGCGCCTAACAGGCTGCATGGAGCTGTATACTCCCCAGGGAGCTCAGATGGTATTTGGAAAGTTTCATGGGCCCAATTAACAGGGGTAGTAATGACGTAGCGCCTTGAGCACCAGTCCTGGTGGATATGTGTGCTTTATAAATACCCACTATTATTACATGCAACCCTTGTCAAAAGGACACTGTAGCTCAGTGTAGCAAGATCCAGCAGGTCACAAAATCACAAGGCAAGAACGCCTCAGCGTCTGTGGTCACCAACAGCCGAATACCTACCGCGAGTCCTAGGCCTTTGTTCTGGTCTCTGGTCCTGACGTACATGTTGATGGTCATATCAGGGTCCGTCTCGGGAGCGTTGGGGTTCTCAATGAAGCTGTTTCCTGCTGGGTCATCCAGGATCTTGCAAAAAAAACCACAAAAATGTTGTTTAAACAAATTCTTCCTCTTTGAAAATTCAATTTGGTCTCCATTCATGCCATTAGGAATTCAGGTCAGGACTGGATTTGAGAAACGCAGAGGGGTATGTACACCAATAAAAAAAATAATAAATCAAAAAATTGACTTTTCCAAATAATGACTTCTTTATCCCACTATTACATACATGTAGAGGATTTGCGAACATAATCCTCTGCTCGCACCTGTAATCACATTTGATTACCCAACCTACAATAGTCACTCAATCTCTTATGTCCGCCTACTCTAAATTTTAATCGGACATAACCGGCAAAGACTAATTTATGCTTAAAATCCATATTAAGCCATACAAGAAACCAGAGAAGAAGTGTCACTGAATAGGACAGTGCCATCCCTTTTCCAAACTCATAACAGTTATCAAAAATAATGGTATAAACAACATATTTTGTTTTCGATAAAAAATAAACAAATTTCCATGGCTCTTTACATTCTCTTGGTTTCAGGGGGAATGACACCTATTGCTTAATGCTTTGGCACCCCTAGGGAGTACAGAACATCATGGACTATATCACAGCAGAAAACCGCTGTATCCCTGCGCAGAGTGACCTGCTACCCTTTGGGCCCCAGGTAACTGAATTTTTTGAAAAAAAAAATAAAAAATTGAGGGCCAATAACGTTCACCTCCTATCTAATCCTCATTCAACCCTTGCCAAATCAGCTGGTTTAATGAACTTTGCAGCCAGGGCTACACCCAGGCAGTGTCAACAAACTTTCGACCAGGCCTCCTGCCAAGTCTCAATGAAACATCAACAAAGACCTGTAACTTGACACAGTCATCTCCCTTCATAACTGCATACCACAGCCGCCAGTCAATTATCTTTCCAGCGCACTGTCTGGCAACTGTCTGGACACTGTCTGGCACGTGGCTTTTTGTTGTATAGCTATGAATAGGGTCTTGCGTAGTGCGGAAAGTACATGCTGCCCAGAGGGCAGCAGTTGACGAGTTGTTGTAAAAAATTTTGTAAACGCTGGGCAGGGATAAAGGACAAAATGGGGAATCCTACCAGGTGGAATGGCGGTTCAAGGTTCTTGAGTTTGGTGATGAACTCGTCAATCTGTGCAGCCACCTCCGGATACATTGCCTTGGGAGTAAACAAAGAAAAACAGGGTGTGTATATGTAGTATACATGTAGATCAATCCGGGCACGCTAGCAAATCTATCATGAAGTCCCCTTACTAGTTGACGCTATTGGAGTCGTACTCGACTCGAGACGTTGGGACTAATTGTTTTATCTCATGTGTGAGATTTGTCTGAGCCATCCAGCCCATTCCTGGGCAGCACAAACAGCCTGATCGTGTTTGAGGCCCATGGCGCTTAGGTCGTCTATGATCTGTGAGAGGTAGGTGCGGCGGAGGCCTCCTCCCTGCCAGAAGGGCTCTGATGGTTGGTTTTGGGGGTTCAGGAAGACAGCAAGAGGCACCTCAGGTCTTCGCAGTGCGTGACCAATTAAGCAAAGGCAACTCCTCAGGAGGGTGGTTGTGGCTGGTGCTACACATGTACAAGCATACCGGTTGGTTGCAGACCAGTAAATCGGTCCGAAATTGCCTACGCCGGCCAAATCACGATTTGCATGCCCTCAAAATCTTCAGTATTTGAGCATACTGTGGGCCATGAACTTGAGGGTTTGTAAAAATATGGGTGGAAGCCGTGCACAGGACTGTGAGCTTGTAGTTCTGTTCAATTTGGATGAAATTGGGGCCCTAAAAGCGCTCTATTTTGCAATGGAGTGTAGGCATCGTTTTTCAAAATGGCGATGGGCTTCAGGACTATTTTAAGGGGCGATCATCTTCGGATGGAAATTTATCCTAAAAGTCATCAGTTGACCTCCCCGTAAATTGAAAAGAAAATGAAAGATGATGAAATAAGCTTTAATTTGATGTGTCTCTCGAACACCTTGGAGAGTTGTGAGTATTTTTCCTGAATTTCTGAAGTGGGAGCATTTATCATTGGGGTCAATGGAAGTTTATTTACTGGTCTGCAACCTATAAGTCCCCTTAAGCGGCAAAAGCATTGTGTTACCTAATAATTGTTTGTGGTGTACATTTACGGGCAGTACAGGAACCGGGTACCCTATTGAAGTAAAACAGGGGTACCAGGGTACCCGTAAAAGATGGTCTTTTCAAAACTAAACATGTATGAAGGGCTTTATAGCTTTACGGTGTAATGACTCAATGGGGAGTCAGGTTGGAGTAGTGGTACTTTCCTCGCCTTCCACCATGTGACCCGGGTTCGAATCCCGCCTGGGCCAATATGTGGATTGGGTTTTCAGTCCCTACCTGATTCCGTGGGTTTTCCCCAGAATATTCTCCTGGGCTTTTCCTCCCACCTCTAAAACTGTAACTTCTTCTCATTGTCTTCTCTCCACAGGTTTCTTCAGGCTTGCGAGCTACAGTGCCTAGGGCGCTTTTGAGGAATCCTTGGTTTCATTACCAGAAATGATTAATAATAATAATGACTGAAACTTTCACTTTCCTCTCTGCCAATGGTCTAGTAATTGGTCCGGGAAAAAGGTAATTCATTCTCATACCTTGCGAATTGGCTGTTCTTGTTCCAGTCCCTCAATCGCTCTGCTTATTACTCCCTCCACTGTGGTAAAAGCTGTTGATGATCAATTGATTTATTTAAATTCACAGTATTTTCACAATAGCGGCAGGCCCTTTAGAAAGTTATCTACATCTCAATACACATACAGTCTTTGAACATGTATTGTGAAAATACACAAACATGGCAAAATCTGAGGACTTTTTTTCCCCAGAGGATTGCAAGGCATTTTGGCAAAAAGGAGACCGCTGTAGTTGAGAAAAATGAGAAAAGCAGAAAGAATTGGAGTGACTTTATTTCTACAATTTTTAGATTTACTAATATTTGTTATCTTTGATATGTCTACTATATACATGTATATTGGAAAGAAATAGTACATAAATCATGGACTAAAAGTGTTTTTAAGGAAAACCAATTGGAATCTTCAATTTTCAAGACCACATATTTCAAAACTATAATAGGGCCTTGTTCTCAGTACATGTACATGTATTTGACTTTTGGACATGTCAATAAATGTGAACTTTAAACAGCCATTACTTGTCAATGGAATGTCCGATTGAAGTGCAGCAAACAGTATTATAAAGAGAATCTGATTCTCATTTCGGCCTCTTCCCAGTTTTGTCTCAAGAACGCCTCACAATTTATAAATTTGGTTGAAATATTTTCTGTAGACATTGCAGAAGCTGTAATCAATAATAACTATAACTCGGTGGATTTTTTTTATAGGGAGGCGGCAGGGTGAAAAATGAGATTAATTAAGATTGACATATGTCAAGACTTACAGCCTTTTTGGGATCCACAAGGAACTTCAAACTCCAACTCTGGAATTCTTAAGGAGGCCGTGTCTGCCTTCACAACTTGTCTGTTGAAGTCCTGCAGAAAAAAAAGACCAAGATAAAAGCAAATAACGAGAATCAGCCCCTGGCAAGATAAATGTTATCAACAGGAGGTATAAAGTACATGCATGTATATCCATTTCTAGAAAAATGCACTTAGTTTTTTTTCAGACTGGAACCTTGAGTGCTGAAAAACGTGCAAAACGAAATCAGGCCAACTTTACTCACTCTTTGGCTGACAAAATTCTCCAAAGTTTTCATTGGGCAAAGAAAAGGTCCTCAGTATTTGACCAACCAAGTTTGAAGACTCAATTCACTTTTTAAAGGAAACTTTTCTTCACTATTTTGCACATGAGAGGAAAATCAAGTGATTTTAAAATGAGGCTAAAGACTAGACTGGTACATGTCCAACCATGGTCAAACTGTTTGAAAAGACTGACCTCTTCATTCGTTGTCATTAGTCTGGTGGATGACTATGGAGAAATGTGTAGAAGTAGAGACTAGTACCAGATATGTCAGATGTGTCTTTTGGCACAGTTGATTTGTGCAGTACTGAGTGAAAGGTTATAAGGCTGGTTGTTCAGGTGCCAGTCTATTTTCTTGTATTGCATGTTTTCAATACCTTAAGTTTTGGGTCTCTCATAGTATTGAGAGTCCCAAATTTTTGGACTAGTTATTTTTCAATAAATGTATTTCAAATTGAAATGTCCCTAAATGTATCACAGTGACCTCAACCATGTCCGACAATTTGGGACTCTCAATACTGTGAATGAGAGTTCCAAACATTAAGATAGTGAAAACATGTAATACAAGAAAATAGACTGGCACACGAAACAACCAGTCCAACACCCCATTAGTTAGTACTGCATTAGTCCGAAAATTTGGGACTCTCAATACTGTGTATGAGAGTCCCAAAACTTTAAGTATTGAAAACATGCAAAACAACAAAATAGACTGGCACTTAAAACAAACAGTCCAACACAGCTTCAGTACTGCATCAATCAAGCATGCCAAAAGAATTTAAGAAACATGTGGCATGAAACAGGAACTAGTCTCAATTTACTACACATTTCTCCATAGTCAAGCCACCAGACTATTGACACTGAATGAAGAGGTCAGTCTTTTCAAATAGTTGTACCATGGATGGACATGTACCAGTCTAGTATTTAGCCCCATTTTGAAATCACTTGACTTCCCTCTCATGTGCAAAATATTGAAGAAAAGTCTCCTTTAAAAATTGAATTGAGTCTGCAAACTTGGTAGGTGAAAAACTGAGGACATTTTCTTTGCTCCAGTGGAATTTTTGGAGACATTTGCTGGCTAAACTGTGAGTAAAGTGGGCCCGATTTAATTGTGCACGTTTCAGAGCACTCCAGAGCCCTGTCTGGTACTGCATCAATCAACTGTGTCAAAAGAAACATCTCTGCTACACATTCTCTCCACAGTCATCGGGTCAGGCCGCACAAGACCACTGAAGGGTCAATCTTATCGAAAACGTTTGACATGTACATGTACATTGTACCGGTCTTGTCTTAGGCTTCAAACGGAAATCACTTTGCATCACTCTCATGTGGGGAAAAAAGCCTCCTTTAAAAATTTAATTGAGACTCAAATACCTGGCTGGGGAAATACTTTGGACCTAAGCTTGTCTTTGCCTCCTGAAAAGTTTGGAGAATTTTGTCGACTTAATGGGAATGTACATCATTGGCTTTTGCTTTAATTTTCAGAAATGAACTATTTGAGGGGTGAATATGATAGATCAAATTATTGTTACACTGACATGTTTGAAGTTTTGTTTTCTAAAATGCTGGAAAAACCAAGAAAAACAAAAAAATTCAAGTAGTCTGGTTCCCTGACTCCACTGAAGATGAAATGGATCAATTTACAGATGCCGGAAAATTGTACGCTAAGGGAACCAGTCTAGCTGACCTGCACCCATTAATGAACATAAAACCAATTAGCAAACAAAATTGGACTGAAAAAATGGTAAATTTGGAGCAGTAGTAAAAAGTAGTTAGGTTTTTCCTACGGTGGTCGGCTGACCACCGTTGGAAATGTAAACAAAAATACAATTTTCTTGAAAATGACTTCACACCAGGTGCCATTATTTTACAGGATGCTTTAGACTGTCATTTACCAACATCCTGTAAGGTACATTTGTATTTTGTAAAAACTTGGTCATTTTATTTTTCGATGTTTGCAAATGTTGTATTTTCCCTTTAAGAGTGAGTTAAGTTGGCCTGATTTTGTTTGCATGTTTTTCAGCTCCCAAGCTCCCAGTCTGATCTCTGTCGGTAAGATCAACTATAGTCAACCTAGCCTTTGCCCCCTCCCCCTCCCTCCTAATAAAAGAAGGTACCTTGCGAGTCTTAATTTGGACGCTGATCCGACAGCCTTTTTGCTGTATCCTGCCAGCGGGCTGGATGTCATTGTTGGAATGGCCGCAGTGGGAACAGGAAAATGACATCACGACGATCTCCCGGAAAAATGGGATCTTGGTCAACAGCAGTCTTGTCATGCCCTGAAAACAAAGGAGGGAGATTGGGTTATTTTCTGACAATTAACAACCCTCTCCCTCATGTCTAAATGTTAAAGGGAATATACAACATATGCAAACATCGAAAAATAAAACTACGAAGTTTTTACGAAATACCTTACTAGAATGTTGGTAAATGACAGTCTCAAGCATCTTGTAAAATTATGGCACCTGGTGTAAAGTCATTTTCAAGAAAATGGTATTTTTGTATACATTTCCAACGGTGGTTGGCCGACCAGCGTTGGAAAAACCTAACTATTTTTCAACTATTGCTCCAAATTTACCATTTTTTCAGTCCAAATTTTGTTTGCTATTGGTTACATGTTCATGAACGGGTGCAGGCCAGCTAGACTGGTTCCCTTGCCGTACAATTTTCCATCATCTATAAATTGATCCATTTTATCTTTTGTGAAGTCAGGGAACCAGACTACTTGAACATTTTTGTTTTTCCTTGGTTTTTCCAACCTTTTCGAACACAAAACTTCAAAAATGTCAGTGTAACAATATTTGATCTGTTATACTAACCCCTCAAATAGTTCATTTCTGAAAATTAGAGCAAAAGCCAATGATGTACATTCCCTTTAAGAAAGGTGATTTGTAGAGTCCTAGTTTACTTGGACAAGCATGTACTCAACATAGCCATACGATTGTCAAACAGTAAAAACATACAATATTAAAAAAAACAATTAAGAAAAAAAAAAGACAGAAAAAGGAAAAACAAATTACAGACATGACAGAACACAGTATCAGTAAAACTAAAACTAAAAATCAAAATAGGCCTAGCTACATGTACATCATTTCATAGGCCTACATGTAGTTTAGGGAAATTACAAAAAAAAAAAAGATTAACACTGAGCAAAATATGACCTACGTACCAGCCCTGTACATGTATGTGTCAAACGTCACTGTAACAGTTGATTATAAATCCATGTATTTGTCTATGCCCATAAACGATAAATGTTATCATGGTCATAATGATTCCAGAGTTGTAACGAGTCACTGTTTTTTGTGACTCAAGTCGAGTCGAGTCATTTTAAAGAAGTGACTTGAGAGTTGAGTCAAGTCATTTTAAAGAAGTGACTCGAGGCGAGTCGAGTCATTAGGTCAAAAGGTCGAGTCGAGTCGAGTCAAATATTTAGCTCGAGTCAATTCGAGTCACGAATATTTTAACACTATATACCAAAATTTATAAAAGGAGGCCAAGTTTAGCCAGCATTCGAATCCAAGAGCTTTATAAGAAATCGCCAAAAGCCAATGATGAAACAGCGAATTAGAAAATGTGTTTAAAATCTGGTTCCTGGATAGTATGTTGTGCGTTCTAGAACCATGTGGTGGGAGTCTGTGACACGTTGTACATGTATATTTATACATGACTGCTAGCTGGAGTTACCCAGCCCTGAGTTTTATCATTGGGTTGTCTATTAGGGCTGGAGCGCATTTTTCTCAAAACTTGTAGTATTTGCAAAAAAAATTTGGAAAATGTTCAATTTTGTCCCCGTTACACACTAATTGCAACTGCAACTCACCCCAAACTTGCCTGGAATAACCATTACACAGGTCCTTGAAGTAAAAAACGATCCACGATGAAGATTCAGCCTACAATTGCAGTGAAAACAGGAGAAATAACCGCTAACTTGACAACCTTGCTGGATTGGCCAGGACCGCTATTGGTTTGTGCACAAAAAAAAATTGTGTACAATGAATGGCGGTCGATTAACAGGCACAGAGAGCGATCGCTGTCAACTACTCGTTTTGCCGGCTGCGCTGGCTGTTGGCGCATGACGTCACGCGGAAGCGTAACACCCGATGACTGTTTCATGCACTATTGGTTGCGGTTCCAGTACCAAAGCTGTGATGCGAGTGGTAAACCTTATATTAGTGCATGAAACAGTCATCGGGTGTTACGCTTGCGCGTGACGTCATGCGCCAACAGCCAGCGCAGCCGGCAAAACGAGTAGTTGACAGCGATCGCTCTCTGTGCCTGTTAATCGACCGCCATTCATTGTACACAATTTTTTTTGTGCACAAACCAATAGCGGTCCTGGCCAATCCAGCAAGGTTGTCAAGTTAGCGGTTATTCCTCCTGTTTTCACTGCAATTGTAGGCTGAATCTTCATCGTGGATCGTTTTTTACTTCAAGGACCTGTGTAATGGTTATTCCAGGCAAGTTTGGGGTGAGTTGCAGTTGCAATTAGTGTGTAACGGGGACAAAATTGAACATTTTCCAAATTTTTTTTGCAAATACTACAAGTTTTGAGAAAAATGCGCTCCAGCCCTAATAGACAACCCAATGATAAAACTCAGGGCTGGGTAACTCCAGCTACATGACTGCTATTCGCAAAGCGAAGTGAGCATAATTTTGCACCGTAACTCCGTAAGTCATTGCAAATACTTTTCGCAAAGTTGCGCTTTTCTTTTTGGGACTCGAGTCTTATTAACCTTCACTCGAGTCGAGTCGAGTCGAGTCTTCGGATGAGGGACTCGAGTCGAGTTGAGTCATTTACCTTTAGGGCATGTAGGGACTCAAGTCGAGTCGAGTCACCAAAAACTGAGTGTGACTCGAGTCGGACTGGAGTCGAGTCATTGACTCGAGTCATTACAACTCTGAATGATTCATCACGTATTTTGTGGTACTGTGGTACTGGTTGACTTACTGCATAGATCATGTAGATCATGCGTGCTCAAACTCAATGACAATGTGTACTTTCTTTTGCAGCGAACTGCACCACACAAATAACAAACCTGTTCCTGACAATTAAAGCAAAGGCTTTCGATTTCTGTAGCTTCCAAATCCCCCATGTCCTCTGCCGTCAACTCTCGAAAGAGCGGGACGTTCCCGTAGGGTTGCTCGGCCATTTTTCTTCACTTTAACTTAACAATTCTGCTGGCAAAGTTGATTCAAGGAAGGCAAACACTGCAATATCGGAATCGAATTCCGATCCTACATGCGCTACGCTGGGTGTCGGACGCTTCGCCCCATTTCCACGTCGCCCCATGTCACTTCGCCCCTAACCACTTCGCCCCATCCCCACTTCGCCCCATCCCCACATCGCCCCATCCCCGCTTCGCCCCATCCCCACATCGCCCCATCCCCGCTTCGCCCCATCCCCACTTCGCCCCATCCCCACTTCGCCCCATGTACAATGTAGATTGGTTCCTCCAAGAGTGAAATTAGGATGTCAAAGGTATTGTCGTTCTCAGATAAGTGGGAGACGGGTTGGTATAGCCGGGTCTTTTAGGCCAAAACAAAAATATTCGGTGTCTGGTCAGACCAAAGTTCCGGAATTGACGCGGCCACGCGGCTTTTTTTTGGGGGGGGGGCTTTTTTTTCTTCTTCGAGCTTGGATTGTATTACAGACAAGGTGGGGTACTATTTTGCTTTTTTGGTGGCCTCATGTACATTGGTGTCCTCCATAATTTGCCTTGTTCATTTGGTGGGCTAATTCTTTCCGTTGGTTAGCAATTAGTGTATCTGTTGGAATTGTTTTTAAGCCAATAAAATAGATGAGATTTTTAAAAAACTTTTTACATGTAACGGCTGGTGCGAAGTGGGGATGGGGCGAATTGGGGATGGGGCGAAGTGGGGATGGGGCGAAGTGGGAATGGGGCGAAGTGGGAATGGGGCGATGTGGGGATGGGGCGAAGTGGGGATGGGGCGAAGTGGTTAGGGGCGAAGTGACATGGGGCGACGTGGAAATGGGGCGAAGTGTCCGACATTCGCTACGCTACATGCATATGCCGAGCTCAAGCGGACTGCACGTCACATGGACTTTACGATTGTGACCTTTCAACATGACCTACATCTTGCAACGGACCAATCACGACTCCTGTAAAATAGATCACGTATGATCGTGATGAGTGTTGTCCAATCAAGTCGGTCGTTTCTTACAACCCACAATGGCGCAGAAAAAGTCTAGTCCCCGAATCAGACTTCACGTGTTGTATGTTAAAGCAACGGCATTTCACAAAATAGTCTGAAGAACAGACTAGCAGCGTGGTATACACGACAGATTGCTCCTCACCGGCATTTGCTTTCCAGATATTTTTACTGGCAAAATCGCACACAAGAATTGACAAATGGGGAATGTCTTAGCCGCCGAAGCATCGCCGACGATGCCCAGTCCTCCGATCCCCGGCATGCCACCGGCTCCTCCTGCCACAGCGGCCGGACTGGTTCCGGGGAGTCCGCCGGCGACAACGAACGGCGCCGCGGGTGGAATACAGAATCCGGGAAGTTTCGAAGATTTATTCAAGAAGGTCAAAGGTGAATTGTCAGTCTATTATTTGGGAAGAGTTGCTTAAAACTTTAAAAGTGTTCAGTTTGTAGTTGAATTATGAGTTAAATACCAGATGATCATGATGATCATTATTCAACTTGTTCCTCCAATTTAGTCATGTTAGTTTTTAAGCACTGCATGATGCTGCGAAGAGGGCCCTCACCGTTGATTGGTTTTGTTAAATAAATCATGGAGATAATTAAGGAGTTCAAAGTGCCTACTGGTGCGAATCGGAGTAATTGCAGAATACCCCGCCACTCGGAAATGCACCCCTAAAATCTCTGGCTACGCGGTTGGAATCACTACTGGCATGACTGGAAAAGAAACAATTCAACTTCCATGCCAGCTACGCCATATACGCGGAGACTGAGTGGGGGCCCATTATTTGAGAACGAAGCAACACAAAATGAATGGGAGTTGCTGAAAAAATTCTAAGTCCAAACCAACTACCCTGTTGGCGGCTACGCGGATACGGAGTGAGAGTGCAGTGGAGCATGACGCATAGTACATACAAAGTAGCGCTGAGAAGGTTTATTGAGGTCAATCGACCGTGACCTCGTAGCCGGCTACGAGGTGGATAGATTGAGTGGCGGGGTATTCTGCAATTGTGCCTGCGAATCATAGACATTACCATGATGACACTGACAGTAACAAAAGTCAAAGAACCTGCCCACAATCGTGACAGTCTGCTCATGCGGTTACAGCTAACTAGCCCGACTGCATCTGGCTGTACAGTAGGGCTACTATCGCAAGCTCTGTAGTGTAGTACAGCCAGACAGCCAATTCTCCCCTAAATGCTAAACTCTGATGTAGCGATTTTGCTACTGATTTTGATCGTGATTATCTTCTCATCCAGGACAAAAATTTCCAAATTTGAGGTTCCTAGTCGTAGAGTAACTCATACCTTTTCGAAAAAAACATTCTTTTATCCAAAATCGTCATCCATCTGGCCAAAAGACGACTTTCAGTCATCATCTCCCACGAATATCGTCCCGAAATGTTTCTCCATGCGATTTCAAAATGGTGGTCGCGTTGTAATGTATGCATTTAATATGTGGGCGCGCTTGATCAAGATTATGAATTTGCACTGTTCAGTTCATGACCTCATGTTTGTAAGGCCAGCTGCCCCGCGCGCCTGACAAACGTCATGAACTGAGTGCATATTCATAATCTTGCCCAAGTGCGCCCGCATAATGCATACATTACAACGCGACCGCCATTTTGAAATAGCATGGAGGAACATTTTCGGGACGATATTCGTGGGAGATGATGACTGAAAGTCGTCTTTTGGCCAGATGGATGAAGATTTTTAGATAAAAGAACATTTTTTGGAAATGGTATGAGTTGCTCTACGACTAGGAACCTTAACTTTGAAAATGTCTGTCCTGGATGAGAAGATAATCTTGATGAAAATCGGTAGCAAAATCGCTACATCAGAGTTTAGCGTTTATGGGAGCATTGGCTGTCTGGCCGTACTACAGAGCTTGCGATAGCACACCCCCCCTCCCCACTCCTACCTTGGCCCCTTCCTTGGTCCCTCCCTTGGCCCCTCCCCTGGCCCCTCCCCCACTAAGTACATGTAATTACCTACACCAACAACCATTTGCAAAGAATATTGCACATACGTTTGATAGCCGCATAACTTGAAAGAATGACACAATCAAGTTTATACATTTTCCTTGAAACTGAAAGGACAGTTCTTTTTACCCTGAATATCACTGTCAGATAGGCCTTTACATATGTGTATGTTGCTTGTGAGGTTGCCATGGTTGTGTGGTAAAATGTGACCAAAACCCATGATGGATTTTATGTTTGAATTAGGGGAAGGGTGGGTGACGATATCTTAGTCACTGTTTGTCTTCAGCAGTGACATTTATGAATTGACAATTGTTAAACCTAATTTCTATCGCTTGTTTTATTCAAATTCTTTTCGTATCCAGAGATTATGCCCCAGCCCATTGAGGGCTGCAAGCTGGTCGTAAACAAGGGACTAAGCAACCACTTCCAGGTCAGCCACACGTTGTCGCTCGGTGCGTTCAGTCCCTCCTCGTATCACTTCGGAACGACGTACGTCGGCACAAAGCAAATCAGCCCCACAGAGGTAATAATAGAGGTTTGATCAAGTATGACCCCCTCCCCCCACAAAAAATCTAAATCCAAATCAAAGTAGATTTTGTAAAGATAGGCTTGGTACACACATTGCATAATGGAATCAGCATATGTTCATCATGTAGGAACAAAGTCAACAGTTTAACTAACTCCCTAGGCCTTTTTGCTAGGATGTGTATGTAGCTTCAATCCTGCAAAAATCCTCCAATTGGCTTCATCGAATAATAGCATATATACCAGTACATGTAACCTCAATCCTGCAAATTCCTCCATTATTTCTTGAATATGGTCCGTAGAGGGGTGACCGCTGGTGACTGTCAATATGTTTGAGGCTTGGCCAGTGACATCCTGGAGCAGAACGGAGGATTTCAAGCATAATCCAGGCCTATATTTATGCATGGCTGAGCAAAAATAACACAAGGTCCGGCCCAAGATGTTAACAAAGTGCATCCTACGAAATCAGTAACACACTTTTGCCATGTAACCTCAATCCTCCGAATTCCTCCACTTTGGCAAAGAGGATTTTGAAGGATTCAGGGCGGTTAGGGTCAATTAATCCAGCAGTATCTACATAGCATAAAGCTGTCAAAACAAGTGATATCATGAAAATCAGAACATGTTCTCATACTGCATAGGCCCCCCCCCCTACATGTATGGAAACTAAAGTGAAAACATTCTTCAAGATTCTTTTCGTAGGGTCTTGTCACAAATCTAAGTCCTCACAAGTCAATTTCAAATCACCTTTTTTGATGTCAAGTCAGAACATTTTCCAGTGAGTTTTGACAAAGGCAATCACTTGGCTCATTCCGTGTTTACTTGAAGCCGACTTGTGATTGACTTGTGATGGACATGGGATTGACTTTTGACGGACATGTGATTGACTTGTGATGGACATGTGACAGTGATTGACTTGTGATGGACATGTGATTGACTTGTGATGGACATGTGATTGACTTGTGACCAACATGTGATTGACCTGTGATTGACTTGTGATGGACTTGTGACGGACATGTGATTGACTTGTGATGGACATGAGATTGACTTGTGATGGACATGTGATTGACATTTGATCGACTTGTGACCAACATGTGATGGACATGTGATTGACTTGTGAGTGACTTGTGACCAACATGTGATGGACATGTGATTGACTTGTGAGTGACTTGTGACCAACACGTGATGGACATGTGATTGACTTCTCCTCTGACTTGCGCTGGACTTGACTGCAACTCTTGGTAATACTTGTATAAGATAATTCCTTATAAATCAGTGTTTTGCCTTTGAACTTGATGCAAGGCCTAGGACGGGAACATTGCTTGATCCCACAGGGAAAATGCAGTGTTCCCAAACAGCATTAAAAAAGGACATGTGTTTTGAATTTTGACACACTGTCTAGTACTGGAATGCTATTTTGAGGTTGACTGACATTTGAATGTCATATTTTGCAGGCTTTCCCTGTCATGCTAGGAGACATCGACACCAGTGGCAGCCTCAACGCGCAAATCATCCACCAGCTAGCCAATCGGTTACGAGGGAAACTGGTTGTACAGGTAAACAATTGGCTGTGGATTGCACTTGATGGTGACTTTCTGTCACTTTCTGAGAACATTTTACATTTTTGTTTACACTGCTGATCTACTTTGCATTTAAAAATGTGACCTCTGACCAGGTTTTAACGTTATAAACTGGAAAAGAATTGGTGCACTTTGATGCATTCAGCTACCAACACCAGTGCACTAATGGCCAGCTCTGAAACAATGAGAGCTAAGTCCCATTGAACAATGCCGCAGTTGTATCCTGCTGCTTGCAGTGACCATGGACTCTGAGGCAGTGTGGCCTTGAGACTTTTCCCCTGATGGATCTTGCTGCATGTGGCAAGCTTGTCACTTAGTCAAGTGTTGCATGTTGCTACGTTTGGCAGGGTTCTAGCAAACATACCCTGGAGGGTTAGGGTTAAAGGGGCACTGGGTCCTGAAATCCCCGAAAAATGTTGTTTTGGATTGCTTACTTAGCCTTTTTCCAACATCTGGTTGAAAGGAAACCAACCTAATGTCTTACCGTTCCTGAGAAAAAAAGGAAAAATCCCCAGTTGCTTGCATCAGACACGACAGAGTACGAATACGTTTTTTGTGTTGTTCTCAGTGTACAATATACACGTTGTGTGTCTCGTGAACAGGGGTGACCAATCACCAACGCGAAAATTTTGGTTTCTTCAACGTCCGCAAAAGGCAAACACTTTACAAATGAAATCAAAACTACATGTAGCATCCAAACAGCTCGAATTTATGGGGTCGCAAAAAGTGGATCCCGAAATTCGTTCTCACACGCATAATACAGGAATAACACAAAAATGCCCAGTTGTGTGGATGTTTATATCCTACTTTTAAATGTTCTTTCCGATTAACATCATCTCGTTCAAAGTGCATTTCATAGCCCAATTGGGCTGTTCCAGGACCCAGTGTCCCTTTAATGCTTTGATCCGATTGGACTGTGAATTTAATCATATTAACTCTTGCAATTGTACTTGACAGACACAGCAAACCAAGTGGGCCGTCTACCAGGGAGAGCTTGAATACAAAGGGCCTACGTACACCGGTACCCTGACAGCAGCTAACATCAACCCACTGGATAACTCGGGCATCATTGTGGGTCACTATCTACAGAGTCTGACCGAGAGACTGGCGCTGGGCGCTGAGGTCTTGTTTCATTATGGGCAGGGGCAACGGGCGGCCGTTCTTTCACTAGCGGGCAAATATTCAAGTAGGTCAAATAACCTGTTGCAATACATATGTGGAGTGTCATGGCCTAGCAGTTAAGAGCCCCGGACTCATGCTCTGGTGTTTCACAGAGGCAACAGTGGCGTGGGGTCGAGCGCGGGTTTGGATACTTGTGCCCTTAAGCAAGACACTTAACTATTATTGCTTTGTCCTTCCGATGGGACGTAAAGCCATAGGTCCCGTGTGTTGTGTAATGCAATGCACGTAAAAGAACTCAGTAACACTTACCGCTAAGAGGAGGGATTTGCCCCGGTATTTCTGGCCTCCTATTAAAACTCCCACGCGGAGTTTTAAGGAGAAGAACCAACCAATAACTATACCGTTTTGCAAACTAGTGTTGACTTAGGGTAGCAAATTGTTTTTATTACACATAATATGTACAGCAGTATAAAAATTGTGTACAGCCAGAACTTCAAATTCCCTTGCATCAATACATTGTGAATTTGGGCGATTCACAGTGCAGTGCGCCACCAAGAGTTTTCCATTGAGAGTTCATTTTTCCCAGTGCATTGTGGGAGATGGTCGACAAATTCGCAGCGCGGGACATTTGAAATTGTTCGTTTTTCCGGTTAGTATAGTTTCGTAAGCGTATGATTCGAGTATCTGTTTGCCCTTTTCTTTTCTTTTTATCAATATGGTGTTTTTTGTATGGTGGCAGAACGCTATGCCCCATTCTATAACAAATAAGCTCAAGTGTCTACTGACACTCATTCGAATTGGCCATATTTTGTCGACCGTAAACTTGAAAAATGGACTCTCCATGGCATACTCTTGGTGGCGCACTGCATTGTGAATCGCCCGAATTGAAGAAAATTAAATCTAGTCTCACCTCTAATGTCTAAATCCAGTGTCCCAATCTCTATGCTTCGTATTTGTTGTCATTTTAACAGCGGATAACTGGATAGCCTCAGGTACTGTGGGCATGACAGCGTGCCACGCAGCGTACTACCACAAAGGCAAGGATGTCCAGTACGGGGTAGAATTCGAGAGCAACTTCCGAGCTCAAGAGAGCGCAGTAGTGTTTGGTTATCAAGTTGATATCAACCAAGCTAACGTCACAGTCAAAGGTAAATACTATACAAATATTGAGTGGCTCAGAGTGAAATGGGAGGAATATTATCGCAAGGTAAAATCTGGACTTCCAGATTTTACCGAGCATTAATATTCCTCCCATTTCACAATTTAAAGCCACTGAATATTTGTTTTATATCACTGACATATAGATCCTTGTCATTTGTTATCCTCAGCATATGTTCATCATGTAGGAACAAAGTCAACAGTTTAACTAACTCCCTAGGCCTTTTTGCTAGGATGTGTATGTAGCTTCAATCCTGCAAAAATCCTCCAATTGGCTTCATCGAATAATAGCATATATACCAGTACATGTAACCTCAAAATACTGTTATTTCAAAACAAAATTGGTGGAAAATGTGTTTCTCTCTTCCAAACCACCCCTTCGCAAAAATGTTTGAACCCAACTCTGTAGCGCTGACTCTTTGGAACATTACGCTGAATGTGCACACCAACATGCATTTGCACACAATTACAGCGCCATGGAACAAGCATCGATCCCAACTGTTCATAGTATTTCTCATTCCCCATATGGGCAAATGGGACTTTTGAGCCTTGGCGTGAATGGGAGTAATAACGAATGTTACATGATGTGAGTTTCACTAATCCGAATATTCGATCATCAACTGATTATTGGAAAAGCTTTTTCCAGTTGGAAAATTCGTAAACAAAACATTTACGCACATACTCACACAACTATTGGAGAACAGGCGTTTCAACTATTCATACATATTCAAATAGGGACGTTGCCTTCTGACTGGGCATCCAAGTTTTGTGCTCATGAATTATTCATTTCTGTCGGGCATGATGTCTTGACAGACAAGTTTCTGTACATGTACGTGTACATGTATGTAATTGGACAACCGTTTGACATACTTATGAATTTATAAATTATTAATTTATAGTGACTGTAGATTGGACATCAAGAGTCAGTGCTCATGAATTATTCATGTTTCTTGCAGGCATGCTGGACTCCAATTGGACAGTCGCTGCCGTCATGGAGAAGAGACTACAGCCCCTGCCATTCACGTTCCTCCTCAGTGCCGTCCTCAACCACTGGAAGAGCCAATACCGCTTTGGCTTCGGCCTCATGATAGGTTGAGGTCAAAGGTCGTTGCTAGGTAGCCATCTTTTTTTTGTATAGACACAAAGTTTAATACAGAAATGGAAATGGGAAAAACCAATAGCTGGCTGGCAGACATATTGTACAGGATGTTCCCAAAAGGTTGTAAAAAGATAAATGTTTTATCATGGTGTGTCTTTAGATAACTTTGTCAATGACTTGAGTGTTATATCCAGTGTTGTAGTACTTGTACTCGAGTACTCGTACTCAAAATGACGGTACTCGTACTCGGGCAGCAAAGTACTCGTACTCGACATGTCAAAATTGTACTCGATCATCAAGGTACTCGTACATGTACTCGAATAGCAGTACTCGAGGAAAAAATGGTATATGTGACCCGCTCTGCAAAAATTAGTCTGATGTCGCATAGCTTGAATTCCAGCTTTTACCACTTTTAAATGGAAACAGTGAAAATTTGCTTAAAATTTGGATTTTTTGTTTTTGTTTTATTTTGGTTGTTTGATAGTTTTAGTTCAGATATCTTACACAGAAATTTAAATATTGTAAGAAAAAGACTAACAAATTTATGATTTTTGGTGCTTTTCTTGGTTAGTTACAGTGTATTTGTAATTTTTAAACCCTTTTTTCTTCATTGAGACATTTCTTGCTTTGCAAAAACTTGACAGAATTTAAAAAGGCACAACAGCGCAACCAAACGTCCTAGAGAGGCCCATGATATACCAAATGAAAGCTTATTTCATTCCCAGTTTATTAATGTAGTTAACTCAAAATTTCAGTTTTGCCACAACAGACTCATTTTTGTGGAGCGGGTCACATATAGCTTCACTTACCATGGCCTTATTTTATCGATACTTTCACTTTGAATTGATTGATTGGCTTGTGGGGAAATCAAAAATTCCTGATTTTCCTCTGTGCACCTCCGGACAAACACATTGAACAGCTGAACGTGAGTGGGTCTGTATATCAGTCTGACTGGGCCTGGGCCAATTATGCACAATGAACCATTTACCATATGGCCGTATTCGGAAATGCGAGTACTCATACTCGTACTCAGACTCGGAAGTACAGGTACTCGTACTCGGAGACCTGTTCTTGTACTCGGAGGTACAAGTACTCATACTCGTACTCGGCAACCCAAGTACTCGGCAGTACTCGGTACTCAGAAAATAGTACTCGACTACAACACTGGTTATATTTTATGAAAATTATTTCATTTGATTTAGCTTACTGGCTGTAAAACAAAGCATTGATTCGACTCTGGTGCTTGTTGGGCTTTTCAAAGTGTGGCAGCTGATGTTAGCTACCTGGCATGCAACCAAGAATTTAGAAGAAAACCGAATTTAGAAAAAAACCCACACAACACTTAGTGCAATGTTTGTCAATTTGTAATGGCATTCATGAGAAGTAAGAAACGTGGAAATCAGCAGATCAGAGAAAACTGTCATGCCTGTAACTACATAGAGCTGTATTATGGGATACTGTGTACTGTTTTCTACCTCAAAATGCCGCACAATGCAGTGTAGGGTACAAAGTACTTTCTTGTTTACATCCACTCTTGTTCTACTTGTAATCGTAAAGTGGTTTTAAAATTGTATTGTAGTTCATGGATTGTCAAAAAAGACAAAAGTAGGTGTGAGTTCACTAATTAGCAGAAAAGAAGAAGATATTTCCAAAAAGATTACCAGAGATGAAAAGTGCTTTGCTTTATAAATGGTAAACCTAAATCAAACCAGATTTCCACACTAGACAACATAGAAATGGCCAGTTTCATGAGAAGTAATAAGCAATGCAAATAACTTGGCAGTTTCCCGACTATTGGAGGCGCTGTTCAAAGCAAACAATATTGGACACCATCAGACAATAGGTGGCACTCTTCGTTGCAACAAGTTGTTGCAAGTGTTGATAATTTTGGTGTGGCTAAGCAATTTTGTAGTTTCCTATTTCTGTTTCTGTGTTTTTGTTTATTTTTTCCAATTTGGTATGCAAATATTTGGGATTTCATTTAATTGTCATGGTTACTTTTTACAGCATATTTTATACACTTTATTCATTGTTTGGGATACAATCATGTGCAGAAACAACACCTTACATTTTACGTTTGGATATTTTTTTTGTAATTCACCAATGATTCTTTAAGTGTATGCGCTTGCTTTAAAAAAGTTCTTGAACACTACCGTTTTATTTATTGAGCAATTTGAGCAAGTAATGTTAATATGCAGATTAATTACTCCACAGCATTTTTTTTTTCTGTCAGTCAAAGCAACTTGGACCCAACTTCGAAATGGCCCATTTCAGAATGGAGGGGGGAACATTCTGAGTTGGGAGATGCTCCTTTTACCTTATACATTTGTACACTTTGTATTTTTTTTTATCAGTCATAGCAACCTGGGCCCAACTTGTAAAATGACCCATTCCAGAATTAATGGAGGGGAACTTTCCGAGTTGGGAGATGCTCCTTTTCCCCCATACACTTTGCGATTTTATGTAGGCCATAGTAGCACTTTTAGGAACATCCTGTATTTTATGTACCAGCAATAAGTACTTTTACTTGGCTACAGACATAGCCCGGAAAATCCATCACCTAAGTTGGTGGGAAATTTGGGGAACATTTGAATTTCAAATAATTGTAAATTGATTTGTGTATAAATAATAAATAAATCAGTTTGCTAACCACATTAAAATGTCTCCCATTGCAGTTCTTATAAATATTATGACATTAACATTTAAAATGTCCTCCGTAATTTAAAATTAGGAACACACAATGAATTATGACCAATCAATGAAAAAAAGTGTCGAAATTTAAACATCATCATTATTACGATACTCTTTCATTCGTAGTAGTCCGAGTATCACCCGTTGGCGTAACTTTTATTCCTAGGAGGGTTAGGGGCAATGTCATGAATAATTCATGCTTATCCATGAGAACGGACAATGACTTCAACAGCATTGTTGTTAGTTACTCAACTAGTTACAATACATTAAAGCATTTTAAAGAACGGTTGTCGTCGAGCTACCACACAGTAGCCTAGTGGATAGCGAGATGAGCTATGGATACAAAGATCCCTGGTTCGAATCCACGTCGTCGCTGCTCATTTTCATCAGCTATTTTTCTTCTCCAAATTTATCAGTGAGATAATTTTAAATTAAGGGGAAAATAGAACGAGAACCTAAGTCTTGCAATGATTCAAAGGAAAAACTGAATTATTCATGACATTTCCTAGGAAAAAAAATTACGCCACCCGTTGTCTAACTCCGTAACTGTCTGATGTATGTGAGCAATACGAATTGTATGCGACCCCGGCCGCGCGCCAGCCAATGGGAGTCGCCTTTAGAAATTGTGACACCATTTCGATCAGAAATGTGGACGAGGCTGTTGATTAGTTTATTTGGCTGCCATGCTTTTGTAATACGACGGGTTGCTGAAGACCCAATAGAAGGGGGTCTACCCGATGTTCCCCAATACCAATGTTCCTCAATACCTATGTTCCCCAAAATCCTTAGGGTTAGGGTTAGGGTTGGGGAACATAGGTATTGGGGAACATGGGTTTTGGGGAACAAAGGTGTTGGGGAACATAGTTATACACCCATAGAAGGTACCCGCTTAATGGTCAACATCTCGAGGTCAAGGCGCAGTCTTGCTTTGCATAATTAATCACAAATCTGCTTGCATATCATAGACCATTGCTGTGCAAGGGGATACTCCATAGACTTTATTCTGCACAAGGGCGGATCCAAGGGGGTTGGTTGGAGATTTTACCACTCCACCCTCAAAACAAAACATCTTCCCCAAGTTTCTGACGTCAGCTGCCAATCTTAATTCACTGCTTCAATCAGGCCTTTGGTCTTTTTCTGTGCATGGGATTTTTCAGACTTTTGTCTGAAATCAGGCTTTTGCACTTAGAGAGAAAAATCAAAACATCAGCATTGAAAGAAATGCGCCATTCAGACCTTTCATCCAATTTTCAGACTTTTTTTGTTGAAATTGACAATCTCATCCCTGGATTCCTTAACCGGCTGTATTGCCCAAACATTTCCAGATGCAAAGAATTTTGAGGTAGGCCTAAACCTTCCCTTTGTATCAAGTTATAACCAAATCGTAAAAAAATAGAAGACAACTAAAAAACTATCGTGATGCCGCGCGGCACACGCTAGCTGGGTGGAGTCGTAACGTTTATACCAATGTTTACTTCGACCTCAATTTGCATGTTGATCGAAAATGGGCGTGGTAAAACCCAGGTGAAGCAATGTTGGTACATTTTTTTTCATCATCAATCGTATGTTTTGCGTAAAGCAAAATTGGAGTGTTTTCATTAGAGGGAATTTTGCCCAAAAAATCACAAAATTAAACAAATCACTTGTTTTTACGTGTCAACCGTGACTTCAGAGGACAGTGAAATCGGAGCAGATATATACCATTTCGCCCATGTGAGTTGAACTTTCGAGTTCCAAATCTTCAACAGTTTCTCGTCCTTGGGAAACTTGTGGAGACTAATTTCTTCACTTTTGATATTGCTGCAACCAGCAACCAGCAACCAGCAACGATACATCGAGAATAAATTGTAGGCATATTAAGCCAGAAAAATATTTTGCACAGCGAAAAATTCCAAGGGGCAACGTGTACGCAAAAACTAATGCAAAGGTCATGAATTGGTCAAAGGCAGTGCACATCGCGTTTTGGCGTCATCGTGACGTCATCGCCAGAACGCAATGTGCACTGCCTTTGACCACTTGATCATGACCTTTGCATTAGTTTTTGCGTACACGTTGCCTCTTGGATTTTGGGATAAAAAAGTGGGGGCCAAATTTTTGGTCGGAAATCTTGGGGTTTTTTTTCGAATTACGACTACTTTATTAAAAAAAAAACAACCTGACACGTAATTGATATTAATACCTTCTTTGATTTATTTAACACCAAGACAGTTTTTATTTCAGATACCTTTTGAGGACCTGCATGTTTAGGATGACCGCATTTTGTTCTTCCGTATGCTAACAGACCTTTTACACACATACAGCACGACAGACAGACAGACAGACAGACAGACAGACAGACAGGCAGACAGCGTGTGGGGTCTTTTAATATAGGATACTGGAAGCAAATAACCATACTGGCATCGCAGAGTCATGCCAAATCATATCATTCCGTGGATTTGAATTGAGTGAATAAAAAGTTAGACATTTGAAACAAAGATACTTATGAAAAAAAGGTTAATTGTTCTAGTAATATTTTGTAATGACTCCACGAGTCCAGTAAGTGGAAGCTTTGTAAAACTTTGATCGGGTCATTCTGGGACGCTCCTAGTATTTGGTACGGCGCGATAATAAAGGTTGTAACGATAAAATGAATACAGACGGACACGTTGATCGAAAGCTTCCATAATGCAGGTAACCCTGGACTGCAGTTAGGCCTATAGGCGCCTATGCATGATGAGAACAGCTTGTTCAAAATAGGAAGAATGAAATTTCTGTAATCTGCAGGATAGGATGCTGCAGGTATATTTTAAATCAATTAAAAATGAGGGAGGTATTGACTAAAGTGGTTAGCATTGACATTATGGATATCCATAAAATGTCTTTGAATATAAAAACAACTTTTATGTTCTCCAGTGACTATTATAATTTGCTTTAAAATGCCAATAAGTGGTTTATATAACACCAACGTTCCATCCTGTCAATCCCTTAATTGAAACTGAAGCCTTATAATATCCCATACGCACTTTGAAAACAAAATAATAATTCTTGGCAATTATAGTGCAGTTGTGTTCCATCACGAATGGGTCAACTTTATCATTTCTGGTGTGTCTTGTAGCGCTAGTTATAATCCAACCCAGGATGAATACAATTTGTACGATTCGAATAAAGGCAAGCTGCATTGACAACCAAGAAATGACAGCTACAAAGGTCTTTCTGCCTTCAATCCTTCTTGATAATCGTGTTAATTCCTAGCATTTTTATTTTATTGACGCATGCGTATATTATTGTTGAGGTCCAATTTGAAGAAGAAGGAAGTATATTTAAATATTAGAGAAAGTTTTTGACAATAAACAGATCTTTAAAATATTGAAAGCCAAGTCTGACATATTGTTTTAAATATCTATTGACACCTGGTGTTCTAATGGTTGATGGTATTTATATGAAAACATTTGATTTTTTTTTTCAAGATATCTTTCCATAAATTGAAACTGAAGCTTGTTGACAGCCCAAATGAGAATTGAAATATTCGCGTAAATGTAATGCATTTGTGTTCTGCATCACATAGTTTTATCATTTTTGGTGTTTCTCATAGCCTCTTTAAAATCGTCCCAGAAGGAGTACAACTTTTACAATGCACAAAGATAACCTGGATGCAAGTTTATAGACGACCCAAAAAGCGACGATTACAAATGCTTATCTCTTTCAACCCTTCTTGGTATAATGCATTGCATACGCGCACGTCAGAACAGAAATGTGATTAAAGTGTATAATGTATTGTTCTTAATTAGCGTATGAGTTTTTCTAACCAGCTATTCTATAGGTTTTCCAGGCTATTTTAAAAGATTTTTCACTCAAATTCACCAACTCTATCATTCAATTTTGTCCACGAAAAATTGAACACGCTTTTAACCAAACTAATTTGGTCCTTTACCATTCACTTTCAAAAGTTTGGTCACCCTCTTTGTAGTCAGTGGGTCGAGAATATTCGTCATTACGGATCAATTCCGTCTAAGCTGTTGCCGAATGGTAGCATTCAGAGATCAAATTCGTCTCATATAAATCAAATAGACAAATTTGATTTCTGAATAACACGATTCGGCGTAGACGAGACGAGGTCAATACTCCGGGTCGATAACGTGCATGTGCTCATTGTTTCAATTTGCTTGGACTGAATTTGAAATTGTTTGACAAAAGACGAAACAAAACATTGGAAGTGCACTAAATTGATGTTGCTGGATGAATTTGAATGTAAGAATCGGTGAACTCGAACGATTTTTTTTTTCTTTTTTAATAACCGGGAAAACCTATATTAATTTAATTGCATCTCAATTTAACTCATATCTAATTAGTATTTGACAGAGTTTAACATGGATCAGTCATCAAAGTACATGACTGATAACTCCTTGACGATCTAAATAGAAGCTTCCACCTGTGTGCGGTAGTTATGTTGTGGATTGTACTCAATCTTTCGGCCCTCGCGAGGCTGGAGGGGACGAACGTTGTCCCCGATATGAATGTTGTCTCTGGTACCTTTCTTTTTGTTGTACAAGCCACGGAACACTTCCATCTGTGTAAGAGTTGACAAATGGTGGAAACATTTTTAACATTGCTAGCCAGTTTTCACATATTTTTTTGACTATTTGAGGGAGGAAGATAGTTTGTGGGGAGTGCTTAGATTTGTAGCAAAATTCCCGTGCTTAATGGTGACCTTGGTAGGTGAACGAGCAAATGCTCCCAAAGTCCCCATAGGCCTATATGCTAGGCGATATTTTACAAAGGGCTCATTTAGGGCAAGAAGAGCCATTTTTGTTCAGTAGAAGTCGGTAACTAGCTATTTGACATAATTTTCGGGGGCTGAATCCGAAAATGACGGTGACCAAGCTGGATTTTTTTAGTGGAAATTATGCCTAATTTGCAGAAATATTTCATACCTGTGGTATATTTGTTCAAATATTTGGATATATGTTTTATATATATATATATATTTTTAATTTATTTTGGTGATTACAAAAATACACCCAAACATGGGAACAAATATATTACACGACAGGTATTAACGATTTATGCAAATTAGGCATATTTCCACTAAATATCCAGCTTGGTAAGCATCATTTTCGGATTCAGCACCCCGAAATTACGTAATTTAAAAACAGCTTTGTTTACTACCAACTTCTACTCGAAAATGCCTCTTCATGTAACATTTGTTGTTTGAAATATCGCCTAGACTATTATTGAGAGGGTATTTTGTGCATGCACAGAACCAGCTACCTGTGCTCTGCCCATCTCCAGTGGAGTTCTCCAGACTGTCCAGGTGACGTCAGTATTACATTGAGGCCATGTTTGGGAACCTTGGTAACGGTAGAAATTGCCCAGATCAGGCGAAAGCATATCGGCCAGGTTATCATGTGGACTTACGCTTGCTTCATCATCTGTAAACGGAAAAATCTCTTTATTTCTTGAAACAAGCACTAATCTTTATGAATTTTGGTTAACAAAATCTTGCTAAGGCCTCATATACAGTCGAACCTCGTTAATAAGAGCACTGTTAATACAAGGTTCCTGTTATAACAAGGAAAATTGTTGGTCCCAACTCCTATGTTTTCTTTGTTTTCGACTCCTGATAATACAAGGTTCGTGTTATAACGAGGGAATTTGTAAAGTCCCAAGGACCTCTTATTAAGAGTCGTCTTTATATTGTAATACTCAAGCATTCAGGTTATCATGTCTTGTAAAACTGTCTAAACCTATTTCTCAAAGTGGTTAAACCTACCTGCGTATTTCACCTTGTTCACAGCGTACATCAACTCATATAAAAGGGGATTGTCCTGCTCAACAACCTGTGTTTCAAAATTTAAAAAGATGTCAAATCTTTATGTTTTTAATTTTCATATCTTAATCTTGATATTTGATATTGAAATAATCTGATGGATTCAGCTATGTTTCTCTTTTGTTCGAGGTGCTATAGGTTTTCCCGGCCAATTTCCTAAAATGTTCATCACTTCTGAAAATTGATCATTCATTTTCGTCTGAATTTTAATGAACGTCTTTAGTCCCATTTCAATTCAACGAAAGTTCAACTGTTTTGACCGGGAAAACCTAGGCCTATAATTATGATAAATTTAAACGTTGATTATAATGAAATGGAAAGTAAGAAATTGCATACCTTGACCATGGCTACAAATCCCGATACTTTGTTCGTCCCGGGCTGCTGATGGCACATCAGTTTTATCTAGGATTATTATGAATGTCTTATTTCAATTGTACTCTTAGCCGTCATAGTGGGGCAGATAGGTGAAATATTTGGGGGAATTGTGCCTTTACTGACACAAGCATGGCATTTGGCAGTACAGTCAAAGTATGTCATGAGAAAGATGTTTGGCTAGGCCTATAGGGCCATCGCAGATGTGTCCTTTGAAAAAAAAATATACGAAGAATAACAAGCAATTTTCAAAATTGTCTAAATGGCTACCATTGCTTATTTTTCTACCCATATTTTTTTTTTAAAGGACAAATCTGCGATGGCCATATATACAGCCATATATCTTTCTCATGACACATACTCCGACTGTGTGCCAAATGATATGCTTGCATCATCAAAGGCACAATCACATCACCTAGGCTGCCGTACTGTCAGCGGCAGAATTACAAAAAAAAATCAATTTACAAAGAAAAACATTGATATTAAATCATACATTGAAAAGGGAAACGTTCTTTTGTTTAAACTTGACAACAATGATGTAAAACAAATCAACTTCCCAATGACTGCATACGTCCATTTATCAATACCAAAAAAAGGAATTACGGAGGAGAATAATCATCTTTCCGAGGGGGATATTTTTAGAGTGGAATTACGGATGAGACTAACCATCTTGGCTTGGAGGATATTAAAAAAAAAAGGAATAGTGGAGGAGACTAATCATCTTGACGTTGGATATTGTGGATGTTGTACATTAAGTTGGATCCATCCTTTGTTCTGACGATGAAATTGGATTTAGAAATTTGCGACGCCCAAAATGACTATTCTCACATTGTCTTTGCTAACAAATCTACATACCTCACCATCGTAAAACTTGCCATCCAATTTGTGCTCTGATCCTCTGCCATTTACTCTTCCCCACTGGAAGAATATAACGTAGGGACTATGCTTTCCTTGTAGTCCACCTCCACTGATGTAACACTTGTTGGAAATCAGTATGTACACTGTGTTTTTAAGGTAAGTGATATTAGTTCGTGCAGGTGAATTCGAGCCTGATTGAACCCCCAGTTAAAAAGAAACCTAAAGTGAACTTTGGAAAGTATCTTCTTTGAAACTTATTGCCTCACCAACTGCACCCACCCACCCACCCCTAACCCCCAATCCCCCCCCCCCCTAAACAAAATAGAATAAACAAGATAATCGGCATCAGGCAAACATGAATTAAACAAATGAAATATTGAACAATAATTGATCAACTGGGTAACATAGGTGCTATGCTCTGCAGAGTCAGCTTTTGAAGTACCACTGAAGCTTCTCTGAGCTCAAGAGCAATGTTTTGCATCAGTGTCACGAACCTAAATTTGGTCCATAAACAACTGCAAATGGTGTCTGAAAGCATGGGCGTCGCCAGGATTTTTTTCTAGAGGGGGCAAAACATATTTTCCCCAAAAAAATCCTGTATATCAAACCTATTCTCGATTTATCACTTTTAGAGGGGGGCAGGGACATTTTGCCCCCCAACCCATTAAATTTACACCACTTTTTTTTTTTTTTTTTGGGGGGGGGGCTTTTCCAGGGGCAGCCCCCCCCCCCCCCCCCCCCTCGCGACGCCCATGTATGAAAGTATGAAACGTGAGACAAAGGCTGACCAATAAATTGCGGACTTAGTAAACTTTTACCTTTTCAACACGGCGGGTGTAAAACACGTACGCCGTGGGCTTGAGCTGCTTATGTTGGTGGGTGGGTTGGTTGGTGGACAGATTACCCGGCCATATTCGAGTATTACAGCTTTGCAATGAGACCAGCTTTTGAAAACACTGATGCGCATGTGTCTAATTTACATATTTTTGCATATTAGATCACGCCCCATTGGGGTGCACGAACGCTGCCGTATTAATTTATAAAGCAGTCTTCACAGTTGCCCGGCCGCCGTAGGTTGTACCACTTGGTAATTTTTTTTTGTTATTCATTTCACTTTGAGTAAGGGGAGGGGACACATTGTAAAAACAGTTATCACTCACATTGCTTTCCATTATTAACTACTCTCCAATCTTTGTCGTATGGCTTCCTGTCCTTCTTGAAGAATCCCTCAAACGTCAGGCTACCATGTTGGACTTCTGTGGTGTCATTTTCACTGATGTCGATGGGTGACTGATACTTCGCAGCACACTTTGGATATGTTTTGGACCAATGTTGAGGCCCTTATTGGGAAAGAACAAAATTATCGATGTGCTCGAGTCCCTGCAAATCCATCACAAGTCGATCCTTCAGTCTCAATAAGCCATTTGCGAGTGACTTTTACCCAAATTTGAAAACATCTCTACACTGACTTGCAAAGAATGCTTAGCACATTTTAATTTTGAAATCTCCAGAGTCCAGCCATCACCTGATTCGGGGCAAGCTCTTGCATAGTTAGTTACGCATATAAGAGACCTCAGCACCAATGCATTGTTCACAATGGGTGAGAATGGCTAAAGACACCAGACCATGCCAGAGTTGGGCGTCGCTAGCATAACTACGCTCCGAATCATGTGATATAGTAACAGTCTCTGTGGTCGGGAGAATGCAAAGTTAAAACATGCAAAGTATTGGATTAAGTCAGCAGGCGTTCAAGATTTTATTCAAACTTAACTCGCAATGGCTTATTCAAGATATAGCTATTCAAATGAACTGTCACGAAAGCATTCCTTTGTCATTGTTCATCCAGGTACTTGTGACTGGCTTTATGGAAAGACTTGTGATGGACTCAAATACAACACTGTTGTGCTTATACTAAAGCAAACTGGCTACTCTTGCAAAGCAGAACTTAAACAATTAAGCAAAGAAAATCTGTTCTGAAAACAAAAGAACTGAAAAGAAATGCAGGTGTTGAAAGCAGTGAACGCAAGAAAATGACACGCACTCAAAAAAGAAAAAGAAAAAATACCATTACGCTTGTGCTAACATGTGATGCTCAGCTTATGCTCATGCATGTGTATCAGCCACTGATCTATTATACTGACTGGATAGCGCTTAGACCAGTGCGTGTACACAAGCTAGACCGTGACGCCCTTTTACACAGTACACGCGGCGACCATTTTGAAACTCACTCAAAAGCCCACAACGCACGGATCCGTATATAAATACAGTTACAATAGTTTAGGAAGCAATGTTGGATCATCGAACACGTTTTTATATATTCATTTTCCCCACAGTGTTGTTTTACTCATATTTGTTCGAATATATCATTTTATTTCGTGACTTTGAATATATTTTTACGTGGCCAAAGGGAGTGTCAAAATGGCGTCCATAACGTGACTTCACCCCCACGGCCCGAAGCGCTAGCGTAAAAATGAACAGGGAACCATAACCATGTAACGTCTTACCTTTTGGTCCCTCACCATAACAGTAGCCATTGCCATGCACATCTATTTATCAAAACAAACATTTCTCTTTTTTTTGTTTTGTTATCAACTATTTCCAGATCACTTACAGTTATAATATTTTGTAAATTAGCGTGTCCAGTTTTGTTTGTCTTTATTGTACAGTAACCAACCATCGCCATTTACGAACATAATCAATTCAGGGACTACATAGCCTTTCGCCAATGCCATCGTGGCTTAGAGCGGCGGAGATAATGCCACTGTGGTCCAATTTGCAGCAAAGTGGATGAAAGGAATATGCCAGCAATTAATATCTCTGTTGGCCGACTTACCTCTTGTTTTTTTTGCACTCAATATTGAGTTTGAACATACAACCTTAACTTATGCTTCAACGGTTATGTACTAATCACTGCATCATAGGTTCCAACTAAATATTGATTGGCAATTAGTTGGTCAAAAGAGAGATTGCTGGCATGTTCTCCTTTCATCCACTTTGTTGCATATTGACATATCATCCCTTTCAATTAACTGTCTATATCTGTGGATGACTGGATGTAGGTGTCGAAATGAGATATTACGTACCTCTGCGTACTATTTTGTAGTTATACTTCATTGTTATCTACAGCTGTTGTATTAAGTTTGATCATTTTCATTACAGTTAAATTACAACTTAACATTGTTTACCACCGGCGGCTTGGCCCGTACAAGCTTCGGCTTTCTGCCAACTTTTCCGTTCATCACGTTTGTTTTTGACTTGCGTTTGTTTTTGTAAAGTCTTTAATTAAAATAATGCTCATTAGTGTGGATACATGATGAGTGGACATCAACAAATCAATCAATCAATGGTCATACTTACCAACTAGATGGGTTACCAGTAACAAACCGGTCACTGTCCAAACCAGCATCATCATCCTCACTGATTGGTGCTTTGTATCTTGAGAAAGACAGAGAGGATATAGAAAACAGAATTGATAAGGCTTGAAATGTTGGCATGGTGAAGGATTAGCGACAAGAAGTCTGATAAGGTTTGAAGGCTTTCATAGTGAAAGTAACAATGCGATAAAGATACAAGGCAGCATCACTTTTCACAATTCACACACATCCCCATATGATTTGTTTTCGTTTCGCTGAAAGAACACTTACCTTCTTGTGATCCGTGGACAGAACTTTAAAAAGGTGTTTGTGTTTAAAATTCCGTAACTTTAAAAGTACATGAGTGGTTTGAATGATTCTTGTACTGAAAATAAGAGCTAATGAATTGGGCTTTTATATCCTAGATTTTGAAAGTGCTACATGCAGAACTTCACTAAAACGATAGTCCCGACATTTGGGTTTCGGTTTTTTTTTACTCACCCTGTATACTACCTCTAAATATACAAATTATCACAAATGCTTGACAGTACGAACTGGATATTAAAAAGAACTTACCATTAAAACTAAGTAAAGTATTGTCCTAAGTGAATAGCATTGGCATTAATTGGGGGGCTTTTCGTAAAATTACTATTATAGGATCAACTTTAGCTTTTATTTTCTCTAATGGTTAAAAGCACTGGCTTCTGCATGATCTTTTTAGTGAAATTCCTTTAGTGATTGATTGGATACCTTGCGTTTGGTGAATATGTATGCCATTACTTTGTCCCTTTAATCCTTTAATTGAAACTGAAGCTTTTAACAGCCCAAATTGCCCGCTGAAAAAAGAAGGTCTGGGCAAATTTTATGATGCAGTTGTGTTCCATCACTAATGGCCTTTTGGGTCATATAACTTTATCATTCTAAAAGCGTTTCTCTATCTAGCCTCTCACATCCCAGAATGAACTTTTACAATTTGAGTGAAGACCAGCACTGAGGATGATAGTTTAGAGACAACCACGAAACGTCTTTTCATTCCTTGATAATCTTTATTTAACCCTAAAGGGGCCGGGGCGGAATCCGCCCCCCGACTTTTTCCGCGATAGCTTTAAAAAAAAAAATTCGCGACCCCAGATTTTAATACTTTTTTAGCCTCGAGCCTTGCGCATCTTTTGACACCAAAAACATAAAAATCGGACGAGGGGTTGTCGCTACGCGCCGTGAAAACTGAATTTTCCCATATACGTCGTGTACACAGACCAGAATTGCCATTCATAGATATGAATAATTAATTAGCCATAATTTCAAAACCCTTTGACCTTTGGTCATGAAATTTCTTGGGTATGTTCATGAAGAGTTGTTCTATGCATGTACCGAGTTTCAATTTTTTTCGTCACTCGCTGGCCGAGATCTTGGGGGGGGGGCGGAATCCCCCCCCCCCCCCCCCCGGCTGAGAGATGGTCAAAATAACCCGGCCCCTTTAGGGTTAATTCCTAACATTCTTTTGATGAGTAACTGTTCTATGTTCCGACACCCCTATGTTCCGACACCCCTACAGGGTTACTTCCGGTTAGGGTTAGGATTAGGAATATGTGCACTCGAAATATAGAGGTGTCGGAACATAGGGGTGTAACCCTTTTGAAGCATACATGAAATTCTTAATGAAGTCAAAACGTTTCCAAAATTTTAACCCTCATCAGGCCGGGTTATTTTGACGATCTCTCAGCCGGGGGAGGGGGCGGGGGGGGGGGGGAGATCTCGGCAACTGAGTGACGTTGAGTGAACTCGGTGTATGCATAGAGCAATTCATCATGAACATACCCAAGAAATTTCATGACTATAGGTCAAAGGGTTTGGGAATTATGGCTAATTAAATATTCATTTGTACGAATGGTAATTGTGTTCTGTGTACACGACGTAGGCCTATATATGGGAAAATTCAGTTTTCACGCCGCGTAGCACCGGACAAATTTCACTAAGTATATGCGGCAATTAACACGTGGTCCGATTTTTATGTTCTTGGTATCAAAATATGCGCAAAGCTCGTATTTTTGTAATAAAATCGACGGGTTACCATTTGAAACAAGCGACTACCTGTGAGGGATCATCTTTTATTTGAAATGACTCGAGGAATCCAGTGAATCGAACATTTGTCAAATTCTAGATGGGTCGACCTGAGATGCCCCAAGTGTTGGGTAAAACTTGAACCTGGAATGGGAAAGAGTTCCATATATACCTAGACATCACCTGACACTCTGTGCACAAACCCTATGAGACTGGTCTGAAAAATTCTAATTGTTTTCTCAGTAAATGCTTCAATATTTTGCCTGCTAAATATGACTTTTAAGGACATGTTATCGCCTGATACACGTACCTGGACATCAATGTACACCCTGTGCACAAACCCTGTGAGACTGGTCTGATTTTTTTTTTTTTTTTTTTGCTTCAAATTGGACTTTTTAGGACATGTTATTGCTTTCTGATGGCTGTCAATGTATATATGGAATTCTTCCCCTGGAATGCCCGTCTGATATGAGTATAAGCTATTACATATGAAAAACAGACCCTTGATAGAAAATACAAAACTTCTGAAAGACGACACCCAAGTCACTTACAGAATTTTATTTCTCCAAATATACAAGTCCAACACAATTATTATAAGATAACTATAATTTGATCCAACACAATTACAATGTAGTATACAAACACACTGTAAATGTATGTCAAGCCTCTTAAATGTATAAAAACATAACAAATTATAGTGTTAAAAAATATATGGGAATAACTGATATTAAAGTAAAAACAAATTGCATAAAAAAACAACGTTGCATAAAGGTAACGCCAAGGTTATGCTACTATTTCGGAATGTGGCCCTTCCATATTGCTTTTTCAGAACAGCTGTAGTATTTACAGACCTATCTCTACAGAATTTCAATAACAACTACCAGCAAGATTAGGTTATTCACATTAATACACTTTAATACAATTCCCCCACCCATAAAAACATTAATATCATACATCGCTCACATAAGGCACCATTCAATATATTCAAGATAATTCCAAGTTGGTAGGACTACCTAAAAAATACGCAATGTATTTTACCACATTTACGCTATAATTGTATTTCAATACATTATGGCATAATGATGCGAGGCGTTCCAGCAAAATGAGACGGAAATGGGTAGAGGCCAAAATCGAGGGTTTGCAGTTATTACGAAACAGGAAAAAAAAAACCGAAAAAAAACCCCCAAATCTTCTCAGAACACTGTTTGTTGCACGTCCATCAAACATTCAGTTGACAAGTTACGGCTGTTTAAAGTTTTATCGACATGTTTAAAAGTAAAATATTGAGAAGACGTTTAAAGTTTCACGTTTTGTAGTTACCAATTGGTTTTCCTTATAAACACTTGTATTCCACGATGAATATTATACTATTTCTTTAAAATATGTGTATAAGACATATATCAAAAGAGATACATGTAACTATCAATCAATCTGAAAATGGAAAGAAAATCAACCCCGTTCGTGTTTGTTTAGCATCTTTCTCCACTTTGCCTCTGCCCTGTTCTGTCTCCTTTTGCCAGAACGCCTTACATATTTTAAGTAAAACAGACATGTGTACCACAAAATGTATTAGTACTGGTAATGAAGACAATGTACATGAAAGCTTAAAAACTATGAAAACTATACAATAAAAAAAAATGTACTGTACGTGACACTTTTTAAAAATACCGTCCAAAATTTAGAAAATTAACAATTAATACCCATAATCGCAAACACATTTATAATACTAAAATGTCATTTAAAACAACTGAATGCTTCTTTGGTCAACTTTTTCAAAAACAAAAAACAAAACAAATACTGGTCTGCTGGTATTAAAGACAATGTACATGTACATTAAAGCTTAAAACTATGAAAACTATTTTTATTTTCAAATATACTGCACATTACACTTTTGAAAATACACGTGAATACCGACCAAAAGTCATAACATTAACAAACAAGAACCCATAATCACAAACACATTAATAATTAAATGTAAATTAAAATAATTAAATACTCCTTTGGTCTACTGTTTTTCTAAGTTAGTAAAAATAAAATGGCATACACGTAGCTTGGTCCATCTTCAAAGCACTCTACTCGTGGCTTTACCCAACTTCCCCGCTAAACCTCACAATGCCACACAACTTGAGATTTTAATAATCTTCTTAGGGTGATCGCTGAACAACATACAAAAATAAAACATGTAGAAAAGTTTCTTTTTTTAAACGTCAAAACTCAAAATGTACACAAATCCTTAAAAAAAGTATTAAAAATCGACAGAACGCATTGCCATAGATTTCACTACATTGCCACTTGGCAGACAAAAGTAGGCAGATAGAGGAGACAGTAAACATGGCAGGGTACAACTGACAATGTAATAACCAGCGGATAACATATCACCAACCGATCAATTGACCGATACTGTATCACTAACCGATATTGTTACACATTGATTGATGTCTAGTAGAATATACATCAGTCAATTGTTGTTACATTATCGGTCTTAACCGATAATAAAACAGAAATTGACTGATAGTCTGTGTAGTCAGGCATGCAACTGGGAAGTCATACAAAAAAAAGGAGGAAATTCAACTCTTCCCCAGACTTTGTACAGTGTTTTGTTATTTTTAATGGCACACATGGAAAGTAAAACACAGAGGAAATTAGCTGATCCGAGGAAAAGTTTCATGTTTGTGTAGTAATATCATTTACTACACTATCATTCAATTGTTGTTATCGGTTTAGTGATACAGAATCGGTCAATTGTTTTCACATTATAGGTTAGTTATAACATTTATCAGTTGTAACACAGGGCTATAAAGGAAAATAGGGAAATAAAGACATTGGAAGAAATCCGAATTTGTGGATGATGACACTGAGCATGAGACCTATGTGTGTGAAGGCAAGTCCAAGGTTATGCTACGTTTCTGAAAGTGGCCGTCAATTTCTTTTCAGTACAGCAGCAACTTTTGCATTATAAAAGCAGAATCTGCACAGAAACGATGCTAAACTGTTGTTAATCATTCAAACCAGCTCTCACATTGTGATCTGAGAAAATGGACATTGGCCGAGTTTCATCCTTCACGATCAAACTGATTTACAAGATCCTCATCCACATTTATTTACATCACTAATTATAACATACACATGAGGTTAAACAATTCTAACTTAAAACACTCAGAAACAATAACGTGCAAGTAGTCATGAAAATAATATGAAATTGGTGTTGCATTGTTTAAAGAATACATACATAAAGATAATACACTCAACATTTGCATAATCGGCACACTTAAATTTTAATGTGTTAAATACAAAAATAGAATACTCGTTTGGTCCATTTTCCCTGAAGATATATACACGTTAGAAATATTCAAATAGAACAAGGCACACTGTGTTTAAAACCTCACTATGACTCAAAAACTAATATTTCTTAAAAACAATTAAAAAGACTTTAAAAATAACGAATCACAGCTCATTCGTACAAAATATACAAAATATGTTCAAACAATTGGCAGAATGCACTGTCTTCGGTTTCTTTGGACAGAATGTTGAATAACAAATTCTACACTGTCTACAAAACAGGCAGAAAAACAGGACAGTATTAAGGAAAAAAGGGCAAATAGAAAAAAAGCTATTGGAAAAATCTAATTTATCAATGACACAGAAAATCTCTCACTTGAACCTCAAAGCAAGTTCGGACGAGGACCATGAGTCGACTAGTGGTTGATTTGTTACGTAACTTACGCGTGCGCACTAATAACAACGTGCTTGATCCTCAGAGCAACCTCTCAACCTCTCACTTGAACCTCAGAGCAAGTTCGGACGAGGACCATGAGTCAACTAGTGATTGATTTTGTGACATAACTTACGCCTGCGCACTAATAGCAACGTACTTAAACCTCGGAGCAACCTCTCAACCTCTCACTTGAACCTCAGAGCAAGTTTGGGAAAGGACAATTAGTCAACTAGTGGTTGATATGTGACATAACTTACGCCTGCACACTAATAACAACGTGCTTGATCCTCAGAGCAACCTCTCAACCTCTCACTTGAACCTCAGAGCAAGTTCGGACGAGGACCATGAGTCAACTAGTGGTTGATTTGTGACGTAACTTACGCCTGCGCACTAATAGCAGCGTGCTAACGCCCCTAGTCAAACGATGGTCAGAACATCATCATGAAACTTCTTGGTCCTGGCTCCCTGTTGTGCGTTATGATGTGCGCAGCTATTGGTAACCAGTGATGGAACCGAACCCCGTGGTCTGGTTCCAAATAGTCGACTAGAGAAGTCCAACCATCGTGTGTTCAAGGGAAGTTAGTAGAACTATGGTTAACTGTAGTTCACACCGGAACTGGCTCTCAGTATCAATATTTTAAACAGTGTTAAATTCAAGTCCTTTTTGAATGTCCATGAAACTGACCCCAGAATGTGACTTCCATCTAAAGGCTATCCTCCTCAATGACTTGGTTGTTGTCAGAGGTCAACGTTCTGTCCTCATCATCCGACACCTGCCCCACTGACATGTAGATATAGTCATCCTCCCGGAAACCATCCATCTGCAGGTAACCCTGCAATAAATACAAACAGTAGGAAAAACTATAATTGTAATGAATGACATCATTGAAATAAATGTTACTATACTACGGTGAATGAAACTTCTGTAGTCAGTTCCCCTATGTGGTTTATATGGGTAAACCATTTAATTTAACACTCCTACGCACGCAATCATACATTCTGTGCCAAAAAGTCCTTTCAGAAAAGAAAATGATATACAGTCGAATGTCGCTCTGACAAACTCGTTCGGACCTATGCAAATTGTTTGTTATATCAGAATTTTGTATTAAGAGGAACATCAGTCCCATTCATTGTGCACATAAATGCACAGTCGGGACCAAGGCTTTATGTTTGTTATAACCAGAATTTTGTATTAACAGAGTTTGTACTAACGAGAGTCGACTGTATATGGGTAAACCATTTCTTTAACCCTCCTACACAATCATACATTCTGTGCCAAACAGTCCTTTCAAATGCCAAACAGTCCTTTCAAAAAAAAAAAAATGACGAAATGGAGATTAATTATTTGAAGTTTGAACATGCGTAAAATCACAACTTTTTGACGATATACATGTACCTTCTTGCAGAGGAATGTACAATTATATTGATTTGAGCTACCAAGACACCTTTGAAATCAGTAATTTGGACTTTCTAAACTGCCAAATATACACTGTAAGTATCATACTAAAACATGAGGACCAATGGCATCGATTGAACTTGTTCAAAGTACAAGGCAGTACAACAATTCAATGCAGTACTCTAGGCCGTACCTGCGCGTCGCTGAGCATAGCCTCGATACGGAAACGCAACCCCTGGAATGTGGGTCTCTTCTCTGGATCCTCCATCCAACAACTCACCATCATGTCATAGCTGCAAGAAGAAAAGGAAAAAAAAATAAAGATTGACAACGTGTCAGAACAAATATTACTACACCTCATTATTATTCATGAGATAGAGCTGAATTCTATCTAGTCAATACATTCACTAGTCTGAGTCCACGCAGCCCATCTCCGGAGGAACGTCTGATATAACTAAACGTGCGTGACGTCATTTCATTCTGAAATCAGGACTATAAGATTGTGCTTGGTCAATTTCGATGCACCATTTTTGTAATACAACAACCTGTACAAAAATGCTATTCATCATGGGTGTGAAATTAACGCACACGGGGAGCTCGAGTTACGCGCATATAGAAGGCGCCTGCTGATTGGTCAGTTTCTCGAGGTCATACGCAGTTTAGTTGCATAACTAATCGACGAATCTCTATACATATCATACACCAAGGTCAGCTCTGCAAGGGCTAGGGTCTATTACATAGACTATATACGGGGTGTAAAGACCATGCACAATTATCACCCTAGCTACAAAATAAATAGTGGAACATAATGTCTGTTTTGCCGAGATAACTGATGCGTAAAACTCAACAAAAGTTGGGTAAATATGTATTTAATAAAACCAATACTTGGCTTAGTTCAGGTGGATAGTGAATAGTTGGATATTAGATACATTGGTCTCACATTTCTTGGCTGCAGTGCTCTGGTTTCGGAAGCCGGTAACCCTTCTGGACTTGGCTAATGACCTGCTGAGATGACATGCCTGGATAAGGGTGGGAACCTGGGAAGGCCAGACAAACAATCACGCACATTCATTTGTTTTCTCACTGATCAGATTCAAGATCAAACCTTGAGCAAATTTGTTATGAATATTCATTTTTGTTTTTCATTTCATGACACAGTTAAGTACATTAGGTAAATTTTGATTAAATTGATGAAAGTCATGAATATTATGCAGGATAATTAAGGTTGTGGTCAACAAAGAAAACAACCCTGTAAAGTATAAAAATCACATTGTGAATATTCAAATACGTTCTGATTGGATAGGATACACTGTCAACAATGATGAATATTCACACCGCAGAGCATTGTAAAGTATAAAAATCACATCGTGAATATTCAAATACGTTCTGATTGGATAGGATATACTGTCAACAATGATGAATATTCACACCGCAGAGTATGATTCTTAATGTCATCAAATAAACCATCATGAATATGCATATTTAAATAAGGCCAATACATGTATACCAATACATCCTATTTAAAGTCATGAGTTTGTTCACTTTACGTAGTTTGTGACAAATAATTTTGATATGCTTACCAAGTGTGACCAGTTCCCACATCAGTACACCGAACGACCAGACATCACTTTGAGAGGTGTACAGGTTATGGAGTAGACTCTCGGGAGCCAACCAACGTACTGGTACCCTGCCCTGCAAACCAGGGAAATGCACAATGTCATGATGATTTGTTAACACAAAAAACAAGTTGAGATGGTTTTGATTTTTGGTTACAGTCATCCAAATTTCTCCTTGCGTTTTTGAATAAAACAATCAGTGACAAAACCAGGCAAAACAAAGATAATTATTATTATTATTATTATTATTAATCATTTCTGGTAATGAAACCAAGGATTCCTCAAAAGCGCCCTAGGCACTGTAGCTCGCAAGCCTGAAGAAACCTGTGGAGAGAAGACAATGAGAAGAAGTTACAGTTTTAGAGGTGGGAGGAAAAGCCCAGAAGAATATTCTGGGGAAAACCCACGGAATCAGGCAGGGACTGAAAACCCAATCCACATATTGGCCCAGGCGGGATTCGAACCCGGGTCACAGCGGTGGAAGGCGAGCAAAGTACCGCTACGCCAACCTGCAGCGGTTTAATACCAAAAAACGTCCATCCCTTTAAGACCAGGATTCCATGGTTATCCCAAGAACAGTTTCCCTTAATACTTCTAAGAGCTTTCTCTCTGTTTTAACTTGTGTCTCTATTTCTTGTCTGTAGTCTCCATCTTCAATTGAAAGACCATTGACCTTAAAGGGCTCATGACATGAATCTTTAATACTTGGGAACAAATGTAAAACTGTTTGACAAAACAAAAACAAAAAATACAACACCATAATATCTAAAATTCTGACACATTGTGGCACTGAAATAGCTGTAAAATTGAGGTTTCTGCCTGAAATGACATCACACTTTTGTTCATGAATATGGAAATTGGCATGAGCATAAAAACAAAACAAAAAACACACAAACAAAATGCCCTTAATGGCAAAATGAAAATTGAAAATAAGGTTAAATGGGACACAAAGGTGCACTTTCAAGCATTGTATTAAAACAATTATATTGCATGGGCCCTTTTTTTTTTTTTCATCACACAATTCTCTTTCATCTTCTCTCCACAGGTTCATATACGCTTCAGTAGCACTGTAAAGTACAAACCTGGAATCCCTGGTCTCAATATGCAGACAATTTGAAAACAAGTTAAACAAAACAATGCAATACCTTTGATTTCATCTCGTACTGCTGTTCTCCCTCGACCTCGCGGGCCAGACCAAAGTCAGAAACTTTGCAGACATAGTCCTCGGCAAGTAAGATATTACGACAGGCAAGATCTCGATGAATACACTGCGCCGGGAAGAAAATTAAAGCAATACATTTTTATTCAGCAGTGTATCCATTGAGGGACAGGACTTCTCTACTAATTGAAGAGAAAATTATCCTGAAAGGGAATATACAACATTTGCAAACATCAAACAATACAAGTACCAAGTTTTTACGAAATACCTTATTAGGATGTTGGTAAATGACAGTCTAAAGCATCCTGTCAAATTATGGCATCTGGTGTGAAGTCATTTTCAAGAACATGGTATATTTGTATTTCAACTACTGCTCCAAATTTACCACTTTTTTCAGTCCAAATGTTTTTGCTATTGGTTACATATTCATGAACGGGTGCAGGCCAGCTAGACTGGTTCCTTTAACTTACAATTTCCCGGCATCTATTAATTGATCCATTTCATCTTTAGCGGAGTTGGGAACCAGACTACTTGAACATTTTAGTTTTTTTCTTGGTTTTTCCAGCATTTTCGAACACTAAAATTCAAACATGTCAGTGTAACAATAATTGATCTATTATACTAACCCCTCAAATAGTTCACTTCTGAAAATTACAGCAAAAGCCAATGATGTACATTCCCTTTAAAGGTAGAGTAGATCATTTGCAGCGATCCAAAAAGTAACTGATTAAATTAAAATGCTTACTTGGTTTAAAGATAGTAATGACACTGAACACCCTTTAAATTATTCTTTCTGGCATACGTTTATTTTGAAGAAAACAATAATAGAAGGTCACTTCCAGAGCCGAGTCGAGTGACGCATTTTTGGAAATTTCCCTCAGTCATGTTTGGTTTATAATTGGGCAAAGCATTGAGACAACGCACACATGCGCGATTCCTATTTTTTGTCGGTTCAGTGCATGACATCGCGTAGCTGCAGTCAGCTGAACGAGAACGTGTTCCGGATGCTGATTTCACAGTTCAAAATATGTTATGCGATCAAGCTAAATGAGTCGTTTGTCGGGAATTTTTATTTGGAGATACAGGCCAAAATAGGGCCACTTCATCACATCACTTCATCACATCTCTTGGTGTTCTGACTTCCATAATTTTTGAACTGAAGATGGTATCAGCATGCGGTTTTCAAAGCAGTAATGCTGAGACTGTACTCTTTTCAAATCTGTAAAAAAATAAGAATTGACCAGGGTCGACAAACGACTCATGTAGCTTAATTGCATCACATATGACTTGGCAACCTTAGAATTGAAATCCAGATCCTAGAATATTGTTTTCTTAGAATTATACAGCATTCACATTCGGAGAGCTAAAACCTCAACAGGTTAGTTGCTAAGCACTCGTCTTTAGATTTTGAGCACTTGCTTCAAACGAAACAAATGCACAAATGATCTACTTTACCTTTCAATGATTTATAATGGATTAATTTCAAAAAAGATGTAAGACTTTCACCTCTTTTGATGCCAAATATTCCATGCCCCTGCAAATCTCCGAGGCAAATTTCAAGACCTCCTCGGGCTGAATGACGCGCTGGGTGGCATCCAGGTACCCTGGGTGGCTCTTCTCCTTGCCTGTGCGGATCCGTTGGAGGTAGCCCTGAAGATTACCATGGGGCATGAACTCAAGGATGATGTAGAGAGGTTCTAGGAGTACAGCCATAAAGGAATATTTAGTGTGGGCTGGATACATTAACTCAAATTTGGTACTCAAGGTGCTGGTAATTACAATGTATGTCTATTGTGTAAAGACAGGTAAATAAATAAGAAACATGTGAGATCCATTATGTAGCACCTTTCATAAAGGGTAAACAAGGTGCTGCGGTGCATATTGCAGCCACTGCCAGAAACACCGGGGCAAACCCCCTCTCTTAGCGATAAGTGTTACTGGGTTCTCTACCGTGCATTACACAACACACCGGACCTACGGCTTTACGCCCCATCCGAAGGACAAAGCAATAATGGTAAAGTGCCTCAAGAGCACAGGCACCCATGTTGCCCGTCAAGATTCAAACCCACATACCACAGCACACACGTCGAACACCGTAACCAATAGACCACAGTACCCCACAATATGTATCATACTCAAAACAATGAGTACTCACCAACAGCCGTGCAACATCCCAGCATGGTCATGATGTTTGGATGAGGGTCCAGCATCTTAAAGACGGCCAGTTCCTTGAGGAAGTCACTCTTATCGCTCTCTGATGCCGTCTCTGTGGGTAGAAAATAAGCAAAGCAATGTTGGATTCTGAGCCCTGTATAAACGCAAAGGTCTGTCACAAACCAATTGTGGCCCATCAAGCAGGGTTTCTCTCCGGTTTCAGTGTACAGCATGAAAAGAACTGAGAACATTTCTATTCCCCCAGAATGGGATGCTAGTCCATCATGGGATACGGGATGCTACACTCCTTTTTGGGCCCTGTACTTATTTTTATTATCTTCATCTTGTAATTCTGTGTGGATTTCTTCCTGGAGTTTATGCCGGTACCCGTTTCATTACTCCTGGGTGGAGAGAGGCAAGTTGGTGTGAAGTAGCTTGCCCAAGGACACAACATATGACCAGCAGCTGAATTCAAACCCCTGACCCTCTGATCATAAATGTCAATTTAAACCCGCACCACTTTGCCACACTCCCCCTTTTGGGCCCCGTTCTTTGTGGATTTCTTCCTTTGAGTGTGTCAAAGGGCAAGTGACACGCATGCTGGTGAGAATTTTTTTTTTTTTTGTCTTTTACAGGAAAATTTAAAGCCGTTAGTTTGAATGCGGTTTTTACCTACATTTCTTTGAGTCTCCTGTAGTAGTCATGGATGTCCACTTATCAAATTGCTATCCGACACATCAGAATAAACAGTAACATTCCCAAATCCACACTCTGGTTTAGGTGGATTTTGGCACATTTGGTACGAATGCATTTTGATCGCTGGGATGACTTTGGTTGATTTGTGGGCACGTGTGGTTTAGCAGTGGAGCACAGGATTCATGTTCGTGAGGTTGTGGGATTGAGCCCCGCCGTGGCCATGCGTGTTGTGCCCTTGAGTAAGGCGCTTTACCTCAATTACTCCCCTCAACCCAGGTGTAATTAAATGGGTACCGGCATAAATGCTGGGAAGGCAACAGACTCGCTGTGGAGGTGTGGCGATCCCCCCACAGCAGCGTTTCATGGACTCGAGTCTGGCCCAATCGCTTAGAAAGAGAGATGGGCACTCCGTTCCCGTGAACACAGGTTCGCCGGGCCCCTTCACCTTTACCTTTAGTTGATTTTGGCGGATTTGGTACTGAAGCATTTTGCACACAACACGGAGCGATGGTCTATGAGTACTGTTTGATTGAGGAAAGGGTCAATTTGAAAAGAATTTTACCTTTGAGAACTTTGACTGCCACGGTGGACACCACGCCGGGCCGGTGTATCCCCACGGCTTGCGCCCGGAAGACAGTGGCAAACGCCCCACTGCCAACGTCCTCGTAAAAGCGCAACTTCTCGCGGGGATATTCCTTGGTGTCTGGGTCCACTTCTCTCTGCGGGACGACGGCGCCTTTTACGATTGGAACTGGGGAGCCGCGATTAAGGTAGGAATTGGAACGAACTTTCTGTGTCTGGAATAAAAAGGGCGCTTGATTGATATTGACTGAAAGGGCTACTTGGCGCAGAGAGTATGTTAGGATTGGGGCTGTTTATATAGCGATGTAGTCCAACGGTTGACTCGCGTGCCGTGGTACGTGGGTTCAAACCCTGACGGGGAGCATGATGCTTGTGCGCTTGGGCAAGGCACTTCACTATGATTGCCTCTCTCCACCCAGGAGTATAAATGGGTACCTGTGAGGGTACAGACCAAATTGCACTGATCTCGAGCTGCTGCAGAAAATGGTCTCATTCCTGATGAACAGGGGTAATAATTGTATAGCGCTCTGAAACCTTGGGTATAAAGCGCAATATAAGTGCCAAATTATTATTATTTTTATTATTAATATTATTGATATACGTGTAATGGTACCATTAAGGAGACATGTTATCGTAATTTCTTCGCATGATGGGAGACATCGGTCATTAGGGAGACATTTTCATGTCTCCCTAATGTCACAGCCCCCCCTTTAGAGGCAAAATTTTGCTGTTGCAATTAGATTATATTTGTTTCTTGTGGTTTAATTAGTAAACAAACCGAAATTCGTGGGAAAAGGACAAGGGAATATTGGGTTAGGGCACATTGAAGTTTGAACAATTTTGTGCACAAGTCTATGGGAATGTCTCCCATTTTCCGTAATTATTATTATTATTACTATTGTGGGCATTGGCTCAAACTTCCTGTGATGGGATTGAAAAGGAAGCATTAACAATGAAGATCGTGGTTGCAAGAAATGCTTGGACTGACAGATCGACCGACCTACCGACCGTTTTGAGCAATTTCGTTGCTTCAGATGAAAACTATCCAGCCTACCAACTCTCACACATTGAGCGTAACACTCACACATTTCAGATTATTCTCACGCTCTCACGCCCACACAGGATTTCTCACACTAAAAAAAATAAATCTATAAAACTAAAACATTAATGATGATCTTTTACTAAAAAAAAATGGTTAAAGTGGTCAAAAATTGCCTCAGATTGCACCACAGAGTGTCGAGAATCCAACAATTGTCCGGTGGCATTTAGTCATAGGGCTTTGTGCTCGCATTAGTTCTGACCAAGCTCCATCGCCAAATTCTCACTCTCATCAGCTCTTACTTAAAGTTGGCAGCCCTGAACTATGCACAGACAGCAAAGGGGCAATTCCACAGTTACTAACGTTACATTTTTGATGTACTTTTTGAGTTTCCTTGGGCTGTAATTACCATACTGAAAAGGTTCAATAACTGTAATGCCCATGGTAGATAGAGATGACCTAGACCTACCTAAGCACCAAAGATGACATCCAGAAAAATGTGTTATGTAAGATACACAAGACGCATAAAAATCGGTTACTCACGTTACATTTTCGTAACGTGAGTAACCGTGCAAGGATCGTGCATTTAACTAACTGAACTACGAATCAAGTTGCAAACTGATTTATTCAACTGAACAATTCACAAACTAAAACTGACTGACTAACTCTCAAACTAATCTGACAGACTGACTGAGACTGACTGACTGACTCAATGGTTGACTGACCAACAGACCTACTTACAGAGTACAACCAAATAATTGACAGACTCCAAGTTATATCCACAATATTTGAAAGTGCAACTGCACAATCTGGACAGTTTCAAACGAAAGAAAGAACGTCAATAACGCAAAGTCAAAGAATTAACAACACTACCTACCGAGAGCTTACTACCCATGGGGATCTCATCAAACTTTCGAGGACGTCTCTCTTTCGATCGTCGGTAGCGCAAGTAAAAGATCACGATGATAACAATGACGACGAGAACAGCGACTACGACAACAGCGATGATGATGTATAGGATGAAGTCTTGCACTGCTGGACTCGATGTGGTAGAGAACTCAGTTGAAGAGGGTACTGTAAAAGCTGCACAGAAAAGATTAATGTTATTAATTTTATTAATGTTATAATAATATTGTGGTGCTTATAGGGCATTTTATAGAAAACGTCTAATATTATAACACCTCACCCACAGATTCTGTGTCTTGATTGGCCAGGAGCGAGTCACATGTTACTTTCTAATTTTGCTATCTTTCTGTGCACGGCCAAAAGTACTATGCGCATAGCAACCAAAGTACTATACCATTAGCAACCAAAGTACTATTTCCACGGCGTGGTATTTGTGTGCAAATGCATGCTGGTGTGCGTGTTGCGCGTTGTGCGTAGCGCGTATTATTCCAAAGAGAGCGCGCCGCAGACTTGGGTTCAAACATTTCGTGAAGGGGTAGTTTTTAAAGAGAGAAATACATCTTCCACCAATTTTGTATTGAAATTGAAGTTTATTTCAACTGTGTTAAGATTTAAATAATTTAAAATATTAAAATCAAGCAGAATCTGTGGGTGAAGTGTTATAAAAACAAATATTGAATGCTTTATCTCGTGGTGAAGTAAAACTTCACGAGGCGAATGTCCATGGATCACCTCGGGAGGCTAGTTTTACTACACCACTCGAAGCATTCAATATTTGTATACCGTAGCCCTTCAACATTATTACCTCTGTTCATCAGGCCACAAGACATTTTTTTCAGCCGCTTGAGATCAGCGCTATCTGGTCTCTACCTTCACAGGTACCCATTTATCTTCCTGTGCGGAGAGCGGCAAATTTTTGTAATTTCATAAATCAAATCAAACTAATCAAAATCAAGTACCGGTACCTGATCCATCATCGTCAATGATCATTATCTCGGTTCTGTCCGGAGTACCCAGCATGCCTTGACTGACTGAACCAAGGGTGACATAAAACCACTCCACGTCCTCAACCTCAACATCGTCTATGATCTCAATCTCAAGGGTCTGCAGTACGGACTGGGGTGGGAAGATGACGACCCCCTCCATGGGGATGAAATCCAGGGAGGACTCAGCGGTGGCTCCTTGTGTGAGCACAACTGGAATGCAACAACAAACAAGTGTGAGTGCACAGAAAGCTCTGGCCATGTTGCAAGAAGTCTTCCATGAGAGTCTTCCATGAAAATGATCAACGTGATCCCTTCCAGAGCTTAAAACAGGCATGCAACTTGGAATTTAGAGAAAACAAAGACATTCCAAAACAACTAAGACTTTGTACAGTAATTATCGATTTGTAATGGCATTCATGTGAAGTAACAAACGAGGAAATCAGTGGATCCGAGGAAAAGTTGCAAGCCTGTTAAATGTGACGCCAATGGCACATATGGAGCACCATACAGTACTTTTGGTCAATTTTTGGGACAGACAGAAAGACAGACCGACCGACCACCAAATGACATGTAGAAGCTCCTGCCAGAATTTAAAGACTGCAACTGGAGCCAATTTCAAGCACAAGCTTTTAGTTAATGATTACGCTTACTATGGATAAGATTTGCTCAGAAGATGAACAGGTTACCAGACATAAATGTTTTGCATTGTATATTGTACATGTGACTGATTTTCCAAGCATAGCTTTGTCAGAGTACCCCATGGCCACCTGGTTTCCCTATTATTGGCCACCATTTTCAGTAGGCAAGCATCTGGTTTGGCAAACAAGTTTTGCATCATAAACTAGACGGTGGTGGTTATAGTTTCACATAAAACTATCGCAAATTCTTTATCAACAGCATAATCGTGCCATACGGTTGTCATAATCATGCCAACCAAGCAATGGATGTTGGCTCAGCCTTTTTTCCCTCAGTTTTTGTTATCCATCATTGCTTTATAAAGGCTTGTCTTATACCTGCCTTGGTAACGATCTCTACTACAATGGGCATGCTGACTTTCCGGTGCCCAGATGCAGGTTGTGTCATATGGGCCAGTGAGAGAGCCCATATATTCTGTGGACCAAAATTGGTCTGGGAGCTGCTTTACTATGTTAGCCTACATGTACATGTAGTCTTGTACCGTGAATGTCTGTCTTACCTACAGAAATTTGCTGATCCAGTAATCCTTGCCTGGCTACGCTGATGGTGATGACACCATCACTCTCCAGTGCCACGTCTGAAGCTGTCGAAAACTGCACAGTCGCAGTGGCTGAAGGGAGTGAACAAACAAAAGAATAACAATCTAAGGGAACGTCTCAAAAGTTGGAACGTTCCCAGCATGTTCTCAACTGGAAAAGGATGATCCCGAGGCAAGCGTGCATGAGAACAGACCAACGTTCCCATGAGGGAATACCTGGCATCCCGGGCCCTTCCAAGTGGGAACAACTTACCTGTACAGCATGTTCCCAATTGGAATGTTCCAAAGCATTCCCACTTTTCAGATGTTCCCCAAGACTGAACCGAAAATTCTGCAGTAGGAATTCCACTTCTCTGATCCTCATTCTTCCCTACACTTCAATCCATCTGTCGGCTGGAAACCAACGAACGGAAGGCCCCGCCTAGATAGTCCAACTGTGCAGCCCTTGACCTATGACCTCTCTGCTGCATCCGACTGGGTAGAGCGATGAGAGAGAGTGAAAGAGTGCATGATGCCGTCGCAATCGAGAAATACTGAGACGCTTTCATGAGTATACTTGCACAGAGTTTGTACAGAGAGCTTGGGATTTAACTTTTAAATCTGGCTATCTGAGAGGCAGTTTTGCACAACTTTGTGGGTTGTATTGAGTAGGAACCCACTTGTTTTTTTTATTTGTTAATTACTTTTTATTAGTAATTGCAGTTCTGCGGGTGCGGGAACGTTCTGGCATGGGTAGGTGGTTCCAAAAGAACAACTCATAAGAACACACACCGACTGTCAAATAGCGTCAGTTGAACAATCTATGAATGTGTAGGGTTGCTTACTCGTAATGTCAGCTTGGATGATCACGGCCACTGTCTGCTCACTGGGTCGTCCCGGAGCACCGCCCTCTATAACATTCATGGTGACATAGAAGACTTCATCCATCACTTCTGTGATCGCTGGCTCGTCATAGATAAAGATAAAAGCTGTCGTGGATGCTGCAAATGGGTCCATCGTGATAATCTCTCGGATGCCTATGAAATCCTCACCGTCAATTGCCGTCCCACTGGAAGTATAGATCTCTGCAAGGAAAAGAAACGGTACAGGAACAGAAATGAAAAACCAGTATTAAAGGGGCAGTCCATCATTTGCAGCTATCCAAAAAGTAACTGACGTGATTATTGTTGAACAGCATACTTGGTTTAAAGGAGGTGTACCATCAATAATTTTCTTCTTTTGGTGCCCCATCAGCGCCTTAGAGCAAATTTTGATTTTGGCGCTTTATAAATCTCTTTTTGATTGATTGATTGATAGCAATGGGACTAAACTCCCTGTGAAATTATTCTTTCTGGCATTGTCTGGCAAGCTTTCATTGTGAAAAATCAATGAAAGAAGGCCTTTCCCACGATGCGTCTAAAGACGCAGTTCTGTCCATTTTACCAGAACGTCTGACAAGTACGAGTAATACCCGCTGAACTGCACAGTCCTTCTGACATCCAGGTGTTAATTTGGGGTAGATAAAGGACGATTTCTGGTAAATCTACTGAAAGGAAATGATCCTCCTTTTGTGTTTCTTCTTTCAGCCCTGCATGTTTGTGTGCACCCCCATGTTAATGTATGTACCTCTGTCATTTCTGTTTTAGCCTCTGAAGAAGAACTTGCTAAGTTCGCAACGTCAGGCCACATTAATTCTTAGAAAGGAAATGATGTGAAATTTGAAACTTCTGTGAATTCACAGTGAACCCTACAGTGTCTGGAATTTTAATTGTCCGACATGTTTTTGATTTTAACTACTATTCATTTGCAGGCCTGAAATTCAACATAAAATTGCTTGGAATTTCAGACGTTTCATCCCAAATGAACAAATTTCGGAAATTTTGAGTTCATCGTGACTTATTTTGCTTGAGTGAGTAACAATTGGCTTATTTTAGTTTAGCATTTTTCTTTTTTTAAAATTTTTTTTGTCCGTCCGGTTGAGGATGTGTTATGTTTAATATTGCTGGAGTGTTGTGGCCTTATAATTTGGAGCATTGAACTCAAGATCTGTGGGTAATTCTGCAGATTGTGCAGGGGTTCATAACCAAACGGTGGGCTGAGGTGCGCGTGCCCTTGTGTAAGCTTGGTGCTTTGCCACTCGTTGCTTCTCTCCACCCAGGAGTAAATGGGTACCTGTGAGGGTTGAGATAGTCACAATTGGTTGTTAGTTCTTTTTGCAGTGAAAAAGCAGCACCGAGCACTACTCCCCAGGGAGCTGTGATTGTCTTAGGAATGTTTCAGTGGCCCAATGAGCAGGGGTAATAATGATGTAGTACCTTGTGCACTAATAACAATAATAATTCACTTGTAGTCGAGTACTTTTTGTTGTTGTAGTTGAGTACCAAGTACTGCCGAGTACTTAGGTTGCCGAGTACAAGTACGAGTACTTGTACCTCCGAGTACAAGAACGGGTCTCCGAGTACGAGTACGAGTACTTTCCAAATACAGCCATATGGCAAATGGTTCATTGTGCATAATTGGCCCAGGCCCAGTCAGACCGATATACAGACCCACTCACAGCTAGCTGTTTCATGTGTTTGTCCGCACGTGCACAGAGAAAAATCATGAAACTTCGATTTTTCCACAAGCCAATCAACCATTTCAAACTGATAAAATAAGGCCGTGGTAAGTCAAGCTGTACCATTTTTTTCCCCGAGTACTGCTATTCGAGTACAAGTACTTTGATGGTCGAGTACAATTTTGACATGTCAAGTACGAGTACTTTGCTGGCCAAGTATGAGTACCGTCATTTCGAATACGAGTACTTTGACATTTGAGTACGAGTACGAGTACGAGTACTACTAAAAAAGTACTGGAGTAGCACTCGAGTACGAGTACCGAGTACGAGTACTACAACACTGGTGTAATTTTTGTAACTGACCGATCTCGCACATCACATTGAGATCGCCGAGTCGAAAAATCGGTATCTGGAGCGGACCGTCGCTTTCCTTGGTGATGTACGGCAGGCCGACGAAATACACATAGGCTTGACCTGGGGACACAGTAGGAGAATCTGGAATAAAAGGAAGTTTACACTTCAAGTAAAATAAAATCTCTTTTGTGAGTTTCCGTGCTCAGCATGGAATATATCTGATCAGCAAAAACTGGTAATCAGACAAACTGTCATGTAGTTTTAATTGTCTGTGATTGGTACTCAGCTGAGCAGTATTTTCCTGCCTCACAGCATGACTTTGGGCCATTTTGGGCAAACTGACAAACTGGCCAAAATTGGGCGGTGTTGGCAACTTTGGAGGCTTCAGGATGTACATGTATCCCATTGAAGTGTCGGTTGATTTTGAAGGATGAGGTGTCGAGTTAATAAGCTGTGTCCTGCATTGTTTATTTTCAACTATGCAAAATCCCAGTGAGCCTAGCCGGCTTCGGCTGCAGGGCACGCATGATTGATTGTCCCTCGCCAACCACAATAAACAAGCTCATTTGACTTTTTGTTTCTAATCTTGGAGCACAATTGGATCCCAAACTGCAAACTCTGGAACTGTGTGTCCAGTGCATCATACCATGAATCCCCTTTTAACCCTCCGATGCAGAAAGCCCATTTAGTAACACACTTACAGCAAGGGGTCCCCCGGGAACCCAAATATTTAGCGCCACGGTTTGAGGCTACACAACACTGTATCCGCATGAACACAATCTTGCCATGTCTGTAGACTAAGGAGGTGTATTTGTATACATAGTCTGTGGTCAAGCCGTGCACTGTCTACTCGCAAGTGACCTTGTTTGTGCACGTGTATACATGTATGGTGGGTCCCCGGGTGGGCAGAAATTGCGTCTGAGTTGTTTTGTTAGCGTGCATATGGTGGGTCCCCGGATGGGCAGAAATTGCGTCGGTCCTTAGCCCAGGTTGTCATGCTCAGATATGCCTGACCCGGGGTCACACACTAAAGGTGACTGCATATATCCGTAGTGGGTGTCTCTTGCTAGGATTAGATGGAAGATCACCAGAATTGGTTTGAATTTTTTTTTTTAATCAAGGTAATTAACCAAATTGGGTCCCCAAAAGGGCTAGATTCTGCGCCGAAGGGTTAAAAGAAAACCCGACAAGGTGCCTTATATTCGGGTATTTCATCAAGACTGTACCAGGGTTTGGGATCTCTCTTATTTCAAGATTTTATCTCCTTAGGGCAGTTTAGCACCAGATGAATGCCTACCACCAGCAGGAAACAAATAGTATTACTTGACTTAAGGACTTGCTTGGCATGCCTGAATCATTCTTCAGTGGCCTAAATGTACCTAGATTTTTCACAGGTTAAATATCAAACGTAATAATTATTTGTTTCTGTCGAGTAATGAAACCATGTTTTCTTTCTTTGATCACTGAAATTGACGCACAAACAACGGAAATCATGAAGTGGTCGGACTGTGCATGTACATACATGTAACATGTGCATGAGGTTTCCAAAAGGTAGACCGAGCAGGAAGCAACCTGTACTGTTTGTGGACTGGCATCCTGTGGCGCAACTAATTGCCTTAATAAGTGATTATTAACCAGATAATGTTTTACTGGGCTCAGTCAAAGATAAACATCGAAAGCCTGGTATGAAAAGGGGCCAGGATTTTAAAAGGGAAATTCACCTCATGATGAGCAGTGCAAGGAACAATACATCAACCATTTCTAAATGGCCATTACCCCTTACCTGACGGACGGGCTAGGGCATTCTCATCGTCATCAATGATGATGCTGATGAGGTCTTGGAAGTCGATCCTGAGGCTGTCCTGTCGGACTCGGTACATCAACGAAAATTCCCTGGTCCCCTGCCGTTTATCATTGTCGTTGATCTGGAGGAAAATGACCAGCTGATGCTCCCCTGGCCTGAACGACTGCATCCTGTCGCTCAGGAGGTCAGAATCGGCCATCCGTGCCAGGGCGTAGGTGCTGTTATTAGGTATTTGACTGACAGCTGTGGATGGAAGAAAAGGATTATACTAAATAGGTATCGCAATGGTGCATTGATCATGCAACAAGCACAAAGCAGACATGCTTAAAGGGAAAATACAACATTTGCAAACATCGAAAAATAAAACTACCAAGTTGTTACGAAATACCTTTACTAGGATGTTGGTAAATGACATGCTTATAAGCATCCTGTAAAATTATGGCACCTGGTGTGAAGCCATTTTCAAGAAAATGGTATATTTGTATACATTTCCAACGCTGGTCGGCCGACCACCGTTGGAAAAACCTAACTATTTTTCAATTACTGCTCCAAATTCAACATTTCTTTTTTTAGTCTAAATTTTGTTTTGCTAGCTATTGGTTCCATGTTCATGAAAGGGTGCAGGCCAGCTAGACTGGTTTCCTTACCGTACAATTTCCTGGTATTTTTTATCCATTTCATCTTTAGTGGAGTCAGGGAACCAGACTACTTGAATCTTTTTGTTTTTCCTTGGTTTTTTCCAACCTTTTCGAACACAAAACTTCAAACATGTCAGTGTAACAATATTTGATCTATTATACTAACCCCCCAAATAGTTCATTTCTGAAAATTACAGCAAAAGCCATTGGCTTTTGCTGTAATTTTAGGGCCTTATTTTCCCTTTATTTTAAAGGGCCTTTAAAGAGGAACTCTAGTAAACTGGAAGACTGCCATATCACCAAAAATTACACATCATCAAGGAAGGGTTGTGCAGGATTCCGTGACTTTTGCAAGACTTTGATAATATGAACTTACTGACGTTGACGACCCTGTCGATCAGTCCCGACCTCAGCAGCTCAATTCCAATGATCCCCACCGACTCAGAGACTCTGACTGTCGACTCAAGGGGGAATACTTGAAGTGACATTGCTGTGGAGGATAGAGAGATGGAGGAAACAAAAATCCATGGGATAATAGAACGTTAGGAATCACAGGAAAACTGACAACGATTGGCATTCACAGATAGGGCACAGTGTGCATATAGGAACTGGCATTCTATGTAACAAACCCATGCTAAGATATTACATGTGAGCTGATTTGGTAATTAATTAAAAAAGACTGCGTCTTGACCTTGACATTCTGACCATTCAGCGGGCGCTTTTGAACGGGTCTCGTCGTGGATATCTATTTAAAATGCTAGACACGACATCTATTACTTTTTTTTATTCTGTGAAATGAGCCATGCAGTCACATGCTCTGTAACGATATGTTATCGCACAACCCATCAAGGTTGACACAATTACAAGACACTCACAGCTTTGTGTTTGAAGCGAAAGAATTGCTGTTTTACATGTGACAGAGTTTTGGAGATGCCGCAAGATTCCAAAGATATTCAGACAAATATCAGTTCTAAAATGGCAGGCGGACGTGATTCAATGGCTGTTTCATGAACAAACAAACTTGTACAAAAACAGCGGTCATAAATGCTGTTATTTTCCTCATCCAAGATGTTTAGATTATTTAAAATGCACAGATAAGCCAAGTTTCCTGAAAATGATTGTTAGTTTATTGCCAAGCTGTGCAATCAGTTTGTTGTATAAGTCTGATGCATGACGTAAGTTATGCACTGTTTCATGAAATAGGCTAATGGTCCATAACGATCATTGACTGAAATTGCTTAGAATTTAAAGAGGTTGTGGAATGCTCGAAGACATTTCTGTCATTTTTCGGGTATATGTAGCCTAAGGTGTGATGAAATCAAAACGACTATTGTTTCTGTCATAAAATGAGTACAAAAGGTACTTTTGAGAGCTGTTTTTCAAGTCCTGTCATGCCTGTTTCTACCCGAACGTGCAATTTGTGTAAAAGTCGTCGTTGCGGACAGCAAACAAAACACAGTAAATCGTGACGTAATAAACAGGACTCCCGATGCAGAGTAGCATAAACGAGTCCTGTTTATTACGTCACGATTGACTGTGTTTTGTTTGCTCCCCGCAACGACGACTTTTACACAAATTGCACGTTCGGTTCGAAACAGGACCTAAAAAATAGCTCTCAAAAGTAACCTTTGTACTCATTTCATGACAGAAACAATAGTCGTTTTTATTTCATCACACCTTAGGCTACATATACCCAAAAAATGACGGAAATGTCTTCGAGCATTCCACAACCTCTTTAACTTTTTTTTTAATACGAAAAGGAAGACAATACTCACAGTCATCGTCAAGAATGTGCACCACAGCAGTTTCGTACGGATACTCCAAACTGGCACCGCTTGGACTTTTCAGACTGACTGCAAACGACTCCGAATCCTCTTCAACGAAATCATCGATGATCGGGATTGTCACATTCACGTTATGCGCCCCAGGCTCAAAGGTTATCACTTGAAAATAACTCTCAAAGTCCGAGCCTGAGACGGCACCCAGAGATTGCGTTTGAAATGCTGAAATACATGAGGTAGACAGGGGGTAAGTTAAACACTTGCCTTTTCAAATGGACATGCATGAAACGACTTCATCTAAAAAGGTAGAGTATATCATTTGTCTTTTGTGCATTTTGTTTCGTTTAAAGCCACAAAGTGCTCAAAATCTGAAGACAGGCGCTTAACAACTAACCTGATGAAGTTTTAGCTCAGGCCAAAAAACAAAAACAGTTCTGCTTCCAGTTTCCCTACCTACCCTACCATTTCGTCAAAATGTGATTTTCATTTTTGTCATGAATGACATCTTTAATACCTACATGTACAGTTTCACGTTTCATTCACAGAAATGTTGATTTTGATGAACAAATTGGAAAAAACAACCATTTTGTGTGTATCATTCTGTTGTTCTACAACAAAGCCAGCTAGATTTCAAAGCCTGTTTTCTCAGATGTGTAATTTGAACTCCAAGGAGGTAATAATATGCAAATATGTCATATTTAAAAAAAAATGGGAGGGGCAATGGAGCTCTATTATATACCAAATGAAAGCTTACACTGTAGGCTTTCCAACCATGTACCGGTATGTAACTCATTTCACTTTTTTGCGGAGCTGGTCACATATGTAAGTAATGTGGTGTGTTGGTTCTCTCCTGTGCCACGAGGGTTTTTCTCCGGGCCCTCTGGTTTTCCTCCCTCCGAAAAAATCAAACACCTTTGATCTCTGTGGCGCTCCGTGGTCATATATGGGAGGTGCATACCTATATTCCCCAATACCGATGTTCCCCAATACCGATGATCCCCGAAATCCTTACCATATAACCCTAACCCTAAGGATTTCGGGGACGATCGGTATTGGGGAACATCGGGTAGACCCCATATATGGGTCAATGTGGCTGGTTGCCTAAGGCGCCTTTACATGCCAGCGGCCCCATCACGTTGTAGCCGCGTCCTTCGCAATTCAGCTTCTCAGCCAGTAAGGATGATTAGCCTCCCAAACAGTCACAAGCCAATCAAAAGCCCATACACAAGTACAGTCACAGGCAAAAGGGGATGAACAATTACAACGGAATGCCCTTTGGGAAAGAAAGTTGCAACCTGACGCTACTTCAGCGGCTGTGTACAAAGTCTACGGAGAGTGAAGAAAATTTTCTAAGTATTTCCTAACAAAATTTTAAATATTTCTCAGTCACAGATTCATGTCGTATCATCATTTTTGCAATGACTGACCTTCATTGAGATGATATGAAGAAAAAAGCGGTGTCAGGTTGCAACATCCTTTCCAGCTTTTGTCTAAGTTTGTTATAATTGGTACGCGAGTTGAATTGGGACTGGATGACTTGTGAGGGACTCGTGATGACTTGCAGGGACTTGTGATGGACTCGACTCCAACACTCGTTTGGGTGGCATGGGTGGCTTGTGCATGAAGTGCTCGCCTCTCACCAAGGTGACCACGGTTCGAATCCTGGCCGCGGATCGCGTGTGAGTAGAGTTGTGCATTGGTTCTCTCCTGTGCCACGAGGGTTTTTCTCCGGGCCCTCCGGTTTTCCTCCCTCCGGAAAAATCAAACACTTTCGATCTCAGGCTGTGCTCCGTGGTCATATATGGGTCGATGTGGCTGGCAGCCATAGGCGCCTTTACGTGCCAGCGGCCCGACCACGTTGTAGCCGCGTCCTTCGCAATTCAGCATACCAGCTGCGAGTAAGGATGATTAGCCTCCCAAATTATTATTATTATTATTAGTAGTACTTACCGACTGTTGAGAATCTGTCCAAAACACCAAACCGAAACACGGATATGTGGATCTCCGGCTCACTTTCCAGTACAGCGTAGGCAGTCCATTCCAAGTAGATGTATGTTGCTGATTCTTAAAGAAGGAATCACACAGAAATGTCAATGTATTTTTTTTTTTTTTTTTTTTTTGAAAATATGAAATATTTCAAACTTTTTAGGGGAAAAAAAATAATATAATTCCAAGGTTTATTTGCGAAAATTCAGGGAGGCTGAATTCATCTCAGCTTTTGTACTACGCTGAAAGGGCTCCAAGTAGGGGAATAATAAGGGTCCAACCCAAAAATCAGTTTGCATGAAGGTTTTAAGAACACGTTGAAAGATACAGCCTTCAGATGACAGCTATGTAATGAACAGTGACATGATGGTTAACCCTCCCAAATTCTACAAAATCAACAAGGTTTGTTTGTTTTGTTTTGTTTTGTTTTTAAGGGGGGGGGGGGTTTGCACCCGATAATCACAATTTACACCTGTTTCTGTATCTGTATCTAAGGTGCGTTGCAGAAACCTGTATCCAGGCATTAACGCAACAGAGAGAGAGGGTGCACTCTGGGATGTTACACTGAGTGAGGTCCATGGCCGAGGAGAGTTTTAAACCTCTCTACCGAGTCGGCTTGAAACAAGGTTTTCTTTAAAAATGGTTCCAGTCTATAATTGATCTGTTAACTAGTTCACGTCGGATGACGTGTATACACGTAAAGGTTTTGTGGTATTCGGAATGGATGACGGATCAACACGCAGTGAGCAAGGCCGGAAATATCCGTCTGCAACCCGCTCGCAGCGAGCGAGGTCAGAAATAACAGGGTGTGCTACCCGCAGATAACGGCCTGAACCCATCTGGCATCGAGGTTCATTAAAAACAATCCCGGGTCCAGTCAATGTCAAAATAATCCCTGTGCAAACTGGTTAAAGAATGAGTTCTTAACTTGATCTGTGTTGCACCAGGATAATTTAACCCCAAGCGTACAGGAAGCGGTCATGGCCGCGGCCGCTAATCCTCATTGGAATGCAGTTGCCAGCTGTGGTATGCCGTGGCACACGGCTAGTGGGTAGTTCCACAGCTGCTGCTTTTGTGCAGTCCCGCTACCACACAAAGGCTGTGCAGTCATGCGGGCCACTTGCTCTATGTGTGGAGGAATGTCCCCATTACACCCCGTCCTTAAGGGGTTAAAGCACATGGAGGTGATGGCAATGGAACTTCTATGGTATTCGATAAGGGTGAACCGTCAAGCTTTCTTGGCCAAATTTTTCTGCCTCGTTCTCCGATTTTTGTCTAATTTTAATTTCATCCTCTGCCCCCAAACGCTATCCCACACTGTAAGACCACTACTCACCTTCGCAATGCTGACCAGTAAATGCCTCTGGACATAAGCACGCTTCCTGAGTTATGTTGGCAGTGGCAGTGGTAGACACTTGATATGAGATGCATGAACCTCCATTCATACAAACGGATGACTGGCAGGACCCAGACACTAAGACAGATTCCAGAAAATATATAATTACCCAATCCACATTCTGAGACATTGGACATAGTGTTGTACCGATGTGGAGTACATTAATTCAACAAAGCATTTGTTGGCTCAGTACAAGTCAAAATCTTTTGTCAAGCATACAAAATACATGAACTTAGTTACTTCTAAGACAATGAAAACGAAACTGTTTGAGTGCAATTTGAGGGTAATTTTCAAAATGAACATCAGGCTACATGGAAACCAAACAGATAGTTTACATGGGTTTTGTTTGTTTGTCTGTTTTTTTTGGGGTTTTTTTTTGCATTTTAACAAGGGACAGATGATGCTTGCAAAAGATGCAGTTTACACCGTGAAGCTACGAAGCCCTTCATCAGACAACTTCCCGGATTTGAATTTCGGAGTTGGAGTTTTTCTTTCAGGTACCTGTGGTTTACCTCCGGTACTAACCGTACATTGTACGCAGGGGGGTCAGACAAGTTGACCATTGTGACAACTGGACTCGAGACAACTCCACAATTGAGACAACTCAACCGTTGAGACAACTCAACCGTTGAGACAACTCGACCGTATGTGCGTTAAACGGAAAGACAAGTCGTCCGCTGAGACAAATCGCTCATTGAAACAAGTTGACTCCTATGTTGGGGTTTTTTTTTGGGGGGGGGGGCGAGGCATTGAGCCTGGGATAGTATAGAGTGATTGAAAACTAGGGTTCAAAAACCATATAAAGTACGAGGCACTTTAGATATCTGCCTTTTGCTGCAGAGCTGATATAGCGCAGCGTGTTGTCCCGCATTGTTTTTGCCGGGCCTGTGTGCCCACTTTTGCCAGTCAATGTGGCCACGAGGCCGCACCGTGCACGGTGACATTGCTTTTGCTGGGCCTGCGCGCCCACTTGCTGGTCGATGGGCCGTACCGTGCATGGTGACATCGTTTTAGCCAGGCCTGTGCGCCCACAGATTATGCGACTTTTTACCCCTGGTACATATACACGCATACATACGAGACAACTCGACTTTGGACAACTCAACTTTGAGGAAACGTTTATATACTTTTCCACAAAGTCGAGTTGTCTCAACGGTCAAGTTGTCTCAACGGTCGAGTTGTCTCAACAGTCGAGTTGTCTCAACGGTGGAGTTGTCTCAACGGTGGAGTTGTCTCAAAGGTCGAGCTGTCTCAACAGTCGAGTTGTCTCAACGGTCGAGTTGTCTCAACAGTCGAGTTGTCTCAACGGTCGAGTTGTCTCAACGGTCGAGTTGTCTCAACGGTCGAGTTGTCTCAACGGTCGAGTTGTCTCAACGGTCGAGTTGTCTCAACGGTCGAGTTGTCTCAACGGTCGAGTTGTCTCAACGGTCGAGTTGTCTCAACGGTCGAGTTGTCTCAACGGTCGAGTTGTCTCAACGGTCGAGTTGTCTCAACGGTCGAGTTGTCTCAACGGTCGAGTTGTCTCAACGGTCGAGTTGTCTCAACGGTCGAGTTGTCTCAACGGTTGAGTTGTCTCAACGGTCGAGTTGTCTCAAAGGACGAGCTGTCTCAACAGTCGAGTTGTCCCAGGTCGAGTTGTCTCAACGGTCGAGTTGTCTCAACGGTCGAGTAGTCTCAAAGGTCGAGCTGTCCCGAGTCGTGTTGTCTCAAGGGTCGGGTTGTCCCAGGTGGAGTTGTCTCAACGGTCAAACTGTCCCGAGTCGAGTTGTCTCAACAGTCGAGTTGTCCCAGGTCAAGTTGTCTTAACGGTCGAGTTGTCTCCACGGTCGAGTTGTCTCCACGGTCGAGTTGTCTGAACGGTCGAGTTGTCTGAACGGTCGAGTTGTCTGAACGGTCGAGTTGTCTCAAAGGTTGAGCTGTCCCAAGTCGAGTTGTCTCAAGGGTCGGGTTGTCCCAGGTGGAGTTGTCTTAACGGTCAAACTGCCCAGGTCGAGTTGTCTCAACGGTCAAACTGCCCAGGTCGAGTTGTCTCAACGGTCAAACTGTCCCAGGTCGAGTTGTCTCAACGGTCGAGTTGTCTCAACGGTCGAGTTGTCTCAACGGTCGAGTTGTCTCAATGGTCGAGTTGTCTCAACGGTCGAGTTGTCTCAACGGTCGAGTTGTCTCAACGGTCGAGTTGTCTCAACGGTCGAGTTGTCTGACATTCATACGCACTACACACACCAAGATGTTTAAATCTATGCTCCACAGAACTTGTTTACCCCAAAGGAATGGGAAACTTTTGAAACGTTGGTGGCAGCAAACACACCGGTTGCGTCATATTGAGCATGCGCTCCTTTTGCTTAAACATGACGTAAACAATTGAAAAGGACCAAAGCGTTTGCTGCCACCAACATCTCAAAAGTCTCCCATTAGAAGTGTAGGCCTACATGTTAATATTATAAGGACAATCAACATTGATTTTTCGGTTTTCATCACTCTAGATTGAAAAAAATCTTTTGACCTTTGTTCAAACTGAAAGCTTGAAAAAATGGATCTGATGAGGCACATACACATGTACATTGTACAAGTAATTTCCAAATTTGTGACCTGTTCTGTCAAAAGCAGATGCTTCTGGGCAGAGGTTGAAGTTGAGATAGGGCCAAAACACGCTGTGGGGGTGATTCTTTTTCGATTTTCTAATTTTTGCATATTTGTAATCCTGAACATGTCTAAAATATACTATAAAAGTTTGAAACCATAATTTGAACTCTAAATATAGTATTGTTGATGATGTAATTGTTTCGGTATCAGTTAAAGAAATGTCTGTTTCGTGACGTTTGTGGCCATTTTCTCCGTTTTCTACTTTTCAACACAATGAACTTCAAAATAGCATAACTTTGCCCAGGAATGACCGGTTTCAAAAATTTAACCACCTTTTAAAAGGAAAATGTACATATTTCAACAATATGCAAAAATCTCATTTTTGACCTTATGCCCAGAAAAGTCTGATTTTGACAGAACAGGTCACATTTATCAAAATAATAACCAGCTCACCTAATCTCAACACATCTGCCACTCCACATAAAGAGACAAGAAGCACTGCAAAGGCTGTGTTCAGTGAGTTACAGTCTGTCATGGTTGCATCTGGAAATAGAAAAAAATATTGAAACGTAGAATGTATTCTACTCCTGCCGTGTGCATGTCATTACCTGCAATGAGAAAATATCGGGCAATTAGTCCATGGTCCAGAATGCTTAAGGCCATGGGGAAAAGTAGGGAGGGTGGGCCGTGGGCAGGTACATTTTTTTTAGGGAGGGGGGGGGCTTTAAATGTGTATCCAGAAACGAATAGGGTTGGAAAAAGGTCAGTTAGTTTTGTTATCTTTCTGAAAAGAGTTCTATAACTAGTCCAAGACATCACTTGACACCCTGTGCACAAACCTAGTCCGAGTAACTTGGACCCAACTTATCGCCTTTTTAAAAATTTGGACATGGTCTGGCGATAGTAGGGTCCAAGCCCATTCCTCGACCTAGACAACACAGTCACTGACAGTGACAGTCCCAAAAACCAACATTTTCCTACAAAAAACATCAGATTTCACCTTCAAAACGGCCTCCAAATTACTAGATATGTCACCTGAGGTACAAGTAGACATAGATGATTAAGATGGTTGTACTTAAGTTTACTTACGATCCGGAAAAAAAGTGAAATTTTCCGTTCAATTCTGGAGACCCCCTCTGCCTAGGTTGTCGTTGTTGTGCTCATGTTCAAAACTGCATGATAATGGCGTCTGACCTCGACCTCATGCAAATGTGGTGCGGCGCGCTTGCGCATAATGCACTGCATGCATACACGGCAGATTCCCCTGCGCCGCGCCGACGACTGTTTCCTGATGTAGAGCGCTGTGTAAGTTCGCGGTACGCCTGGGAGTTGCGCTGGCTAGCCAGGCGTACCGCGAACTTACACAGCGCTCTACATCAGGAAACAGTCGTCGGCGCGGCGCAGGGGAATCTGCCGTGTATGCATGCACTGCATTATGCGCAAGCGCGCCGCACACATTTGCATGAGGTCGAGGTCAGACGCCATTATCATGCAGTTTTGAACGTGAGCACAACAACGACAACCTAGGCAGACGGGGTCTCCAGAATTGAACGGAAAATTTCACTTTTTTTCCGGATCGTAAGTAAACTTAAGTACAACCATCTTAATCATCTATGTCTACTTGTACCTCAGGTGACATATCTAGTAATTTGGAGGCCGTTTTGAAGGTGAAATCTGATGTTTTTTGTAGGAAAATGTTGGTTTTTGGGACTGTCAGTGACTGTGTTGTCTAGGTCGAGGAATGGGCTTGGACCCTACTATCGCCAGACCATGTCCAAATTTTTAAAAAGGCGATAAGTTGGGTCCAAGTTACTCGGACTAGCACAAACCCTATGAGAGTGGTCTGAAAAATTTCCAAATGTTTTACATGCTTCCATATTTTTCCTGCTATTCTAAACTTGATTGTTAAGGCTAGGACATTTGTTATTATTTTCTGATGGCTGATACATGTACATGTAGGTCACTGGGAATACAATTAGCCATGTCCATGTACTATGAAATTCTTCCCCAAAAATGTTAAAAAGACGTGAATCTGGGACTCAGAAACATTAAACTTTTAAATGTTGGACAAACTTATAGAGAATACTTAGTCCGAGTAGGACTCTACGAATCGCCTTTTTTAACATTTGGACATCGCCCGACCATGTCCAAATGTTAAAAAAGGCGATTCGTAGAGTCCTTGTTACTCGGACTAGAGAATGCTATGAAAATGCACTCGTTGGTAAAAATGTTACAACCTGACGCCACTTCATATCATTATCATCTCAATTCAATGAAGGTCATTCATTGAAAAAAAAATGATAATAAGACATGAATCTGGGACTGAGAAATATTTTTGTTAGGAAATACTTTTTAAAAAAAATCTTGACTCTCCATAGACTTTGTACACAATCGCGGAAGTGGCGTCATTTTTTATTTTTTTTTTTCCCCCCGCAGTCATGGTGGCGTCTGGATATACATGTATGTACCACATGGAGTACATTCTTTCCCACAAATTACAGGGGTATCATCAGATCTTTCCTTGGAAACTCCCACCATAGACCCACTGAAGAAGACTGAATAGACACCAAATCCTTGATGTATCGATCGATTGTTTGTTGTTTCAATGTTTGAAGGCTGCGGGTGCAGCTGTACTGTGTGTGAATCGGCAAACAAAATCACAAGGCCAAGCAGTGGTGAGTCAGTGGTCGGCAATGGTCGGAACGAAGGAAGACATGGAAGACATCATGATGAACATAGATTCTTAATGTTTTTAGACGTTTCTTGCATTGGGTTGACGTAAAACAAACAGGCCCATATTTCCATGACATGAAATCTAAAATAATGCTAAGTGAGTCTTTAACTGACTCGTTTAAAACACGAACATGATAAAACAATTAAATTACTTACCCGAAACATACAGCATACGCACGGTGCGATTCGCCGGGATGGACTATGTATTGAAAGGTAGACTAGCATGGTACTGGTAGTTGTACTTTCGATTGCACCCAACTTCACAAGTCGCGTCTAGGTAACTAGACAATGACGTCAACTTTCTTTTGTACTATTACGTAATCGACACGTGGGGTTTACGAATTCTTGGCTCCGTCTGCACTTAGGCTCCGCGAGTGGTCTTGACCAATTTTATAGGCCACCTACAGACTCCACACTGCAATTAATATGTTCGCCCTAGCGAATGTGTATCGTTCTCGACCACCCCAGGCCCCCACAGCCAGCGATTTGTTTTTCGTCGGAGTGAAGACCCCCCATATAAAATTCAAGAATTGCGTGGTATCTCTCTCGCCTTAATTATTTTTTTTTTATTATGATGTGAAAACACCCGCGCACGATACTTATGCCCTTCCCTTAAAAAAAAAAACATACTCCATTCCGTTTGCCCCCCCCCCCCCGAAAATTTGATTCAGCTGGGGTCCGGTCGTGTCCTCAGCTATATAAATGCGTGTATGTGTACTGTGTGCCAGCTGGGCGAAATTTTCAAGATGTCATCAGCCTCCGCATTACGCCAGATAAAAAGAAGAAGAAGAAGGAATATGCCTAGTATTATAGTTATCACGATCTAATGAAATATAAGTTAAATCCCGGTAAAGCCAAGTACACTCTAGGACCATGTACGCGCGGTTTTATTTTGTATCACTCTCATATAGGCCCTATCTATATCCCTGCGCTGAGGGCTTGAAATTGTATGCACCAAAAAAAATAAGATAATAGTATATAGCGGTACTAGGGGCCTATATAAGTTCGCCATCTGGGCGTTCTTGCAGAATAAACTGCCATATAGACCACACTTAATACCCTCACTTCCAAAAATCACTCACAACTCGCCAATTATAAGGTGTTTGAAACACACGTACATCAAATTAAACTATCATCTTTTATATTTTCTGTTAAATATTTTGTTAGGGTAATCCGATGACCTTGATGACCAGAGATGATCACTTCTAAAAGTATAGTGATAAAGTCATTTTGAAGGGGGAAAAACATGCCTATATACGCGGTACACGCTCAATTGCAAAATAGACCAAATTTCACCCACATCAGTCACAGAAACACAATGTCGTAGTCCTTATCACAGCTTGCACCCTCAAGTTGTTTTATCCTCAGATTCATTATGGCACACAGAGTCTGTAGAGCAAAACAATAATGGGGCTTATACAAATCGCGATTTGCTCCGCGTAAAGGCAGTTAATTTTGACATATTTACTGGACTGCGCCCTTTAATATACCTGCAATTTTGCTATTTTCCCCAAACCACTTTTACGGCAAGGGAAGGATCCGCAATCATATTTCATCAAATTGAGGGGATATCAGACCTGAACATGAGAAGCTATATGCGCCTTGCCCGCAGGCTTTGCATTAAGGTAACGCCCCGGTGGCGAAAATTTGGTTCCAGCCGGCTCCTCGGCGAAGATATAAAGTCATCAAAATATGAAATTGCCATCAAATCCTTGCAAGATGCAAAAATGCTCGGGGTAGAGCTGCGATCGAGGCGTTTATAGTGAACAGCGCCTCCTTGCGTGGGTCCAGCAACCATGAGCTATTTGTCATCTCCAAGGTACGTTAGCCCACGGTGCACGTGCATGGCTATGGCCTTATGCCAAAGTTCGATCTCAGCCCATATAACAAGGTGTTTTTTTGTTGTACGACATCTCATCCTTGTTTGTGCAAAATATTCCAAGGTGAGGTACTCTTTTCATTTTATGCTACGAAATTGTATCACTAAGCGATCAAACTAATTATATAAGCAGCAAATTTTGTAATTTGCCTTGATCCCCTTTTCTTCATAATTATGCAATATAAAATAATGGCAATTACTGCATAGCGTTGTAGTACATTGTATGTAACTACAGCGGTATTATGGAGAAGTTTTGTACACTAATTTAGAAACTTGTGTGACAAAGAGGGATCCGGTAATCATTCAGAACACCTAATTAAGAACCACGAATTATAACCAATGGCAGAGGAGGCTCGAAGGGGTAACCAGCCAATCAGAGATCTCGTTCTGAGAGTGGGCAAAGCCTGGCTGCGGGCCAATGAGAAGTTGGGATTTCAACACCCGAGAGGGAATACATTTAGGCGGGAAGGAAGAGCTGCTGTGCTGTCACATTTTGTCAAGGTTATTTTTATAATTGAATCGTCTGCCAGATTTCCTTTTTAGGCTTTTGTAAAATGGTAATTCGAATCATAACTTTGGTGAGAATTTCTTCTACAAATATTCACGCATGAACTGAAAAAAAGAACAAAGAACCAACAATTCTTACAAGACAAAAACGATAGTTGTTTCAATTATTAACTTGAAAGATTACAAAGTTATTTTATTCACTTTCTCCACGTCCGTAGACTTTAATGTTCACAGAGTTATATAAAGTAAAGTATTTTAATTTCAACGCTATCAAGCCTATTTATTTCTATTAATTTTGTCCAAACAAAATATACATTACTTTACTACGTATTCGGACTTCTGAACTAATTTTCAACTGGTTTATTTTCCATAAGGTAATTCATGAGAAAACAATAAAAGAACTGTTTTTATTATTTTCAACAAGCCGTTGATGTAACACGCCA